CTTCTGCTCGATTACTAACAGAAGAAAATGTTCAATAAGTCATGTGTACGAAATGAAAAAATAAATATGCAGGTCGAGAGGGAAAAGCGCGAAAAAAAATATCAGATGGATAGTAAGCGACACTTATACTCTTTCATCAATACTTCCACTCAGTCAAGCGTGATCGAGATCGATTACACAACACAAAAGACTGTGTTTACAACGTTACTCCGTTCGAGGTATGATACCAGGGGGTTAATTATAAAAGTATCGCCCGATAGAACACCTTGATCCTACATGTTGACTGTAAACTATTAAAACTGTTTAAAAACTCTTTACTTTTTTTCAATATGTTTAAATATTTTTTTTCGTATAATTAATCAAGTCTTTTGGAGCGTAAAAACTGAAAGTAGATACGTATATTAAATATGCTACTGTTAAGTGGAAATAAAGAAGACCATGCAATTTTTTAATTTATTTACTGTACATCTGCAATATAAAGAACATCTTTGAATCTCGGTTATGCAAAGGAAAACAACTTTTGTGCTTCCGCGAAATTACCTCAGGGCAGAGGAAGTTCAACAAAAGCCAAGTTTAATGAAAAATACTGAGTCAAAATAAAGTCAAATACACTCGAAAAACGATTTATTTATTATTAATGAACTTTATTATAAATTGTTTAAAAACAATTTCAATCAATATTTATTTTAAAGTAATAATTTTATTTCTAATTAATATATTAAAAAAAATTATCTTTAATGTTTCTTGATTTATTAAAAATATTTTATTTTAATATTACCGAAAGAATGACGTTGTTTAAAATCATATTACATAAAGTGTTATTGGTTTATTTATTTCAACGATTGATGCATATAAATTGGATTTATTTATTATGTTATAGAGATTAAAATTTATTACAGATTTTTTTTTAAATTAAAAAATAACAACAAATGTAAATAAATTATCTTTAAATTTGAACTTTAAATTCAAATGTAATCATTAAAATGATGAAAGTTTTGGTTAGTTAAAATGAAGAATTAGTGTGAATTCATACGGAAACAAGTTTATTTGAAATACCATTTCAAGGAAAGACTCGAGAGAATTCAACTACAAAATTATTTATTATTGCATCAATTCTGATAGCTCGTTGAGCAAGATGAAGTTTTTATTTATGATAAACATAAATAAGATCCTCTCGACAAGAAGAACCCATCAAGTATTGTTTCAAAAATTTAAATTACATTTAAACTAGAATATTAAAATATGTCATTTATCTGAACAACCTTGTTTTTTTTTATCAAGTTTAAGCAGGAACACACTCAGGTACTGTTTATTATAAGAACATCGGGTTTTCAGCATAAACGCTCATCACTTTGTCAATTAAAATCTGTATATAAATAGCGCTTTATAGAGGTAATTTTAATCGGGTTTGAAGGAGTTTGGATCCCAATTCGATTAGAATTACTTTTGTAAGAGATATTAAATTTCAGCTTAAACAAAAGTGTATAAAATTATTTTAATCGAGCAATTCTCGTGCACTCGAGGAAAACATCAATCAATTACTGTCGTCACGCACCACTTGGCTGTTATAATGCCTTTGTGAGAAGCCCATTTTATATTATTATCACGTCGTCACGTTGACTGATATAGAATGTGAATAATACATATACATACTTAACTTTTATATCGATTCAATCTGATCGGCTTATTTTCTTCAACATTCATTGAAATGATTGTACTCAAATTTCAAAATAATTCTAAAGTAATTGAGGAGATAAAATAGACACTGGAAATGGTGAAACTTGTGAGGGGAAAATTTGAAACCGTGATAAAGTGAAAATAAGGGTAATTTCACTTGAAACTTTAATGGTCATGTTGAGTGATGAAGTTGATAGTTTTTGGTTGTTTAACTTACCTTATCGTCCAGGGCAGCACTTTGCTACCCTCGAAACTGATGGACCTCAGTTCGTACTTGGAGCGAAGTCTTAATGGGGATCCTGGGAAAGCGGTGTTTCCGTAGAGAAAGCTCTTTACACTTTTGGCGTGTGGACTTATTGGCACGAGAGCATACCGGCGCGGCGGTGCGTTTTCGCGCGCGCATTGATTTGCCGTCCTCCTCAACGAGCTCATCCTTAAAAAATTTACAGTCGTCTAGACGACAATTCTTATCCCGCTACATGTGCGGAATATTCCTTGGTGGGTATTCCTTTTTAATAGAATATACAATCAACAACACCAATGAATTGACTTAATAAAACTAATATCAAGCTAATTTCACTTAAAAATACCAATAAAAATGAGTTCATCAGTTAATTCACATATTTTTCGACCAACACCTACAAACGCATTCGTCTTCAACCACATTAAATTCACTGGTGGGCTAATATGTCTTGGCATTTTTCCCGTGTGGCGCGTTTTATACCTGAAGTAACAGGTAGTTGACTCTTCAACGATGCAGCCAAATGTCAGGACCTCGGAGAAAGAAGTTGCCCGCCAATTTTAATTTACTGACGTATTTGGCAAGTTCAAGATCACGATTAATCATTTTGCGTTGAATGAAAAAAACTCAAGCCAACAAGAAACTAAATTTCTCACAGTCTTGAGTTTCGAACGTTTCGAAAGCTTGTCAAGCCACGGATGATGGTCCAGGATGGAGAGCCGCTTTAGAACTGAATGCAGGTGTACCTATAGGGTAGCATAATCGGCGTGCCACCTTCCACAAACGCGACAACCCCACCAATGCAACCCCACGCCGTTAGCCACCCCGTTAGCGCTTCCTCTGCTATCATGCGTTTACCTTAAGTCTGCGCTCCCTTTTTATTGTCTCTCTTGCTCCAGCCGGAAGCATAGTTATCTTCTTCTATGTCTCTACCACTCTAGAAACACGTTCTTAGGGACTGCTCCATTTCACAGAGACACGGGGTAGCTTTCACGGTCTACACAGGATACTCAAATGAGTGTGCGCGCGCCTGCGTCATCTCTCACTCTTCTTGATATCTTCCACTACTCTTATCTTGTGTTTCTGAGACACTTTGACTGAACGGGGAGCTTGTTTTCCACAATCCAGATGAGACGTTGTGACGCCCGATACTCCGCAATCGCTTTTACTATCAAAACTGATCAAATCAACTGCACAACAAGCAACACATTTTATTCAATACACGATTCTTGAAGATGGTATTTAATATTTTTAAAATACTTCTCAACATGATATAAGCAAGAATAAATTATGGATCATTATAAATAATTGAGCGGCATATATTTGCACGTGAAGACAAGGTGGTAAAAATGATTACCATGTTATCTAGTAGATTACACTCACTTTTGCAACTCTGTTAGTGTAATTGTTTTTAATTATACAACTACTTATTATTTCTAGAAGAATTATCATGATTGTTCTTATCAGAAAAGGAATGATTATTTATAACAATAGATTGTAAAATACTCATTTCAAGTTTGTTCTATAGCTATTGCTCTATTTCATAGGAATTCTTGTTTTTTAGAATAAAAGAATTCAATATAATGACACGAATAGAGAATAATTTTTCTTCATCGACTCAATAAATTCTATGGCTTTTAAAGTATTGAAAAAATCCATTGTTTGACGCATTGTTTTTTACGTGGACATTCTTTTATTATAATTTCGATAAGTAATGTTCTCAATTAAAAAATTAATTTGTGTCGGAATGGGATTTTTACTCATGTTAATTTGTAATTAACTTTGGTTGTTAAAACAAAAAAAGCAATAAATTAAATATTGGCAATGTGAACTTGAAATTACTTTGCCATCATTGGAATGAGTCCTATAATTTATTGGAATAAATCAAAGGCTTTTTTCCATGTTTCTAATTAGAACGGCTGGAATCAAAAAAAAAAAAAATATTGCTGCACATTTTTAAACGTTTCTTTTTCACGAAAAAGATTAGAGAAATTAAGAAAAGATGACCTCTCCAAGGATTTCAACCATTTATAAAACAAAAACTTCTTACGAGATTTTATTACATATTATTCATCTCTGATTTATTAGGTATAATAATTTAAATAAAATTGTCTTATAATTTACCAGATTGATTGTGATTGATTACCAATTTATTTTTTAGAAAGTTATGAAATTATTTCTGAAGCTCCAAAATGGGTCATTTTATCCCAGAAAACTTTCTTGGCTCGATTTCTCTTATAAAGTAGACGAAAAAAAAAAATTAATTTAAATACAAAAAAAATAAAATAAATTAGAAAACCTTCATCAAATAATACTTCACCAATTGACTGGATTGTTTGATGCTTTTCAAAATAATTCATTGAAATAAATCACTATAGTAATTATTAAGTCATCATTAACAAAAATCTCTGTGAAACGCTCATTATTGATAAAAGCATTAAATCTTTAAATCACAGTTTGAAACATTTTCAACAATGTACTCAAATACAACCTACTAAAGGTTACCTTGAATTTTACTTGGCCAAGGTTATTTAACCACGTCAATTTTATTTCTAATAAAGAAGAAATTTTATTTGAATGTATTATTTTATATAATTACTGTTATAAATTTGACAATACTAATCGTGCAAACAATGCTTGCGTAATGCAAAAATATAGGTAAGGAAATATTTAAGAAGTTGAAGAGCATGATATATGTCTGACTAAAAAATAAACCTTGCTTCTATTGTAAACAAGTCACGTGAGTTCCAGCTGCTTTTCCAATACACGTCTATAATGCAACGATTTATAGACACGTATGCATGATAAATTGGATATTTCTCTTGTATTTGAATTATAAAATGTTGACAAGGAGAATTGAGTGAGGACAGAGAATTTATTTTCCATTTATCTGCAGTCTCCTTCATGTAACTTAATTATTGGAGTCTGAAGGAAGATCGATTGGAGTTAATCTGTTGCTAAGAGTTAGTATGATTACAGACAGAAAGAATTCTTAGTTAAATATTCTACCAGGAAAAAATGTTTTGCTTTGAAGTCATGAAAATGATTCTCTTGAGAAGGATAATCAAGTTACAGTATTGCATATAGTAGAAGCATTGTTACATTTATTTCATAATAAAAAGTCAAGTACAGTGAATATACAGGTCTTCGCTGGTGTTCAGTTGCTTTCAATATTCTTTATGTTATTTTTTTTCTATTTTTATATTTATTCTTTGAGTTAAAAATAACATACATCTTATCATGTTACTATATATATATATATATATTTATATATATACGTATTTTATTTAGTAAAGTACTTTTGACTTTTCTTCTGTTACTTTACTCTCTCGTTCTCCACTCACTCTTCGTCATCTCATTTAATTTTTTATTTTATGTACAGTTTAGCACCTCATTCTAGATACTCATTTTTTTCTTTACAAGGTTAATCGAAAGAAGCTCGTGAGAATCACAAATGAAAATTTAAAATAAAATTATGGCAAGTAAGACAGACTTTTATAAGACCAAATCATAATTGTTTCACTAATTTCACTTTTAATATTTTATTTTTCAAGAAAAGACATTGCTAATTAAATTTTTTCATTTCATTAAGTCAACGTTTTATTTTTTTTAATCTTATTTCAATTTTAACTTTTTACTGTACAGACGATAGTAGAACGTCGCTTTCGCTAATGTACGTGATTCTCCATTGCTTGTTGGAGGAAATAAATTTCATTCATTTTTATTCATACAAAAATTGATTTATATATTTATAAAAAATAAGTACATTTCTTATTCTCTATCAGAGGTGTTTATATTCTAGAGCGAAGCGTAGACCCAGCACCGTATCTTTTTAGTTGTCTGACCTACATATCTATTATCACTAGTACGCGGATGTTTGCAAATTACTTCGAATTACCTCTCTTTTGTTTGCATTCTTGAAACGGTTCCATTTGATAATAAATTGATAATATTTTTGATGATGTTAGATGATATTATGTCACGATTAGAAAGCCAAATGTTAATTGACTAAATGACGAAATGATTGCTCTCGGTGTTTAATTTTTAATTACCGAGAACTCAAGGCCAAACTCTACAGTCCCACTCGTTTTACAAGTAATCTCTTGAGATGGGTTAAAAAAAAATGGACGGCTTGAGATTGGATACGAGTGGTAAGTGGAAAGTCCAGCTTGAATGATCCTGAAAAGATTGTACAGTGATACAAAAAATAGAAACTGTCCATTTTGATGGATCAAAGTAAACGACTTCAATTCGTACACAGCAAAAAATTAAGGCAGTACACTAAAGTTTTATTGTTTTACTTTGAAAACATTTATAAAATGACTGCTACATTGACTCATGAAGAATCAAGTCTTTAAATCCGACAGTGAAATGTTGGTTCGAAAAAAAAAGTCAGTCCGAAACGTGGCAGTGTAAATGCTTCGGTTATTTAACATTTATCTTAATCGGCAAGTTCGGTGCTCCATCAATTCTGTTAATCTTCTTGACAAGATTCAAGAATTGTCGTAATGTTTCGTTCGTTGACAAGTGCATTTATATCTGCATTTCAGGCTCTGAATCATCATGGAACCAACTAGAAGGTCTTGTTCCTTCAGTGACTCTGACAGTTTCTCTTTCGGAATATCTTGTAGACCTTGTAAAGGTACTGGTAACACCACTGGGGCCTTGATGACCACCAGAATCGAATGATGCCATCACTTCTACTCTATCTCCTCTTCTGACAGCGACTGGAGTTGTTTCAGTTGAGCTTGTAATGTCTTCAGGTTCAGGAGCCCACGCTCGAAGGTTTCTAGCAGGTAGTCCCCAATGTTCAGTAAATTCAGAACCTGATCTTGCTAAACTTGGTTGGCTAAGAGATCTAACTAAGGAATCTGCTTCATAAGAGCTTACACTGACATCATCTCTTTGCATTTTAAAATCTCTTATCGTCTCTGTCTCTGATCTGAGATCAACTTCACTTCCTCCTCTGGTCATGGTACTTAATCGTCTACCTCTATCTTCAGAAGGAGCTCCTGGAACATCTTGAGTTCTGATAGAAGTGCCTCCATCACTGTCATATTCATACAACGTTGGTAGAGATGATCTTCTTGATCTGCTATCCCATTCAGAACCTTTACTTCTCTTATATCTTTGTCCACTTTTACTAGAAGCTACTGATGATGCTGGTGGTGGACTGAGAATACGAATAATAACATCCCACTTGGCTGGAGGGAAGAGTGTTTGATATCTAGCGTCTTTTCTGATCAATTCGTAATCCTCTTTAACAACTGCTTCAGACAAAAGTGTCCTCAAAGTGCTCTCAGTAGTAATTACTTCTCTCCACTTTTCTCGCTCATCATCAGTCAGTTCTCCAGAATATCTTGGCTCAAGAACTCGAGAGAGTGTCTCCCATTTGTCACCAATGCTCTCGGTGTCCAAACCATGAGGAGATCTTGATGGCATTTCAGCACGACTGTAAGTTGGTTCAATAGTTGAATCAACCTCATCTATAGGCCTGATGGGTAAATGTTCATTGACAAGAGTTAAATTTGATGCTGAACTAACATCTGAGAAATTTTCCCACTGTGGTGGAGAAGGTGGTGCTTCCTCTACTGGATAATTTCTGATGGTAACATCCCACTTGGGATCTGGTTTAGGTTTTGCATAATACTCGGTTATTTCACGTTGATGACGCTCTACATCTTCAATCGTTTTCTTCTCGGTAACAGTCCTGAGGAAAACATCATCTACCTCATGTGTTGTAATTTCTGGTCGTCTTGAAGCGACTATCGGCTCAACAAGAGGTTCAACTTGTTCTCGAATATGTTCACGTTGTTGAATTGACGTATGAGTTGGGACAATAGGTGGTGGTGGAGGTGGCGTTGGAGCTAAAATACTTGCAACTCTGTACTTGGCATGTGAAGCATCAGTCACTTCGGTCATTGTTCTGGTTTCAGTAAATTCCTCAAGGGTAGTAAGTGATCGCGGGCGATGAAGAGTTGCAGCGGGTGATGCTTGAGGCGTTGACGTTATTTCAAGACTCTCCCTCTCTGCTTGTTTTCTAAGAATTCTCGAGTAGACTGGTGGTGTCTGTTGTCGGGAAATCATACTGCTCGGAGGACTATGAAGCTCTGGTACATATGAGAAGGTCGTAAGACGTGGTGTGGGGCTTTCAGCAGATCTAATGGTCTCTTCTCGTTCAAGAATAGTTGTGAGATTCCTTTCCAAAGCAATGCTAGCATCAGACTCTGAAGGAAGTGGACTTGGAGGAGGTGGTGCTCTTTTAACTCTCATTTGGACATCAAACTTGGGTTCAATAGGTACAGCTACTGGATGTCGTGGCACCGAGATTCTTGAAGCAGCCATACTTGTTATAGCTGACGTTTCTACATCAGCGGTAGTTTCAGAGTACAGTGAACTGGCAGTGTGAATGTCTTGGGTGTGAATAAATGCCTTGTTGTCATAAGAGTCGACTGACGAAACAGGAAGAGACCTCACCTCATCAATTTGAGATAGTCCAGGTGTCAAAGATGTTGTTGAACGAGTCGAATGAATGATTTCATCAAAGCCGTAGGCGTGGGTCGTATCCATACCGACTTCTGAGTGGCTCTCGCTTGGGTAATCGCTTGGAAGAGTATCCGAATGATCAATTACAAGGTTCGCTTCGCTACCTGAAGATGAGGCAGCAGTATGTAAAAGTGTGTGTGCACGAGGGATCTTGAGACCTTCAAACATTGAAATATGTCCAAGTGAAGAGCTTGACAGTTTTGTAATTTCCGATCCTGTTGCGCTTCCAAAAGGATGTCGATGAACTACACGAATATTGCGCCGTTTTAGACATAGATAAGAGCATCCAAGTCCAAGTAACAGAAGTGAGAGAAATAAAAGTGCACAGATTGTTAGTAAAATCTGAAAGCCTTTTAATGGGGCCTCTGCTACTTCCACTGGGATGGGTGGTAATCTGTAGAAATGGTTGAGTCATTAAGTAATTGGATTTATACACATGAATAGATTTGCTATTGAATTAAATGAAAATGAACGATACTTACACTCCCTCAGCGAGTGATGGTTTGGGAGTGATAGGAGGGGGATATCGGCAGATTATCGTAATGACCTCGTCCCCGTCCATCTCAAGACCAGGATGGAAGCGGACAACGATGTTGTTTGTGAATACACGCTGTGGGTCTTGCTTCGTACCGCATCCTAAAGAGCATACTCAGTTGAGTCATTAAAGATAAGATGTGGAATATCATTGACAACTTTTCTTTCACTCACCTTTTAAAGGCAGTTCCAATTCTGCGTGATTCAACCCACGTCCCCTCACCATACAAGCGCTGTTGCGATCGAAATCTGCGTAGGCAACACCGTAGAACGGCTCATCGAACTTAAGTTCCACCTGCATGCTGCCTTGGCTACAATTTAAGTAGGCTTTCGTACGATTGAGAAATATTATAGGAGACAGCTCGTCCAACTTTGTAACTTTGCCATCGAGAACTGTGCTCGGAGGCAGTCCTGGTTGATATTCGATGCTATTTCCTTGGGATGCATAGTTACTTTGTGTCCAAGCTCCTTTGAATCCCAAAATAATGAGCAGGACGTATGTTAACCCAATCATCTGGAAGGAGAGTTGATAAGTGGCTACTTTAGTATGAAAAAACAATGAATAAATTACTAGAAAAAATTATTCAAAAAAAAAAATACGATAATACAAGGAGATATTTTTTCTCTGAACACTCCTGAGTATCAATAAGTTTCTAAAAATATCATCTAAAAATTCCAAGTCAAAGTTTAAATTCAACAGGCAGTGAAACAACTTAGAGAGATAAGATATTCAAAAGAGCAGGACTAACTTTAAAAGCATTTGATTCGGTATCATTTTTTTTTACAGGTGATGCAAAAATGCAATTTTTAAAAATACTTTCGAAATGCTTGCGGCGTTTATTTCGTAATAAACATCGTTATTGAATTGAGGACACTCGCAATTTCTGCTTTGTCCATTTTTTTTTTCCAACATTTCAAATGATGAACACAGTATTTTTTTGCTATGCGGACATTAAACTTGAACAAAACATTCGAAAAGTATTACATATTATTTGCATTCATCTCAACCCACATTCAGAATATAATAATATTTTTTACAGCTCCGTTGATAGCCATAAAAAATTTCAAAGTTATGAAACATCCTTACATACATATAATCCATCACAACATTTAATAATATATTCAAACAAAATTCCTATCGCCTTCACATTAATCTTGACATCGATAAAAAGATCATTTTTTATAACACCACTACTATCTTTAAAAATTAATCATCATTATCTAACAAAAAAAAAAAAAAATAATGTCTATCAACTAAATGATTTAATTTCAGAAATGAAAGTAATAAAAAAAAAGTACCTACATTTATATGATAATGAAATAATTAAAAACTAGAAAATGATAATCTCGCTACAGATAATTAGAAGGTTTCTTTCACTCTTCCGATAGCTTTTCCTTTCATCGGAATATTTCCTTCGATTTTCATAATATAATTACCCCAACATATATCTCGAATTCTAGTTATTATATATTAAAGAGAATGGACATCCAACAACCAAGAACTGGTAATGCATTGAACGGTAACGAAAAAAAAAAAAAATTCGAAGGATTAAAATACGTCAGACTGAATTCCAGTTTAACATTACTTTCACTCTCTGCAGTTCAGCAGCTTGTCAAAGACTATTCAAGCACGTGTGCAACTAAATCGCAGCTGCAAGGACGCATAGAAATACTTGATTTAGAGTCCACATATCTATAGATATATATGTAGTTGGAGATATTAGAGGTGACAGAAACCTTTCTATACTTTAATTACATAAAAGTAAGTGTCGATAGTGATATTTCTGTAGCACGAAACGTTATATATCTCAATCACAGTGGGTTTTACAATTAGATTGAGGTCGGAGTTAATGATAGATTTCCGTAAGCCTTCATCAGTATCAATAGTAATCTCATCCGCTGTAACTGGAATAAAATTTATTCCCTTGTTGTACGTGATGTCGATCGTGTTTACATCTTTAAAGGAATAAAAAAAATATAATGTAAAGAGTATAAGAAAGAAATGGACGTGATTTAACATCACACTAAAACGATCAGATGATCTTGTCCAAGAGTCACTTCTTATCACACGCTTCATTGCATCTTCTTTCTTTCTTACTCCTCAACTGTTTCGACTTGACTAAAGTACGTTATTTATTTCCTTTTTTGCCGTAGGATCGACGTAACTTATGCAAATACCAGGCTCGCATCGAGTATAGACTGTGAATCACATCGATGATCATGGCTCACTGGAATTTCGTCCAAGAATGGGCAATAGGATATTTTTCTACTTCTTCTCCTTATACATTAGTGCACGAGTGCATTACTTCCTTAGTTACTGTTGAGTATAACATGCTCTGTTGCGCAGAGACACCGTTACCACCGGCTAGTTTGTGCTAGGAAAATATGTATCTCGATTTCTTTCGTATCGTATAATATTAATATATTACTGCTTACATGTCACAACTGGCACATTCTCTCAATTCACGTTCTCATGACAATTATTTATAATTATTCGATAAATTGACATGTTATCCATACAATAAAAGTATGAATTGTTGTTGTTAAATATTTATGCTGCAGTGATAAACTTGTTATAACGGAATGAATGTTCCTTGATGAGGATTTTTTAATTAAAAATTACTAAGTTGGGCATTGAGAGCTGAGTAAGGATTATTTTTATGTGCAATTAAAATTAAAAAAATTAAATTTTGTTTCTTAATTGTAATAATTATATTATTTAAGTATAATTTTATTATATTCTCTTAAAATTGTTTTTTGTTGTTTTAAGAAAGGATTTAGTGCAGAAAAAAAATTGTTATTTTCATTTGGTGACGAAAAACTTTGACTTGGAATTAATTGTATTTTTTTTTTATTGAATTGTTTTATTTATAAGACATTTCTAAACATTTTTCGTGTGAAAGTTTTGGATGATTTTATTTGAATAATTATAATTATTATTCAAGAAGTCAAAAACACTGTTTTTACATCAGTTTAATTATATTTATATTTTTGATTATGTTTTAATATTTCAATTAAAAATTTCCACACAAGGCAATGGTTTTTATCAACTTAAAATCTTATCATTGAATTAAGATCATATATTCAATTTATATATTGTCTTTCAAACAATTGTTTTGAATACAAAAAGTTGATTTAATTTTAAAAATTAATTTGTTTGTTTGTTAATTTATTCAAAAAATGATTAAAATTGAATCGAAAAAAATTATTTTTAATTAACTTACTTTTATGTATATTTCTTCAAAAAAATTTCTAAATAAAATGAAGAAATATTTTTCTTTATGACTAATGAAGACGAAAATATTTTTAAATTCAAAATTTATTGCCAGCAGAGAATTTCTATATATCATAAATTTAATCATATTTAATGATACCACAGATATTTTTTATGCAAACATTTCACACTCTTCTTCAAACAATATTTAACCAAAACCAGAAAATATTTCTCCATGACTAATTAAAAAAATACATCTTTAATAAAATGAATATTTCTCCTCCCAATGTCATATTAAAATCCATATCAAAAAGAAAAAAACCTTCTGAACTAATGAAATATTCATTAATCCTATTTTATAAAATATGAATACTCTACAAATTATCTCATGTCTTAATCTTGATCATAGTACATAAATAAATTTCAAAATAAAGAAATATATAAACCAAGTAGCTACATGAACCTGCCTCAAACTAATAACCATAAATAATTTTTCTAATAAATAAATAATCACACCCATAAAAATCAATTAATAAAATATCTATTCACTTTTTCTCAAATTAAATAATTAAATTTAATTATCTATTGAGAAGACATCAATTATCATGAATCTAAAGTGAAACCTTTTTCAACAATTTCCCTAGTTAAAATATCTTTATTGTCATGGGGATTATCTTTGATCTTTTTCAACTCATCTAAGCTTGAAAGCGAAATAAAAAGCTTAATTCAAAGTAAAGCATGAGACATAAATATCAAACATAATGTGATTGGTATACTTAAATCTATTCGAATTTTTTTCAACTCACCTTCATTTTTTCATCCAAGTCTCCTCAATCCCGAATAGAACCGGTTGTAGCTACGTCATGGCTTCTACTCTGCAATTTTAAATAGACAACTTTCTTATATAATGACAAGCCATCATCTTTGATTAATTGATCACGTAAGTAATGGTCACCGAGATTTAATTGTGTGATCACAATCATTCTTATAGTATCACAATTTCCTGAATCCATTTTTAAATTTCTAAATGAATAAATCAATGACGCTCGATCTTGCAGATGAGTTTAAATCTACGGCCTTAGTCATTTCCTGTCTCGTATTTATATATATATGGCTACTATAACTACAGAATCTTTAATTTCCCATTCTCTTACCTCCCATATCTCTCTTACACATATGCATTCATAAAATCTTTTACTTATTTTTTTTTCGTAATATTGTACGTATCGTCTTCTCTGTAATATTACCAATAGCCTTTCCGACATGTAGTAATTAGACATTGCTTCGTTAGCATGCAAGTGCAATTACCTTAACGCGAAAAACGACTTGAGCTCCACCTCTAGATATATTTTAATCATCAATAAAATTAAAAAATTATTACTCTTCCCTTTCAATAATTATTCCAATGGTTTTATAACTGCGAAAAATTCCTCCTCAGACAAATTGATGTAAACATAAATACTTGATGTAGAAGAAAAAAAAAAGCCAGCCTCTATTTAATATTTCACTCTCGAGCTGAAAAGTGAGTTGAATACTCAAGAACTAGCTCATGCTCATTTCTACGAAGGATTACGTGTTAATGGGTGTGGACATAGTTGTATTATGTTGAACCAACAATCAGCATAACATGAGCAACGATGCGAATAAATCAGGTATTTCGACGAAGAGTAATTGGAAAAAAATACTTGACTTGAAACAAAAGGAAAAATGTTTAAACGAAGATGTACGACGTCATATGGGTTGTTTATGCTTAAAAAAGAAGATATGTACGAAAAGCAAGGTGTATATAAACGTTGTTTCTTTTATATCCATACAACAGGCACACCCGTAAGAGCACCAAGACTCAACCCGCCTCGAATTCCTCGTCGAGTTTCATTGCCCATTATTCATTCTTAGTGCGTATACACCAACCAAGGGATGTACTTACATTCCTCTACATGGATAATATGCCGATGGGGTTTCGTCAGGATCGTTTTCGTCTTGGGACTCATCTCCCGCACTGGCAAAAATTTATTCCAAAAGCCTCGAGGCGACGACTCAAGAGAGTTAAAAGCATCGCGTGTCATGGGAAATATTATATTCTTTCTCTATACAATTTTCACTCATCTTCGAGCTTGAGTCATAATACGCCAAACAACCATAAAATGACGAAAAGATGTGTCAAGATAATTTTTTTTAATAAACTTCGAGGAAGTCATAAAACGCGCTAAAGAGTTACTACTTGCTTTTTATGCCGTCTAAAATGATTAGTTCGGGTATGCACTTGCATTCCACTATCTCTTGTGAACATCCCAAGAGAAATTTTCTTGCCATTTTTAAACTCCACTCTAAATCCTCATTTAAAACTAGAAACAACCTTCTAATCATAACAAAAACGTTTTACTTGTGAATGAAAAAAAATAAAAAAAATTATTCTCTCAAAAATGGCCTCATTAGAATCTAAAAACATCTTTGAAAAGATAACGAGAATTTTATCACTGCTCTGATTTTCTCCCTGCCATCAAACAAGTCAGTTTAAAACCATTTAAAATGATTAGTTGGGGCATGTAGTTGCATTTTACTATCTGAAGAGTATCGTGTAATTCCGTTATTTAGATGACCTTACTTTTATCGCTAGACAAAGAGAGAAAATTCATTTACGATTGAAATGAGACCAACACAGACACTGTTGTGAATGACTAAAAATGTAGGAAATTTCCAATCTATTCCGATCTGCAGAGGCACTGAATGATAAACCAATAAGCCCACGCGTCGGCTTTTTAAAATTGAAGGCGCCTAAAAAGCCGCAGGAGACAACGCAGTCGATCTGGTTGCGCAAACCGCTTGACTTTCACTGGTCGCTGCGTATGATGTTGGAAAACGAGCTGCTTGTAAGTGTATATACTTTACACGTATATCCAATCTACAGGGTAAAGGAATAATATCGTTGTACACACATCACATACTACATATAATCTCCAAGCACGTGTGCGTTACCAGCCAGCGTGTCGAGGACGCGTGTGTTTGCTCGTTTGGTGTGCGCTTGTTTAAGTATATATCGAGTTCAAAAACACATTTGAGTTTGATTGTTTTCACTCGTCGTGTGATAAAATGTTAAATAAAAAATAGAGAAAAAATATTTTTCACGGTTTGAATGACTTTTTACGAGCATGTTGTTGATGATGAGTAATGATAATTCCTAGAATATGGGTAATGTTTTGAAAAATTCCACCAACTGTAATTCAAAGTCTCCATTGACGTCATCGATAAACTCGGCGGTACCAAGATGGTGGCGGTTTGCTCACCGCGAGCAAAATCGACAGGACACTATCCGGCAGGACCGGTTCCGATCTGGCTCGCGTCGACGTTTTACAGGATGAAGAACAAGACAAGGAAAGCAAGATACTAAGAAATGCTTTGATCTCGCGTGATCAATTCTCTCGGGAATAATTATCAGGGTGCATTCTGCCTCCGGCCTTTAGAATTAATAATCGAATCGCTTGCGGAGAAAGCATGTTAAATATTCAGAACTTGACATTTAAATCCGCTGAGTTGTAGACAATAGTTTGGAGATTTATTGGGAACGATTGAGACATCAATGATTAATGAGTTTTCAGACGTGCATCATTTATGGACATGGGTTGATGATACACTTGAGAGAGAGAGTTCGATGCGTGTTAAAGGTAGATCAACAGGATTCATATTATGTCACTTTAGATCTTATATATATCAACTTGGTGTCCTTGTTTTGAGAGTGTTGTCCTCGAATTTATATAAGATGACACATAAAGATATATTACGACCATTTATATTCGATAATAGTTTTAATTTTGCCGCTAAAGCGTTTAATTAAATTCCTATTGTTTCATGCGAGTTAATATTATGTATGATAAGATAAAGGAATGCGTGATTTGACGTGTCATCAAATTATTACTAAATAAAATTGTCCTCGACACTTTCATTTATTTTAGGTCAGTCCCACGTTAAACCCACTATTGTTCGATTGTCATGAAATCAAATATCGATTTGTGAGTGTGTATTTTTTTTTTGGTGAAAAGCCGACTCACTGGGATAAAAAGTGAAACCGAGGTGATAACCGCTTGATGCGCACCCGTATGTGCAACGAGCCATGAAGAGAGTTTCTCGGACTTTCCGTGTGATCTCACTTTTTTTTCCATTTTGGTACTCTAGAGTAAGCATGGTTCAACTTTATGCTTCTTGATAGATTTCTTTGATACTTATATGGGCATGGAAAAATTAGCATTATGAAATAAGAGATGTTGAGGAAATAATGAATAAATTAGACAAAGTGTGTACGTTTGTGTATACAACGAGAATGAGATTGAGAAAATGAGATAGTTGTTTTGTTCTTGCATTTTACCGTCACTAGGAAATTCAACTGTAATCCTTGTTCTTGAGTAAATACTCAAAATCACCCAATTTAAACTTACAAATCCCTTGGCTCGATTTAAGAGACGAGCAATGTTTACAGTTAATCCTCAGTTTTGATTAAAAAGCAGACAAAGATGTCATCCAAAGTAAAAAACTCTAACAAACTACCCTCAGTATTTTCTTCAACAACTATAAAACTTCACAGGTCACGAATTGTTATTTTTTTAATGTCAATTTTCTCAGCAGACATTCCGTTAGAGCACCCACCTCAGAACACCAACGGGATCAAAACGATCTCGATCATCATCATTATCATCACTATGAATTAGCCTGTCGTGACTTCGCATTCACGCGTGACGTAATGAAAAGGTGATGGAGAAAAGGCGGAAGAGCCCGGCGAATTTTTCCCCCGAGCTGCGACTCGTGGTTCCGTTACAGGTCGCGCGCTCCAACTTCTCAGGTTTCTCCCTGACTTATTTCTCCCTGACTTATTTCTCCCTTTTAACCGCAGGTGTTTTCTTTAAATGCTTCCGGGCACGATGACGCAGGCCAAAACCGACAACAAAACAGTCACAGTTGGGTCCCGACACTTCAAGACCAAACATACCTTTGTTTTTTTTTAGCTGCGCGAAACAGGTGTCGCTGGTACAGTGAAACGATCGAGACTGGCGGTTGATCGTTAGCTCGAGTGCTCGTTACTCGCAACAGTGGCCCCTGCAGTTCTGCTGGGGAACCGCTCAGGCCCCCACCGCCATCAGGAGTTCATCATGGACGCGTTCACCACACCGTTCTCTAAGACTATTCTCTTCATACACATGAGTACTTGCTCACACGTAAGACCCCGTGGTGATTAAATATGTATTAGTGTCACAAGCAAGTTTATTTATGTGTTTATAGCTGCACACAGAGGCAACGAGGCTCATCGCGAACGAGAATTCTCTCCTTTTCACCGTGAATACCTCGGCTCTTTTATCTTCTCCACTCTAATCGTCTCAGTCAGTCTTTTGTCTTTTTCTCAGTCGCTTTTACCTCCAGCGACAATTCGCCTCTTCTTATTTCCTACTCACTCGAATTGCTCTCCGCTTCTAGAAGGTAACGACAAAAAATCGTCTGGGGTTGAAATGGCAAAAAAGAAATAAACGAAAATCGGGTTTCAAGTCGGTGCATTTTGTCGAGAAGAATAAACAGCAGAAGAAGAATAGATGGAGAAGGGAACCAGGTAGTGATGGAGACTTTATCTATCTATGGTATCACTGTGGAGGCAATATTGGTTATGATACTGAGCCAGTTGGAATATTGATCAGAAACTATTAAGTGATTGATTAAATTTTTATTTAGTCAATCTTCAATTTTCTTCTATTATAGTATATGGGATATAGAAGAAGAAGAAGAAGAGAAGAAGAAGTACTTGTTCGATTATAATTTCATCTCTATCAAGTGGAAAAGTGATTCTCGATGGTCAAGGGGGAGAGTAAAAAGAGAAGGAGAGTGAGTGGCGAGGAGATAAAGAGTAAGGGACGAGAGGGCGTGGGCGCCCAAGGCCTTCTGCTCGCCTTTTACGGTCAGGCGGAGCCGGACACACCGAAGAGAACGTTGGCGAGAGTCCGCGAAATAAGAGAGAGCCAGGTATTACAAATAAATAGAGATGAAAAAGCTCGAAAGAGAGTGTTGCTTACCATTTCAAGACAACCAAGTGTCTGGGTAAGAAGCAAAGTGGAGAATTTTTCAAATTTATTGTCATCAAAAATAACAGAACTCTCGAAATGTCTTGCTGATGCAACTCGAGGGTGAATTCAAATTCAATCGCTTGTTTGGATAAAGAAGTCGATGGTTGTATGCTTAACTTGGCTTCGTTCTCTTTGATTTCATGTCAGCTCTTTCTTGAAAACCATTGCATTCCTCACTTTGTATTCATCTCTCGTTTCGTTTCTCCTCACCGTTGGCATCTTCCGGATGAATCTTTCGTTTGCCCTTACTCGCACACCGCAGATCGAAGATTCGTTCTTCACCTCCGCGTATATATGTATGTATATACACGCCAGCCACATATTAAGTAGTAAGGACTTGGCTCTGATCAGCCTTCGTCCCTCCAACATTGCTCGAAGCTTCAAAATTTTTTTCAACCAAGGGTGAGGATTTTCAATAATGCAGACATGCACTCCCATCTGTGTTTATCATTTTGTAGAATCAATTAAATTTTTTCGCGACTCCTCGCGAGTTTCTGCTTGTCTTATTTTTTTCTTTTTCATTAATCTTATGAGCACGATAGAAAGAATAATGATGATTTTTTGGCGCAAAGTAAATTTGAAGTCGCGAGAGGTTTTTTAGGATTGCGTTGACGCCTACAGGTTGAGGCTCCTTACACCCCATAAAGTGAACGATTGTATACAGCAGGGAGGTAAGGACAAGTCGTCGTCAATGTACTTGGCGTACAACACAATCCCATACGCACACCCACGATCTCTCTCGAATGGTTGCTTGAGGGCACACACATCAGTTGGCGTATATACATTATATAGAAGTAGACTCCACGATATTCTCACGTACATACGTACGTAGAACGTCGGGGATTCGAACTCGAGCGCGGCCAGTAACCTCATTGGCGGCGCCTGGAACCTCGCCCGAGGATCCAAGTGCATTCTCGACGCACACGAAATGCACTCTAGTGTACTTGGTCGTCGTATATGTTTGGCTGTTGTCAGAAACATAGAGTACAAGGAAGAGGTGGAGAAGAAGGAAGCTAAGATTCATTGAAGCATCGATTGGCTTTATATACTTTTCGCTCGATGCCAAATGATATCGTGTTGCGCGACAAAGTGCCGTCCTCGACGTGAACTTTCCTTCGTATAAATCGCAACCAACGACTTCACTAAACTCAAGCAAAAAGAGTCGTCTGATTTCAGGATTAATTGGCATTGATGCGTCGCCGTAGGGCGATCAGATCTCTTCTGATCCCTCCTCTCGTTAAAGACTCGCCGCCGACTAGCATTCTTGACGCATCGCATGCAATTTATCCCCTTGGCATCCCGAAAGATCACTTGCGTGCATTCCCAACGCCAGATGCTCTCTCGTGATGTGCATCAGGAGAAGAACAGACTTGAAGCTCCAAGATCCGTAGGTCTCTTCTTCATTCCACACAGCTCGAGATCACTCCTCGACACTCGGTTAGATCCTCATCAAGATCTTACATTGCTCGGGTATATCGCGCGACGAATGCGAACGAGGGAAACGCATTCTCACGTGCGTACACGTGCGCTCACTTGGACCCATTGGTATAAGGATATAAGGATGTAGCTCTCATCCTTGAGGAGAATAAGCAAACATACTTGCAAAGCCGACGCCAATGGTAACCGCGTGGGCATCAGTCGATGAGAAGAAAAGAGAAGAGTCTGAAAACCTCAAGGTGATCCGTGTATCGATGCAGAAGGTGAGAAAAACCAATTACTTTGTAGCATCCAATTTTACCTCAATGATTGATCGAAGATTGTCTTTAACTGGAAATAAGGTCAGTGAGGCTTTAGATACTCATTCGGCTTTTCTTCGAGTATTATCCAAGACACTTTCGTTTATTCCACGACCCAGACAACCGTAAACTAGGAGGCTTTAAGCATCCATGAAAGAGCTTTTGTTCACTTTCTCGTCTTCCGGAAATTCTGTATACTGTCTTTGTATATCTTGGCAGTTAGCCCCATCAGTATATGCTTTGAAATAGTTAACAGCTAATTTTGTAATCGTTTCTACTCATGTTTCTATCTTTTCACACGTTTTTCTATTCATCCCAAGACACAGTGTGCTGTCATACTCTACACATTTTCGCACTTTGACCAAACGAACAACTGTCATGTTGGTATTCTCGTGCTAAATTTTATACACCCATTAAAAACTCATGTAATCTACATACGTATTATTTTACCACTCTTTGCTTACTGTTTTCTAACCGTTAAGCGTGTCAAACGATCTGTAATAAATGCTTGGTCGACATGAAACGATTTGTTACGTATTCATTCGTCTCACTGGATCCAAACAGTCCTATTTCCTTCAAGAAAATACTTGCAAGAATATTACCAATCAAACTTTAAATACATTTCTTGATAGGTATACATGCTGAGTTATTATCCTAGAATATTACGAGTTGCACTTAAATCTCTGTTAGTTTATTTAGCTATAATAATTCGTCCGTTAAACCGTGTATCTATTCCATCATCTTATTCCTCTTTTTACTGCCGATCTTCAAGGGCCGATATACTGTTAGCCTTCCTCTAAGATTTATGCAAAGGTAACTGTTTATACTATAAAGATCCAAAAACATTGTTAAGCATTTATAAACATTAACTAGCGTAAATAAATTATTTTTACCGTCTTTTTTTTTTAATCTTTCAAGGTATCTCTTGGTCGAGTGGTGAGAAAAATATTTCAAAAAAATTTATTAACCATGTTTTTAAAATATAACATGGGTGCATTGAGCAAAAAGAAAACGACTTCAAGTGTTTTTTTTTATTGTTAATGTTAAATTTTTAATACTATTAACATAATTGCATTTATTTTTAGATGTTTTTTTTTTGTTGAGGTCATTATCCACTGATAGAACCTTTTATATTATTGCCTATAAAAAACACATATATTTTTAACTTCGTCCCACACACTTTTTCTAAGCAGACGAATATTTTCCTTCTATTTATCTTTTTTGTCTATTTTAAAGCACGAGAATGTATAACAAGGATTGAAATAAGCAAAAAAAATGGGAACGTGATATTCGATAAAATTCCTCCATGTAGTCTGTTAATCTGAAATTAGTGGGAGATATTTTATTGATTTATTGAATAAAATGTGTTGAAATAGATTGTTTCGACGATAAAAAAATTACTGAAGGACAAATTGCGTGCTCTAAGTTAAGAAAAATCTAGTCTGGTGTACAGTAAATCAGTTGGTAATGAATATGTACGACTGAAGTTTAGTAGGATTTTGAAGAATTTATAAAATATGTAGAAAAAAAGGGAAACAATAAAGCGACGTGAGACTTCTAGTTTCATTTGAATAGTTCTTTGAGGAATAAATTTAACAAGTTGTGAATTCTGTAGCTTCGGGTGGCAAGCCTTAAATTTAGTCTTTGAATATTGATCAAGTTTTGATGAGTGGGTTAGAATAAATTTTTCTTTCTTGAAAGAGACTTTATTTGGGATTAAACAATTGGAGTGTCTTAATCAATCAAATGGAAAGAAAATATTTTCTTATGGACATTTTAATTTTTTTCAATTTTTTGCTCATTGAATAAAAAGAATTTCTGGTAATTAATTTATTTAAAATAGTGAGTGAAAAATGGTTTTTTTATTCAAATGTAGTTTCGGTATTTTTCTGAGTAATTTTGGCCTCTAAATATTCTAATAAAAACTACAAGACAACACTTGACAAATCTTGTATGAATAAAAACATTGTGGAGTAATACCAACATTTAGGTATTAATTTAAAAAAATGTTAGTTATTTTGTAATAATATCTTTCCAGTAAGTCTAATTGTTTTTAAAAATAATCTAATTCAAAATTTTTTAAAGTTTTATTCATAATTTTATTTTTTGTTTAAAAAAAAAATAATGTCGGTTGTATTTAAGTTGAAAATAAATGAAAACTTCATTTTCCCTTGTCCATTTAATTTGTAAATATGTTTGCATTTTTTTTTTAATCCAATAAAATTAATTTGGCATGAAAAAACTGATTGATGAGCATCACTTAAACGATGGACAAGTTTTTAAATTAGAGACGAGTTAAAATATTAATGGAGCAAATTATTCGTCTGCTATCTAATCACAGGCTTTTAATTTTAAAGAGTATAATTTTTTTCAACGCCAGTATTTTTTAAACCTGTGATAATTTTTTTTGTTCTCTTCTATTTTTCCTTTTTTATTCCAACCATTCATTCATCAATTTGCTTACCCTTGCAATGTTAACCTCGATTCATAGTTTTCTCTTACTCCAGAAACACCGTACTTTTTACTATATAACAAAATAAAACATATCGGTATCTTGAGATTCTTTATTGTCTATAAAATTTTATTGTGAAAATTGTCTGAAGTATACATTGAAAAATAATAAAAATTTCTACTATGTATTATTTGTTATTCATTACATCTCGAAAAGTTTTCACTAGGCATTTACATTTATTAAGAATATTGATAACATTGAAATTCCTCTAAGGGCATATTGAAATCATCTCATAAAACTGCACAACAAAAGCTTCAATTTTCTTTGAAAACAAAAAAATACAGATAAACCGGCAGAAAAAAAATTATTCACAGAAATAATCTGAATAAAAATCTACTCATCCCAAGATAAAATGAAAACAAATTTCCTTTTTCCAACAATGAAGCATAAAAAACATCCTCGAGGTGAAAAAAATTAGTTAAATATGATTTTCTTTGTTCGTGATAAGAGAGACAATCAGATCGAGTGTAACAATAAAAAATGGCCGAAACGAGGCGGCATCTTCAGTTGTGGCAAATCGATAATTTCTTAGTGGACTCCCAAGGATCGTTGAGAGTGACCACGAAGAATCAGAGGTAGATGAGGCGAGGTGGAAAGAGAATGATGATGCAAACCGGTTGTTGTGGAGTCGGCACGGGAACGTTTATGCGCCTGGAGAAAACAGAGAAGCGGTCACCGAATACGGCAGCGATCTTCTTGACTATCGGTAGTAGGCCTGGATGTATATACAGAGGGTATCTGTATCCTCTTTAATCCACAAAGTCAAGCGAGAGGGGTATATCGATATCCCTTTAGTTGTACCTCATTCGTTACAGATCCCTCTCACGTCCCATTCATTCGTTCGCACGAGCTATACGATCGAATTTACTCTTCTCACAACCGTGTATCTCGACTCGTCTTCCTCTACCGCATCATTTATAGCTTTTACTTCCGTGATTCCATTTCTGAGCTATATCTCTTGTGTACCGTGTCCTTCCGTATTGAAATAATAGCCATAATAATCATTTCCAAACGCTTTTTATTAGACCGTTTTATATCTCATCCTGTTGGATTGATAAATTGATAAAAGCTGCCAGGAATAGAATTTGAGGATGGGTTTATGGAATGATAAAGGGATAAAAAAATATATATCTAGAATCCATACAACACATCATTTCTTTTTTTTTTAAATCTTTTTTTTATATACTCTCCGTTTGTTTTATTCAATACCACTGAATTTATCTCTATTTTATATTCTTCTGAAAATTCATCTCACCAAGTTTCTCTCTTTTGTTTTACATTTTTTTTATCAATTACATTATACAATTGAATGTAAGACACATTACAAAGGCTTAGTCATGGATTTTTTTTTGCACTATTAACACTCTATTTTTAGAGTCCATTTATATTATTAGTTATCTTTGGTCCTCCGTACCATGTTGATTAAAAAAAAAAAAGTGTAAGAAGAAACAACAGTAGTAATTATCATATAGATGTACAAGAATCTCTTTTGAATCTAATCCTGCAAGTCATTAAAGCTGTCTTTTTTCAATTATCTTGCTAGCTATTTATGAAACTTTCAGCATGTATAAGTCCTTGGTGTATTTAATTAATAACAATTATAATGGTAATTATTATAATAATGATAATAAAATAATTTAACGACTAGAAAAGACTAGAGTTGATAATAAACATCAAAAATGAATTAGAAAAAATAAATAATTGAACAAATAATAGATGTCACTTGACATAGTCGATAGCACATTTATTCGTTGCACGTATCGGAAGAAGGCACGTCTTTTAATTTGGCACTTGCGTAATAAAATTAGCATATGAATCTATCGCAGGACAATGATTGACAGGAATGTGTTACATCTATATAAATTGTTGGAATAGTCTCTGTCTTTGACATTCACTGTAATCAATCCTGGATAGCTATTTGAACCCAATAACGTCACTAAAGTGCTCTGGCAGTGTTCCTCTGCTTTTGAATTGAATTGATTTTCCAATCTTTTAACACAGAGTCCAAACTCGCTTCACTTTCTTACGAATCACTAGGTATCATCTTGGATTCAGAATCATTAACTCAAGTCCCTTGATGGGTCGATGGATCCAGCGATGAAAGAAACAGTGCCTGAAATAGATAAACGTTATTTTTATAAGCATAATTATCACTCGTTTGAAACTGTTCCAAAAACCATCCGCATGTTGACGCACGTGATCGTTAGAGTTTAATCAAGACCCACAAACAGTTTTAAGATAGTAACTAGTTATTATTAAGGTGTATCGCTTGTCTATCAGGCGATAGAGGAATATTTTTGAACAGAATGTTACCGCGTGCTCTAAATAGTCCCCTCTATAAACGATGTTGTAACAGGCTTCTCTCGGATGCTCTGTCCCTCACGTATACGTCAAGCTCTGTTCCACCCACTATTTTACTTCAACCCACCGTGACTCGACATTCAAGTCAAGGAAATGACCGAGTCTAATCACTCTTGACAGAATTCTCTCAGCTTCGTGTGAAACTATCCGACTTGGACTATTTTTCCGCGTTCATTCTTTCCCCTTCTCTATCTCTATATCACTTCCTATCTTTTTCTTCCTGCACTCACTCATCATACAACCAAGTTATAATTAATGCTTACACCTACATCAGGCTTCCTGGAGTTCCCCCTTGATTCCTGGAGTGTTATGGTGATGCCTGGTTGCCAGTTTGTTGGCCAACTCGTGCATTACGTCTCGGTAAATGACCGTGTCCAAATTCTCGCCCAGCATGTACAGAAGAAACCAGTCGCCGACTTTGCTTCGTCGTACTATTGTTTCTATTGCATCTCTTTTTACTAAACGAAATCGCAGCCTCAGCAGGTAGACCCTCGTTCTTGGGGAAAAAATAATGACTACCTAGAAAGAAAAAAGAAAAATATTTGTTCTTATTTTTTTAATTATAATAATAATATGTATGTTAGAAGTCGAGAGGAAAATAATTATGGCAATTTTATTGTGACAGGACTGATTACTGTAGGCTTTTGTCAGCTCCACAGTTGGTTGGAAGCTACTAATGAATAGTCATTTTTTAGGAATGAAAAAAAATTAAACTTTCTTCCGATCAATAACCTTCGAATCAGTAATTCACTTATGAAATTAGTTAAAAATTTCTTTACAAATTAAATTAATAAGTATTCGTTTCAGGAAATTACATTAACTAAATTAGCGTACTAATTTGATAATTTAATTAATTTTACTCAACTCTATCATAGTTAATTTTTTTCATTCACGTATGACATTAATTTCTGATAAATTATCACTGATAATCATTTACATTCTATTCTAGACGATGAATACAAGGATGACAATTATAATAATAAGAAATTCTTATTCATTAAGCAGAAAATTTACACAATTATCTTAAAAAACATTTTATATTGACATGGAAATTATAAACTTATGATAGACTATAAAAATAATGACAACCGGCAATATATCATACTTAAAAAAAATTCAATTAGTATTAAATTAAATTTTGGTAAGGACATAAAAATTTCTCAATTCAATTTGAGTGTCAATGATTATAAAGATATGGATTAATATAAATTAATTAGAAAAAAAATAAATTATCAAACTGTACCATAAAAAAAAAAATTAAATTTTTCTGCATTAAACCACCTAATTTTTTTGAAATCATATAAATCATTCAGACTTTAATTTCACAAATTTAACCGAATGCTACTAATTGTATTGAAAAAAATTAAAATGATATTATTATAAAATTACTTATAAATAATTCGATAATAAATATAAGAATACCATATTGCTGTTACATAAATAATAACACGTCTTGAATATATTATTTAAATGAAACACCGTAATTGTTGTAAGGTATTTTACAATACCACTCTTACATTCCATATAATCAACTACAGGCTCTATTAAAATTTTTTTCGATTTCTTTTTATTGCAAAAGTACTCAATCCTTTCTCGCAGCAACAATTTGTTTATTACCTCATAATAAACCAATTCAAAGACCATTACGAGTTGTTTAAAAGTATCTTTAAGTGTAAAGTTATCTAGAATTGGCTAATGATAATATATATGATTATACTTACTCTGTATACAACAGTCAATAGACTAAGAATGCCAAGAAAGAGGAACCAGAACCACAGGAAGACGTAGATTTTCTCATTAACGACATTCAACGGAAGTATGCACACAGCATCATGTCGTTCGACCTCACCACTCACTCCGTATTTGTAAAAAGTGCACTTTGTCATCCTAGGGAAGACGTAGATCATTGGATCAATGCGATCTTCTTGATCAGACTCAAGAAACCGCAACACGTCGATGCCAAATGTCAGGAAAGCACCGTCAAAAAATCGGTTCATCAGGAACATCTGGCCTGCGCAAATGGTTTTATAAGTGATTTTCAAGTTGTTAATATAATACTCAAGGTCATCTTCGTCTTTCATTTCTTATTAATTAAATTGCCAGTTATTTGAATAATGAGCGAAACTTTAATGAAGTTAGTCAACTGTATGGATGCCAAGTGATCTTGTAAGACAAAGTATTTGTTATCTTGATTTGAATAAGAAGTGATATAATAGTTGAAAAATAAATTTGTGACTTTTCTAATAGAAACTTGAATGTTTATTTTTGGTCCGAGCTAATTAAGTAATTAATCAGTTCACACAACATTTTTAATTGTTTATACAACAATAAATCTGGTCTAGCTTATTATTTTTAAACGTTTCCAATTTATTTTTAAATTAGAAATAATTCATAGAAACTAATAGAGGTTACAACAATATTAGGATGACTCTCTAGAATAACGTTGCTTTTTTAAAAATTCTAGTGATTTGAAAGAAAATGAATTGCAAGAGTTTAAAATGAATGATTTGAAAATTTATAACTTGTACATGACTTCATGGACTTGGAAGTTGATTGGTTGATGACTTAATCAGAGCGAAAAATTTTTATTGGTAGCAAGTTTTTATTTTTATCATTATTATTTTTATGGTTATTATACTTTAGTAGCACAAAGTATTATTCAAGTATTGGAATTAAATTCAGAATTAGAAGAAATGAAGGATTTTTTTCTTCTTTATGGCCAATTACTTATTTTTATTTAACTATAGTTTCTCATTTGGCATGAAGTAAAAATTACTGTGTTTAATGTTCATTTTTGCTCGTATGAACATTAAAAATAAATATACCAGTAAATGAATCCTATCATTTGTATGAAATTACAGAATAACTACATATATTTCAATAATTAAATATATTCTTCCATCTCTAATCATTCTAAAATAACTATAATCGTATTTTCCAATACTCAAACTACTTTAGAAAAAGCCTTACTATTTACTCTGAAACTAGGAAACCAGGACAAAACGGAACAATCGTCATTTTCTCACAGAGCGCAGAACCAAATCCTATGGAATGTAATTTGGTGTACGTGTCAAAAAAATCTAGGTCCTTTTAAAAATATTTTTAGCCTTTTTTTTTTCTTTTTTCAAAGAGAAATCTTGGTAAATATGTAAAAATGACAACATACTAGTGATGGAATAGAAATAAAATAGAGTGGTGATAATTAAATGGAATTTTCGATGAAATATTTATGAGAGATGAGTGTTAGCTGTGACATGCAATGTTTTCTTTTATTATTTTACCACTTTCTAACTCACCAATGACGTTCACTAAAGCAAGCACTTCGCAAAGATAATATCGGTAAGCCCACCAGTTGTGGTAGCGTAGATTTTCCCACAGATAATCGAGAAGCATTTTCTTCTTTTGCTTCTTCTCGACCTCAGAGCAGAGACCTATGTCGAGGTCCATCATCAAGGCGTGAATCTTCCCGCCTTCCCATCCCTTCCATAACCATCGTGGTGTGTAAAAAAGTATCGCCTAAAAAGTAAAATTGCAATTAAAAAAGCTGTTATAATAAATTTAAAAAACAAATAGATTTTTCGTTTTTATTGGCTAAAAGCCATTACTCGAGTCATTTTAATGATCTTTTTTTTTCTCAAGAAAGCTTTCTGTTCGTAGATGAGTCATCACAATTTATATAGTTTTCTTTTTAATTATCAATTAAATTGATTGAGTTCACTGAGGTTTTTCAATGGGATTATTTATATTATAAAAAGTAATTGAAACTTAATTAGCTAAAGATTAATTCTGACTTTTAATTTTCAACGCACTAAATAATATTTTATTTAAAAACATCGTTTTTGTTGAGTCGATATAATTTATTAATAGTAAATAAATTATCTTTTCACTGTGTGAAATAAATAGTAATGATCTCCTTGAAAGATGAGAATTTACTCCAAAAATAACACTTCAGCTTTGTAAAAATTAGATGAGTTAAATTTCTAGTTAAATTAGAATTTATTTTTCCTGTGCAATAATGAATAAAGAAATTATTCATTAATGTTTCTAAAGAAGCATTTAATTCCCGAAATGTATTTCCAAGTATTTCAAGTTCATAAAATGTAGATAGTGTTAGTCAATAAGCAATAAATAAAAACATGAAATGATCTAAAGATAAATATAAGTAAGTGCATATAAGTATAAAAACAATCAGAAAAGTGTAATCGGGTGATCTTCTCTATAACTTTAATGACCAATCGAGGTAGTGTTTCCAGCAATGAATCGCAGTGGGGTGATGAGGATAGAGAATCTTCGCTGGTAACTGAAGGAAATCGTAAATTACCAAGTCAACTCGTAACGCGCCAAGCAGTAGAAATTTACAACGTTATATATTTGCTTTAATAGAAGGGTAACGAGAAGAGCACCCAGTTATTCACGCAGACGCAATCCTCAAACCGCGAAATTCATATTAAATTATTATTTTCATCCTTGCGAAAGAGTCCAACAGATGATGTTGATGATGAAGGCCTCACACTAATTTTCTATTGTGTTTCTCTTCTCGCGTCCCTGAAGATAATTCCAACGCAAAATTTACGCAAGACAACAATAATATGAAAATAATTTTAGTCTCTAATAAATTTAGGAGGTGATGTTTGCTCTTTGTTTAGCGACTTCAATTATCTTTCAGCAGCTCCACCTGTCGCCCTTGGCGCCATGTACATTCGGTACATCTTTTTCTTTCTTTGTCTTAGTGAGTTGAAAAAGATATGCAGCCTTTATAGTCTTCGAAGAAATCTCTGTTGCAAAATAATCGTCGCAAGGAATCCACGGGCCGTTAATTACCGGATATCGCGGGAAACGTAGAGCTGCATTGGCTGGACCTTTGCCCGAGAATTAAAAGCACAGAAGCGTGTAATGGCATCGGCACGCGGGATTCTTGCACACCAGTATCACGAAGGGGAATAGAGAAAAGGACACTTTGGCTCGTTAATTACATTGGGATGCGAATAAGTTGGAAAGGATACTACTACTACCACCACCATCACCGCCATCACCACTACTACCAGTAGATTTGCTTGATGTTTTTCTTTTTGCCTAGAGGCTCTCGCGAATTATTGCCCGGCTACTGAGTCATTAATCCTACCCTAAAGCCCTCCTGCTCTTGTGATCTTGAAATAAACGACGAGAAATATGAAACTTTGAATAAAACTTGAGGATTCTTAAGTAAATCATGTGAACACACAAAAACCTGTTTCATTTAAAAGTTCTTCTATTTTATTTTGAGGAATTTAAATGCTATAAAATGAAATCACTATCTAAATCCTGTAAAACTGTTATCTATAAAAACATTCTCTATAATCCCATATACCGTCTTGAGTTTTATGTTAATTTATAACTATTTTCAAGATAAAAACAACAGCCCACACACTATTTACAACCCATTTTAATAAAATGTTTTTGCATTAATAGCTCAGCTCTAACACTTATGATACATATTCTACATATCATTTTACATTGAAGTTGCTATAGGTACATTTCTCAAATTGTCTTTGAAGTAAGGTACTTGTAATGCAATTCGAAGTGCAAATACTCTATGAATACATATTCATCATCAGTAATTAAAGTTATAAAAAATTATATCAAGTATTACAACATTTTTTTTTAGTTTTTGATAACTAAATTGGTGAATTTATTCAAGTTGCGCTGGTCAATTTCAACTCTTCTGATGATTTCATTTCTATTTTTTTTTCATTGTCTATCTAAAAATATTTTTCATAGACTCAATGTAATCTATCTATAGTCTCGCTATGAATTTTGTATGAATCATGAGAGATTTTTTAATGTGATTTATTATGTCTATCATTTTTTTTCGAACGTGATATTCATAATTCTTTGCTGTTTCGTAGTTTACTTTCACTGAGTTACCTTTTCTGGGGATTAAATTTTTTTTCTTCAAAATAAAATATGGTGTTATGAAAAAAAAGGTATTAAGTTATGTAAAAGTTATTACACACAAGTAATGATTAATTATTCGAATCATTTTTGAGTTATGTATATAAACATATAACAAATATTTATTCGATAAAAATATATGGCAGGATAAAAAATAAAAAAGTTAACTTGGAGTGGATATTTTTTTGTTTCAATAAAAAATGTTCACTGTTGGTTAAAAGAGTTTCAAACTATCAGACCAATTTTTTTCTCGGAAAACAATGAAAATGTCAACAATTTGGTAACTTTTGTTTAACTGATGCACCGACAGTTTAGATCATATTTTTATAGTCGAAAAAATCGAAAATGTTTTGTTTCATTTTTTTTCCTGCTGTCACTCAACTCCTTTCACTCATAAACAATCGATTGAATCAATGTCCGGCTCTTATGTCAAAGTTAAAAAATTCAAACTTTAAAAACAGTTGATATGTACAAGATAAAAAATGTATTTCGAGTAGAATGAATTTAATAGCAATCAAAAATGAATTCTTCAAATGATTTTGATAAAACAATGGAGTTATAAACCATGAGAAAAAGTTAAGCATCCATGAAAAAATTAGTAAATAATTACAAGTATTAACGAAATAGAAACATTTTTATCCTTAATAATTGTAAAACACTAATAACAAATAATAAATTCCTAAAAATATATTATTGAAAAAACAAAATTATTAAAAATAAATGCAAATAATTAGAAAATTTAATTGGATTAATAGAAAAATAATTGGAACAGAATAAACAAAATTTATTTTCCAATTAATTATTGTTAATAGAAAAATATTTAAACAATCAATTGGAATTATTGCATGTTGTATAAGAGACTTGGTTTTTAAAATGAAATTTAATACATATTATAAAAATAAATTTGAACAAAAAAAATGTTTTCAATCTGTAATGGTTATTGTTTACAAAACATGTTAACTTAATATCTTTATATCAAATAAAAACACAAGGTTAAAATAAAAAGGAAATTATGCAAAATTGAAGGTTGAAAATCATACATAGAAATAAAATCACATAAAAAAGTTAATTATAAAGATAAATACATTTACATTCTAGTTGCTGGTGTTCACGATAGTCATAAAAATATGCTACACTTTGTCATAAATTTTTCTTTAAAAGCATAACGTTATCAAATTAAAAAGCACTATTTAAATAATACTCTTTACCATTTTATATTCCAAGACTTCAGTTGTTATCAATAAATATCAAGTTCAATTATAAACACAAAATTTAATGGATTATTATGTCGACAACTATTAAAGCTTCTGTCAATTAATTAATTGGCTTACGAGCTTTTTACTCAATCCAAAAGATTTTATTACCAAGTTTACATCATACTCAAAAGAAAAAAAAAAAATCACACAATCTCCAAACATGTGAATATTTTATCTATCCTTTTTCCCATGAATTCTGAATAAGTAAAATAATGAAAACTCGTAAATCCTTTAAAAAAAAAATTTTTGCATCATAATTTAAAAAATAAAAAAAATTGTATACCGTACATGGAATTTCCATTTAAATGAAAAATTATCTTGCTTTTAACTTTATCAAACATTTTCTTAATTTTTTTTCAACGTTCAAATGTATGCAAATTCTCATTATAAATGTGTGTAAATAAAGAAAGGAGGGAAGTAACGTAGTTAAAAAGGTATGAAGACACGCGATATTAATTTATAAAATGTTCTCATGGCCATAGTAATTTCTCATCTCTTTCTTAAAGCAATGAGGCGCTTAGAATTACACCTTAGCCGTAAAATTTGTCAGAGTTACACATTTCCAAGGCGAATTATTCATTTCTCTTACTTGGAGCAGCAATACAAAAATCACCCACTGGTAATATTTGTGATGCTTCACTAGAGGATGATTATCATGCACGTGAACATCTGTTTTGCTGTTCGTGACACCAGGATACGGTACGGCGCGTCCTATCGTCATGTTAAATGCATTGATCATGCTGTAGGTTGTATGGAGCCAACAAAATGTCTCCAATACTGCATTATCCACTGCTCCAGTACCTTCACAGTGGATTGGAGATCCTGAGATGCTTTTACAAGCCAGAGTTAAACATCCGGCAAGAAGCAGTGCCACTGTAGCACGATAATGCAACCGAAATATAAAAGTGTCCTCAGAACCCCTTTGGACTTTAAATAAGGACCTGAGGGAGCCAAAAATGTCAATCATCTTCAACATTATTGGCATTATTTGTTCTCTCTCGTTTCCTCACAACCACCACCTGTTCTTCGATTTACTCTAATCTCCTCCAGTTCATCAGCAAGTCTTTATTTTTTTTCATCACTAAATTCCACCTGCACCAATAATACAGTCCACTATCTCGATGGATGCACATAAGGTTTATGTGATCGATGATAATGATTAAATGTATTTTCTGCAATAATTTTAAGTATTCGGATAAAATACATTATTTATTGGATGAGAAATGCGTGAAGATTCAAGACAATATGATATAAAACACGTGGAATGCAAAAGCAAGCCGTTCGAAGACTGACTGGACTTGAGGGGCATCCCTTGGCCTCGACCAAACGGCTGAACATATAACTTATATTATCTCTTGAGTTTCGACCCAATACTCAAGTCTTCATAAATAGCAATCATAAGAATACCCTCGTGGTTAAAATCAAGTGTCAATTTGAAGCTTTATTGCAGAGTAAGAATAAGAAACACTAGAGTTTCTGGTTTTACTCAATTCATACCAATACTTTAGTGAGATATTCCTTATTTATAAATGTCTATTTCATCACTGCCGTTATGCAAATTTACAATCTGGCCACTTTTGCGGTTAATAAATAGTGAGATTAGATACGAAAATTGTTGGGGCAGAAGAGAAATTGAGAAAATGAGTCGGTAAATCGTCATGACATCAGATCTGGTGTAGCATCCGGGTCATTGTCAAACTATAGTTAGTCGAAAACCAGAGTCTGACTCTCTGCAATTCCGTGGGAGACCTTATTACGGCCTCGACCGATTAACGTTCTTCTTCTTTACACTTTTCTCCTCCTTACACCTTTTCCCTTTGTCTCATAAATCTCGCGGCCCTACTGTAAAATAAAAATACCCGCACCCGATGTAATGAGAATAATGATTTAATGATGGAAGTAAATCGTATCGATAAAAAGTGACAGATGAAAAAAATGTCAACGAGACAATTAGTGTCAGTGGATATTAATCTTTGGTGTTTTTCTCGTATGACACCTTATAAAGTCGCAGTACGTATTTACCTGCAAGACTGGTATTACTGTTAATTGGTATGTAAAAACAAATTACTGCATTCCACAGTATTATTGAGAATAAAACATTTTATGTTGATGACAGCAATCTTTTGGAATTGTTTGAGACTCCTTTAGGAGCAGTTTCGAGAAAAGAGAATTCACATTTGGACAATTTAAGTAAATAAAAATGAATTAAAGAAAGACAATAGAGATGGAATGTGGAGAATAAAAATGTCAAAGAATGTTTCTTTTAATTGTCCAGTTCCTTCTTTGATTTTGAAACAAAAGAAATACCATTATTTCTCAGTTATTTTGTCTTGAAGGAATATTCTTTGGTGTATGAAAAAAAAATTAGTTTTCGTTGAAATATACTTTGTAAAAAATTGCAAGGAAGTATTTTACTATCAATATGTCATTTTTATGCATCTTTTTTATATCTTTACTGTTGAATACTTTTCGAACCAATAATAAAACATGTGAAAGTATTCTCAAAAGATATAAATTAGTTTTTATGAGAGAACGAAATTCAAAGCCTAGACTATATTTATTTTTAAATGTTTTTCAAAATTTATTTAATTTAATAACTCAAGCTGAAATTTTTTAGATATCAACAACTTCAAGTAAAGAACCTCAATAAAATTAATAAAAATCATCATACTTTTATTTGTTTGAGAAAAATAAAATTAACTCTATTGTTAATTATTACTAGATAAAAACAATGTGGATTTAATGAAAATTATTAAAAAATCTTTCAAAAAAACTAATTGACTTAAATCATAATTCCTCATATTAAAAATAATACCTCAACCTCCGAGTTTAAGGCTAAGAAATATTTTCCACGGTCATCTTCTTTCACACAATACTCACGAATTCACGTGTACTTTCAAACATCTTAATACTTATATATCCAGATAATGTCTACAAGTATGTAAATAATAATGGAAAAATGACCCTCGTACTACAAAAGCTGTCGATAATATACTTAAGGTTTCTTACTTGGCAATGAACTAGATCACCAAGTTGTCAATAAGCAAGTGAACAAATACCGTAGATGTCTTCAATCAATCTGATAACATAATAAAGTCTTTTTGTTCTTTATTCTCTAAAGCCTTTCGCTTTCCTTCACTTCCAATTTCTTTTTCTTCATTTTATTAAATTTCAATTCATTCCATAATCATACATAAATAGCACAAAAACTGTCTTCAAACCCTACAAAGAAAGCAGCATTGAATTATCATCAAATCTTTTGACAAAATGATGATTAAAACTCTTCCATAATATTCTAAAAAATAATATCAAAAGGATCTAGAAAATAAATTCCATTTCTTTCTCTACAACATTCATAATATTTTTCAAAGCACTTTTCTTATGTGTGTTAATTATCATCTGTACTATTGCATGTAATAAATATAATTAACAGTGTAATTAGTCAAGTTTTTCTCCTAATTATTTAAAATAATGTTACCTGCAAAAATAGCATGAAGCAGACCCACTGATAATATCTATACTCTTTCCGTTCACTTTCAGGATGCAGCCTAGAGTTGGCGACACCAGGGAATGCGACTTCGGACCCTTCCCTCTTCTTGTACGCAGACGTGATGGTGTAGGTGCTGTGGATCCAGCAGTACGTGTTCAACACATCTTCTGGTAAGTCCTTACTGTGTATACAATCAATTGGATTGCCAACATACTGTCGTGTTGTTACGATAAGTGAAAATGCAATGAGTAGTATCACGGTCAGGCTGTAGTGTAATCGAAAGACAGGAGTATCGATGTGGACATGCGATACTTTTATCAGGCTCTTTAAGCCACGAAATATGTCCAACATCTTTCAATTATTCCTCCTGTTATTGGATATGATTATTTTTTTAATGTATTTTATTTATAAAGAACAAAGAAATAAATAAAATTGCTTGGATGAAAGCTTTTAGATAAAAATGCGAGATTGAATGTGACTCTGTATCTCCACGGACTTGGTCCAGGATAACATCAGAGTCAAGGCGAAAAAAAGTTTTCTTCGCGCAGTGACTCGTGACGTGCGAGCTGGCTCACCAGGCCCAAGGAAAGTGTCTCCGATAGTCGACCACACTCGTTGCATTATTTCTTAAACTATTCTTTTCCACGTCATCGGACTCTGCTTGCTGCCTTTATCGATCTCACTCATCACTTGCTAACGATGGGAGGCTACTAGGAGATGTCATCTTGACTCCTCAGCCTCCCAACTCTTGACTTTTTGGTATTTAGTTTAGTCATCATACCCTGAAGTGTAGAAAAAACTAGTCTGATATTATTTTTGATGTTTCCATGGAATTACAAAATTCGTAAGATTTTTTTTCTCTTTGTCACTATTATAGACACAATGGCTTAGATATTTATTAAAAAAATAAATATTTCAATATCAATCTTCATTGAATCGCTTGTTTATACCCGTGTCACTTATTTTTAATAATCTTGACAGTCCAGATGATGATGTTACTTGTGGCTATTGCTGTTACAAGTTTTTAAATCCTCTAACAAACCTGACATGTGACGAATCGTTCGTTAAGACTTAATTCTTCTTCAGCATTTTTTCGTCTTCTTGAATAAAATAGCGCGCGAATTTTCATCCACAAAACACCTGTTGATGCGTGAATTCTACAGTTTGTACATGCTGATTATTCTCGACTTGTTTCGTTGGAATATAAATCTGAAATGAAGGACCATCAGACCGTTTTGTTCGGCTCAAATCTAACGCGGATGATTATTTATTTAACCACGCAACATGGAGATAAAAAGAATTAACTTGTCACTATTTATATCTGAATAAACGTGACGATGCACCGTTGAACGAGATGAGAAGAAAAAAGAGATTAGTGAAAGAGGAGGAGGAGAATGGAGAAGAGAATGAAAAAAAAAAATCAAATTTTAAACATCATTTTTCATCGTGAAAATCACACTGTGCAGATCAAGAGAAAGCAAATGATTAAACTGTTCGGAATAAATGAAATGAACACTTCAAAAGATTTGCGGTAGCAAAAGATGTTTCCTTTCATTTTTGTAAAACGCGTCGAATTCACACACATCATACACGGGGGTCTGGAAAACCCCACGGGTGCGGTTTTGTAATTTTGTTTGATGTGCGTGCCATTCTATTTTAGAGTTAACGTGTACAAATGCTGCACTTTGGTGCCCAGCTTCGCATGATGAGGACCGGGGACTCACACGGCGCGTCGACAAGTCGAGAAATGTGTGAGGACGAAATACAGAAATAGTTTAGAGAACGAACAACGACGAGCGTCTTTTCGTTCATCATTTAAATATATTTCACATCTTATTCATCGTTTTCTTATTTAATCTTTATTACTCTCTATTACAATCATTTTGATTCATGCAACTGACATAAGTTTATTCACTCATTTCCCACCCACTGATTCTCGGGATCAGACGCGTGCCTGCCAACCTGTCGCAATATCAAGAATATCTTGCCAGTGTGTTGATCATCGAACGCGCCCGTTACTCATTCGTGGATTCAAATACAAAATACACCAGTGAATCAACTAGTTACTCAAATGTGCTCGAAATAATAAAGCCGACGATTATTTCATCCGATTGTTGCATTAAACCAATACCAAGTGATGCCATAATATCAGATGTTCTCTTTCACTATCTCTCTCCCGCTCTCCTTTCCCTCGATCTCTCTTTCTTCTTCTCATCAATTTGTCAGCACGCGTTGGTAAAGCTTGCTACGAACCCAAATAAATGCATCGTGACATGAATGAAAATTCTGCCGCAAGAATCGAGAGGAATAATCTCTAGACATCAAATGTCTCAAGTGTTCACTGGATTATTTGAACAATAAAAATACTTGGAGTCACATTGGTGTCAGATGAGTGACAGATTTGACAAGAATAGCACCCACTAAGATGTCTCCAATACACACATGAGATTTCGGTGTAAATATAAATAGATATTAGATGATTGAATGATTATTATTCGATAGCCGGTAAAAAATCTTAGCACGATCGATCGCCATGCTCATTCACCCGCGCACTACTACCCTCCTTTCACGCTACACGCCGCACACTCGACTCACTCGCGGGCTCCACGCTTTACGAAGAAGCTGAGGAGGAGTCAGGGTGCTCCAGGAATAGAATCGCCGAACCCGACGGAGTTAACGCAACGTTGAGACGTCGGTTCTCGCACTCACGCTATTCTATACCGAACACACGTCGCGCCTCTATCGCCAACTCGTGCGAGACGATTTTATATATTCAACATCGGAAAACGTATAGCAGCTGGGACACACAGGCGTTGCTCAGATGAAAAATGACAGCTTCATTAGTAAGACTTGCAACGACTATTACTTCATTTTTATCACTCGACAATGGGAGAAAGAAAGAGAGAGAGAGAGAGAGATTTCGTTGGATCTTTTTAGGGGATTCGTTTCTTTTTGTTTTATCATTTATTATTTTAATTCATTTATTTTTGCAAAACCATCAGGCAAACTAAAAATAAATCCTCGGATAATCACGTGTTTAAGTAATCCAGACGGATAATCTCTGGTATGATTTGAATAAAAATACCCGAATTCGTCTGTGAATAGACGAGCTGTAACAGAAATGAAATCAAGGTGGTGATAAGACTTTGGCTAATTTGGAGATGCTTCTTAATACCTTGAAAGGTGAATGTTAAGACTGAACAAAAAATTAAGTATTCGAGAGGATTAAATGGTATTTATGAGTGACTTTTTTTCTAAGATTCAGTCTCTTATAGAGAATGATGAAGATATTTAAAATTATTTTGTAAAAAAAAAATTTATCTCATTGATATTCAGTTCAATTATAATTCGTCATATGAATTGTCAAGGAATTTAAACATTAATTTTTACACATCACCTATTATTTTGAAAATAAGATTAAAATTAATCTATTATTCTTTCAAATTATCAAATGTTTAAAAATATTTATTATTAATATTTTTAAAAAATAAATTAGTTTTGATTGTAGAGTTTGGAATTGGAAATAATCCACTCTATAAAACTCAACCACTTATTCATCTCAATTCTCACAAACTGATCGAGAAAAAAATAACTCAACAGAAAATTGTCGTTTCGCAAATAATTCTAAACTCGAGAAATTTTCCCATCAAATCATAAACCAAAAAAAAAAGTATTATTCAACATTAGAACATTTATCGATCGTCTTTCAACATAATCTTTATCGTCATAAATTACCCACTTTATTGTTGAAGCAATTTCACTGTCACTTTAATCACTAAGCGATCATACTAAATCCTAGTATCATGAAAAGTCTTAAAAAGTTAGCTCGAAGCTGACCAATGTCTTGAATAAATCCGGAGATGCCTGGAAAATTTCTATCGGGACTGGAGAGTGTTTTACAAGACGTAATTTTTATGCCTCGACTAAAACATATGATGCATCAAGGAGGAATCGTAAAATTTGAATTGGTTATCTGACGTTATTTGCATCGTAAAGGTTTATTTCAACGCGATTGATATGCGCGAGTCTCAGAGGGTTCGCATATAATAGCAGCAGTTAGTGGAGCTCTTGTACGCGAGTGAAAGAGTCAAGTCGATATGTCTGAATTTCATCCATGAATATCTTTATATACTCAACCGATAGCTTTCCGGCTTACGGGCGACGTACGTACATATATCTAATAAACGTCCAGCTGTGTTCCTCTGCAGTTCTCTAGTGTGTTATACCCACATTACACTAGTGCAGCATTTCTCTTTGCAAATCGATATATGGTCCATGTGTATTCAACTAAATACGTGGGGGGTATGTAATAATCTTATGCATGTAAGCATCTAAATTCGTAGATGCACGTACGTACTGCAATGTGTACTGCAAGTCGCGTATGATTCGTCTCTGGTCGTTGCTCTGCAAAATTTATAACCAGATATTTATCAGCTTTCAAAATAGACGCCTCTTGGATAGTAAGAGGCGATAACACTGGAGTATCTAGAAGCATCATTATACTTATTCCAGTGACAGAAATACTATCGAAATAACGTAAATTACGGCCTTAAATCGTTTTTTCATCCCTTAGATAAACACATGATACTCAGCCAGTTTCTCTAATCTTCTAAAATAACCAGAATAGTAAATGCATCGTTAAAACGCCGGAAATGTCGCGTAAAACTTCGTAAAGCAGGATTGAGAGTTGAGCTATGAGTTACACACAAGATCATATTTCAATAATCAAATCATTTTAGCTAAGAGACAAATTTTTATTCTTTTTTTTCCTCTCTCTCTCTCTTTCTTTCTTTTGGAATCATTACATTAAACATGGTTTTTTGCTAAAATTAAAGATAAGAAAATAAATAAATTTCTGGTTTTATCCATTAGAATGCCTGTCTTCTTCTTTTATCTTTCTTTCCTTCTGTACTACACACTTGTGTCTGTGATTTTTATACCATCTCCGTTTTCTTCGACTAGACTATCCTTTTTTAAACATTATCAGACCCTCAATGATTGCTGTTTACCCAGCTTCGATGTTATATCTAGTTTATATTTTCCTATCTCCTTACTTTCTTCCTATTTTTGTTTGATTACGAATATACATGGAAGTTTATGTACTTAATATTGAAAAAAGTCACTATAAATATTAGGTTAATATTAAAATAATCATTTTTTTAAAATACTTGTTTAAAGGAAATTGCTTTTTTTAGTTGAATTAATTATTTTTATCTATCTTTAATTAGCTGATGTTTTCCCTATGTTAAAGTACATAATATAATGATAACAACTTCTGATATACTAACTGGAGCTTTGAATTAAATTTCAATTAATCGTCTTTTATTGGAGTATCGCAATATTGTAATAAGACATTGATTTAACTTGAAATGAATGTCACTATTAGTTAACGAGGGTAATACGTACATATGAAAAATAAATTAACATTAAATTGTAATTAAATCTTGATTTGAAAAAATTATGAGATACATGAATTACAGGAATTGTTCATTTTAAATCGTTGAATTTTCATTCTGAAATTAATTGGATTTTATTAAAAATGAGAATTTATGAACAACATCAACCATAAAAGAGAGATTAAATTTTGATACATAAAAGTAGCTTGTTAATTACAATAATAAAGGATCAGAATATAGTGGATTTATTGAATAAAAAATTGTGATGATATTTGTTGTATGCTAGAACTTTTTAATTGAAATAACCTATACAACTCAATAAAACAATCAATTGAATTTAGTGAATGAAAAGAGAATGAACTTTGTTGTCAATAAACAAAATTTCTCATGTAATTGTTTGTTTAAATTAAATTTAAAATCAATTTCTAAATAAAAATTCCAGAAACTCAATATTGACTTTATTCCAAAGATCAGATTGATTATATTTTAGTTGTGAATATTAATTTTTATTTTCATTATAACTTTGTCATTGGTAAAAATATTAATAATAATGCCTTAATATACGATATTATATTATAATCGTTTTTGTACAATTTAATACGTAATACAAAAATGTAGAAGTTGAATTTAACATACTTTTTATTCATTCGAAAGAACATCAATATTTTCATTTTTGGTGAATTTTAAAAATTAATTCCAATCAATAGAAAGTTTCTTCGTTATTTTTTATTTACAAGTACTTTTTCACAACAATCATCCAACCATTTCCATAAAAAAAAAATTTATTCAATTTCTTCTCAAGTAGTTAACGTCAATAAACAAACAAAATTTCTATTCTCAACAATATTAATAAAAAAGCATGAAAAAAAGTTGATTTAAATCATAAACTCGGAGAAAAAGCAAACTTCGGGCAATGTAAAACAAGTAAATATAATTTATAGTAAAAATAAATTAAATATAAACCGGAAGAAAATGGAAGAATAGAATTCTCTGAGAAAAAGTAGATAAATATCATAGGTATTTTTTATCTCAAAAATTGTTATTGCAAAACTGGGCCGGTTTTGAGGTAAATGCCAACGAATTCGTGCCGTAACCATGCGCAACGGAATGAATTTACATCTGTACGTCTTTGTGTTGCATATTTTGTGGCATAAATTCACCGTAAACAAAACGATACGACCACCGCAATTGGACGTATCCGTGTGCGTTTCTGATATTTCATGTCCTCGTAAGCTCTATTCTTAAACTAAACAACTACAAGATAGTAAAGAATGATTGCATCATTTGTCATTTTGAATTTGTTGTGACAGAAATGAGTTGTCACAGACAATGGAAGAAATAAAGATTACCAAGAGCGCCAAATTAGCTGCCAAAAGATACATTTGTCATTGTAAAATGACATCACTATCATTTGTTACGATTTATCGGTAATATTGATAATTTTCCTTTTACCAACTCTGCAATTAAGACATATTTTTAAGTATGACGATTTAAATTTATAAACGCAAGCTGTCAAATATTTTGAATGGGCTGCTTCCTTGTTGATAACTGACAAGATTAGGTCGAGCCAAAACGGAATGGACGAGAGACATGAAAACGATTGGGTTATCTTTCTCGAGAAAATAGTGACATTATTTTCAAATGATAAATTGCACTCTCTGTGAATGGAACATTTCTCTCCAAGTATGACAGATTGAAATGCGAAAATATTAAGTCCAATTGATCAATAAATATATCCATTTAGAAAAGCACTCACGTAAATGTGTTAAAATTTATTCATGAAATAGTACAGAATCATTTTTACATCTTTTTTTTTTTGTTAATTTTATGTAGTTCAAAAGACTGGATGAATATGTAAAAGTGTATGTGTTTGGTATATTCGTATAAAGAACGTATTATTCTTCAATATTTCGTTTATATTTTCTGTCATTTGAAGTTGGATCGCCTTGCCATTCTGTTTCTAAAATAATTTTGCGATTTCCGGTACTTTTTTCTTTGAAGCAACTTGATACAAAGACTTAACTGTGGTTTTGAATTAAAAAAAAAAGTTACTGGACGAGACCTATTGAGTAAGTAACCGAGGTTTTGTTTTTGTTTAATTTTTATTATTGAACAAGTACAAAACTCCCTACAACAAGAACTAAAAAATAACATGGTTTTGAAAAAGAAAAAGTTCAATCGTTTTTTATTCATAAAATATTGATTCATAATCAGATGATTATTATTAATATTAAAATCTTAACACCTTCTGTATTCAATCATTTCCACATTTCATAATTCTCCATTGTTTCTATTTTCTTTTAATTTTTTATAATTCTAAGAAGTGTTGGAAAATTATCATATTTAAACGTTTTAAATATTCAAAGACTTTTTCTTTTCTTATTTAATTTGTTGTAGAGTGACGAGAGATGTTGGAGAATATTTTCAATAATTTATTTTAAAGCACAACATGCCCTGATTTATTAATATTTAATGATTCCACATGAAAATACAGTGTTTCAAAATGGCTAGAATATTTTTAAATGTACATAAAAATAATTCACAACTATTTCTTAAAGCAATAAAGCACCTAGAGGATGATCGAATTTTAACTAAAAGTTTAATTATGAAAATCAAATAACATATATTAAATCATAATTAAGTCATTAACGAGCTTTTTAAAAATTGATTTCTACTTATAACGATATAATATAGATAAATTTAAACTTCATAATCGTTTTATTTAAATTTATCTGAAATTTCATGTAAACTCACTTTCATATTCAATCAAAATTGATTATAATAATTTTCCCATTTATTTAATCAGAAAAAAAGATTGTAAGAAAAAACTAAATCATGTGTGAAGATTCAATTATTTTCAAAGAAAAAGACAACAGAGGATGATAAGTATCCTTGAATATTTAATAAGTCAATTAGCAATTGAAGAAACAACCTAATTAATCAACCAGTGGAAAAATAATTTTTCAACATAAATAAAAAACTGTTTTAAATTCAAAGTTAATCTCAAATCACGCGATGTCTCTTTGTAGGTAATTAATTGGCATCATTGAGATTCTCTCAAGTGTAGGATATACTTCGACTGCCTTCAAGTGATAATAAATCAAATTTTCTTCGAGATAAATATATATAATTTCGATTAAATAGCTCAACACTGACGCGTGCGATCTTCTCCCTATCATATATTATCTCTTTCAGGCATTGAGAGGCTGATCTGTTGTTTCCACTGTCTCTATTCTTATTCCATCCGATCGCAGATGCCGGTATGGCCGGCTATTCTATGCTCAAAAGTTCTTCAAACCTTCAATAGATTGCGCTTTTGGTTTGCCCAATTCAAAAATTTTCAAAAAACTTCTGAATGATTTTTATAATTCAAAACAAAGAGCTGACTGAGAATACTTTTTAAGAATATTTTATTCAAAATTATTACAACAATAAGAAAAGCGAATGAATTAGAAAAAAAAACTAATTCTTCATTTAAAATTTCTATTGAATCAATTTAATTAATTATTTGTTTTAAATTGGTACTAATTGTCCTGTTATAGTTGAAGATGAATAAATATAAAATAAAAAATTACCTGGAATATTAAGATGAAAGCAACCCACTGATAATATTTAACTTGCTTAATCATGGACTGTCCGTCACCATACCGATGTCTCGTTTGATTATGTTCAATCCGAAACTGTCTAATAGAGAGAAAATTGGAAGTTGCAACACCTGGAAAAGCCACATTAACCCCCGTGACACCAAGCATGGCTCCGGTGACAAAATACGTGCTGTGGATCCAGCAATAAGTATTAAAAGCTTCCACGGGAATATCTCTGAACAAAAAAAAACCACCAACATTTTATTCTTTATTATTTCAATCTAAAAAAAAATTGCTAATAACTTTTTTAATATAAAAGTTACCTAGTATGAATACAATCAATCGGATTTCCCACGGTTTGTTTAGTGGACACGATTATGGAGAAGGTCAGCATAAGTGCAGCAGTGAGCACGTGCAATCGTAAAAGAATTCCCTCGCTTTTAACTCTGCTCACCTGAATCATATATATAAATATATATACATGTATACGAATTGTCCTGACGAGAGATAGTTTTAAATATTCTCAATGTCTTACACGAATACTTACATGAAATAAAACATACAGAGCACCAAGTGCATCCATAATTCTTTCTTCGTGACGTCCACGTTTAGATTCTGAGAAAATACGATGCCGCGAGCGCTTTGTTTTTCTTGACGTTCGTCCACCCTCGCGACTCTTTTCAATATGCACAATCGTACTTTTACTACTCGTGCTTGAAGAAGTTGTACCGCTGCTACTACTAATACTTATTTCTCGTATACTTTTCATCTTTGGAATTCATCGGTGTTATTTTTCTCATTTTAAAGTCATGATTTATCAAGCCACGACTGCATATTTACAAATATCATATCTTTTTCTAAACAAGGATAAATATGAGTCGTTATCCTTCCTGTTATCCTGATAACAAAGCACATTTTCTAGCTGTCAAGCAACATTTGATCGGTTTGACTTTTGAATTTAAAAACCAGTTTATGTGGATAAATAAATTTTGGCGCGTATTAAACTTTGATTTAATTTGTACGAAAATGCGTTCATGTGACGTCCGCGTCTGTCCCGATGCGCGGGATAGCTCCCAAGAAACTGAAACAGAGTGCCTGACCTACTACGCTCCTGTGCTCTTCGGTGCCAAGAGCCATGATGAGGACCGATTCTCTATCGTTTGGGAGAGACAAATTTTATTTTTACATTTTTTAACCCTATCTCTTCTCTTTCTCCTATGACACAATCTGTCCTTCTATTTCACCCACTTCAGAGTTGTGTCTTAACGATGACGACAACTATGACATATCTTTTATAATGGTGTATAGATCACTTTTTATCCACAACATCTCTTGGCACTCTGGCCATTTTATTCTTTAACCATTTGGCGCCGACAATAATTTATTGTAAAAGCTCTTACAAAATTATTTAAGTGTTTATTAATATCATCAATCAATCCTAAAGTCCTCGGATTATTTAAAAAACTTAATAAATAGAAAAAAAAAATTACTCAAACAATATAATAATGTCAATCGTTTGACATTGATCAGAAATAACCAATGGATTTTATTTTGGTTGAAGATTCATTTTGAACAAGTGTTTTCTAAAATTGATGAGTTATTAATCGTGGGTTGGTAAAGTAAAAGTTTTATACCCACTAGGAATATGTTTAGAACTCGTGAATGAATCACCTTGGGATATTTTGTAGGTAGTGATTGAAATAACCGACATCACCATTCACCTTTTTATGGTGATATCTATCAAAGTGAATGCAGTGATCTAAAATGGAAATGCTTCATTGATGGAACAGATTGAAAATCTTCTCGGTAGATATTTTTAAACGAATTATTTATTCAGCAGTAACAAATTTATTATAGCATTTCAAAATTTTATTTCATATTAATTAAATGGATTTATATATGTATTTGTAATCAATGTACACATATTTTATTTTAAACCTTTAAAATTACTTTTAATTTTTTCCATGCACTCACTGATCTATCGTATAACATAAATTAAAATACATATATTAAAGCTAAAATTTTGAAGTGTTGGTAAGTGATTGGATGAAAAATTGCAATTTTATTAAAATCAATTTATCTTTGATTTATTTATAGCACTAATTTTTTGCATTTTAATTTTAAAGATTTAATATTTAATAATACAATCATTTTTAACTGTTGTATATAAAACATCAAAAATTGTTTTTTGCCAAAGTTTTTTTTTTATTATATAATTTTTTTATTGAAATGATATTATAATTACTTTACAATATTCCACATCCCTAATCACAATTTTCTCACTGCCAATAACTTTTATCTATCTCTTATATAATCTATTAATTAATAATAATCTTTATGTGTATGAAATATTATGTTTTATCATGAAAACAATTATTAATGAAAAAAAAGTTATTATTTACTTTGTTTTCAAATTATAAAATATTTATAATAATATAGTTTCATTCAAGAAAAAAAATTTAAAGGTAAACTTTGTTTTACCAAGTGACATATTCATTTTTTATTATCACATATTCATACACATTTTATAATACTACTTTCTTTAGAAAAAAAAAGTGTATGGGTAGATGTTAACGTCAAAACTAACTTAAAAGATAGGATAAATAATAATGCATTAAAATAATAAAATAGAAACAAGAGAGAAATTTTATATCAAAAACTAATCTCCACAATTTTCCAGAAGGAATTACTGTTAATCTACTGAACACTGTCATATCAAATAAAATAAACTTAAGAAAGTCTCATCGAATTGTTAAAAAAAAAATTCAATACAAAAACACTGAAATAAAAAAAAAATACGTCGGTAGCGTTATCATATATTATGTATGTATGTTAATTCATACATTTAACGTTCCTAGACCTCAGTGATGAATGATTCGTTCACGTATCATAGCATTTGAAGATAATTTTGGCCATGACTGTATTTAATAAGTTTTATCAATGCCATTTAAATGGGTTAAGCAAAATCACATGGATTAGAATTGCATATTTATTTAAGAATAATAATGATATACGTTGGTGGCATCTAGACAGTCATGTTCAAAGCAAAAATTTATTGTCATCATGTTAGTTGATGTGAAAATGCAGAAAATGAAAGTGTAGGAGCAGACGTCACTGACAGCCGTACTGTCAACGTTGGCAGTAAATTGCACATGTTCTTTATTGGCTTATACTTCTCTACATTAAGTAGTTTATCTTGAGTGCTAGGTGGAAGATGCGTTCGTTATTCATTTATCATTGGCCCCTGACTTGACGTTTACGTCCTTAATTGCTTGCAACTAGATCAAAAATTGTAGCAATCATTTCAACCTATTTATTTATCTTATAATGAATACAATGGTAATTTTTGCTGAATTTTATTTTATTTACCCATATCAGGGATTCATTAAAAACACTATTATTGGCTTTTGTATAGCTATTGTAAGCATTCTATAATATATTTTCTGGGAAATATATTTTTCTCTTTCAACCGACAGATAATTTACGCTCGTTATCCCATAATTGGTCATCTGCTGCCTTAGTGCCTTAGCATAGTCGATCGTTTCTATTCAATAGACTTTATTCAGAGCACAAATGATCACTCAGCTATTTACGTTAGAGAAAAAATGTACACAAGAATTTATATACTATATAATTCATGTAGTAGACTTTACTCTTTACGATTTCACTATTTAATTTTCCTTACAACTACATTATGTCTGTACTAATACTAGGAATATTTTTTTGTCTTAACATATAGATAATTATATATCTTTTGTGGCTAACTAATGGACCATGAAGACCCGACTTTCTATTAAAAAAATACCAGTACTCTTGTAAATTTTTAATATTATTATAATATTGATTACAAAATTATTTTTATAATTGTTTTGCAATGAAATGTATCGTATCACAATGGTTTGCCTTGAATTAGTTATGAAAAATATTTGAGATTCTCTATGATGTGCTTCAATTTGCAGAATGAATTATCTATTTATAACTCTCTTTCTCTCTTTAACGTTAATCAATACTTGAACTCTCAGAACACAAGTAGGTAGATAATTGCTGAGATTAAATAGAACAATAATATTTGTTAAAATAACAGAACAATGAATGATATATTTAGGGAAAACCAGCCTTTTGTTTTGTGGTCTTTTTATTATCTAATTATTTCTTATTTATCAGGCCTATTTTTTTGTCTTTAGTACAAAATATAAAATTTTTTGTGCCACTCTGGTATATCTTTTCAGTCTCAGTCTCCCTATCTCTGTTATACAAAAATGTATCGAAAAAAATTCGTATTTCGCAGTTTAAATATTCTTGTGTGCTATAAATGTCAGTACAAATCTGTTGAAATAAAGTAATAATTAATAGTGTCAAGAAAAAAAATAAGTTGAGCAACTCTACAAAGATAATCTTAATTTCTCCAAACAGCGAAATAAATATAATGCTCTTCTGAATATATTTATCTGTCTCATGACATTTCTTGATTCTACTGAGCAGATCTCTCGAATGTGCAGTATACAAGATTTATATAAATGTTATCATTTACACTGAGATCTAAATTTATTTTCAAAAAATAAGAAAGTCGACAATAAAAAAATTTTCTTATTGAAAATTTTCCCATAATTCATGAGATAATTCTTTATACTAAATTAATTCTTTTAACATCACATTACAAAACTAATTCATAATTATTTAGAAATAATATCGACATCGACATAAATAATGAGAATGCGATTGATTTTGCTTAATAATTTCGCATAAAAAAAACTAATATTGAAAAATGTCTTATTGAAAATTCTCAATAATTAAATTATTCCATCGAAGAATTTCCAATATCCTAGAAAGTAATTATTAAGCTCAGTGTTTTAATAAGGTATATAAAATATATATTTATATATTATATAAAAAATACCTATTGGCCTAATAATATCATGGAAGCTTTAAAAAAATTATCTAAAGCTTATTGACTGCATTGTTAGCACTTGATATTCACAGAACTGATAAAAAGAATAATCAAGCTAACTCGCAGTTTAATCTCGTTACTCCTCAACTCTGAAAAAGGACACACTAAGCATTAACAGACGATGAATTACCAACTTTTTTGGTCAGTTCTTCTAAGAGGTCTTTATAAACAAGTGAATCCATGTTTGAAGCCAATATATATAGTAGCCACCAATCTCCAAGATCCACTTTCTTGCTGATATTCTGACATGTTTCAATAGACAAGAATCTACCATTCATTTGAAGTAATCTGGGTCTAATGGATGGTGTGAAAATAATTGCTGCTCTGTAGAGCACTAGACCAACCAAGAAAACTGCTAGGATGATGTACCAAAACCAGATGAAGATATAGGTCTTCTCATTAACGATATTCAGTGGCAAAATACAAAGAGAATCATGCTTTTGAATGGATCCAGATGCACCATATTTATGGAAAATACACTTCGTCACTCTTGGAAAGACGTAGACCATTGGATCAATTCGTTGCTCTTGAGGAATATCTGAGAATTGAAGAACACGCAATCCGTAACTCAAAAACTCTCCATCGAAGAAACGATTCATTAGATACAGTTGGACGAAAATGTTTATAACACACAATGCTTCACATATGAAGTACCGGTAGACGTACATATTGTGCCTCTGAAAATAAAAGACATTGAACCAATTAGTCAGAATTAAATTCAATGAGAGTGAATTGAGTGAGACTTTCAAGTGTTCTCTTTAGTATTGTCTTTTCTTTTTTCCTTTGACCTCAGCCACCATCTTACCATGGTCTTTATCTGAGATCTGGAAGATTTTTAAGCAAACCAGATCTTACTAAAACCAGTCATTCTTTTCAATAAAAAAAATTACTCTTAAAAAGCCAAGTGTTTTATAGAAATATTTAATCACTTTATTTCATTTCTTTGAGACATGTATATGCTTTTGATAAAAAATCATGTGGTATTTTAATGCTGTTATCAAAAGTATGTGATGAGAATGTTCTTTGAAAAAATTATAAAACGAAAAACAGACTAGTAAAGTTACATTAACTACAGTACTTGAAATTTAATTAGATTTTTACTGAAACATTTTAATAAAATTTCTTGTTCTTGTTTATTCACCAATAACATCCTAAGAACATTGTATTGCTTCACAGAAATCTTTTAAAAGCTGATTATCGATAATTTTATTATTAAGATTAACATTTTATATGGTTTAAAAATATACTTTTCATTAAAGGCTTTTGATAAAAAGTTATGAAATTTACATATATTTTAAAAGCTTATTTCTCAATTTTCTATTAATACCAAATATTCTTATCAGCTGTCTGTAACTAGACCTTAACTAGACTCTGCTTATTCATGTTCAAATTAATCATTTTCAAAAGAAAACATTGACTATTTACACTAAAATGTACTTTGATCTTGAATAGTCATTTTTTTGTAAGATAATTTTTCATTGAAAAATGACTTTAAGAGTAAAGTATACTAGAATGATTTAATATAATCTTGAAGAATACTTGATGGAAAAACGTGAATAAAAATGATCTCTTATGTAAATCATTTCTTTTTAAGAGTAATATGGCTTGATTAAAATTCAATTTAGGTATGAGCAAAACGATGAGTGTTTAAATAATAGATACTGGTTTCCTTTATTTAATCAAGGATGGCAAGATTCATTGAAGATAACTATTTACCTGTATATGATTCACCAGATAATCCATTAGACAATTTTTCTTCTTACAAATGGCTTCTTCATTTTCTAAAGTATGGTTCAAACCCATAACAAGTGTACTTGCTAAACCACCTTCCCAGAGATTCCAAAGCCAGTGTGGAAGATAACAAAACATCGCCTGAAAGAATCAATTGAAAGATTAGACTTGAATTTTATTAGTTTCATTTTCAAGTGATTGTAATTGATAGACATTCTAGCAATAAGAATCCTTCAACATTCCATAGCAATTATTTCTATATTGATGGTATGATATAGTATAGATTTACATATGAAATACTATAATTTTTTTAATAAGCTAGAAAATGAGAAAATAATTGAGCAGTAATAAATGTAAATTATTCTTTTTTCAATCAATCAGTTGATAAAGAATTAGCACAAAGGAAGTTTGAGTTAATTTGCTTCATGTTTCAACTTAATATTTAAAAAAAATTTATCACTGATTCAGTCAAAGCTTAAGATCATTGAACCATTTATTTGAAACTAAAATAACTACTTTACTGGAATTATAAAGTTAATACTTGACATTTTATTAAATTAAGTCTAGTATATGAAGCATACATTTTTTATGAATCACGATGCATGAAGTTTCATTTAAATTTTTATTAAAATTATTTTTAGTATGGAATGATTGTTTTTATCTAGGTAATTTTCGGTATTATGTAATAAAAGATTACATAAATTTTCCTTCCTTAAAAAAATAATGGAAAGTTAAACCACACCAAACCTTAAAAAAAGATTTTAAGGTTTGCCAATACAAAGCAAAACAAAGGTTCGTGTTGTATTGATTTTTACTGAGTCTTTAGTGAATTAAGTAATGCGCAAATAGTGATAAATTCTTTTTAAAAATATTTAATAGATCTAAACAAATTGATTCTGGTTTATTATTATTATTTAGCTATATTTAAACAATCTTTTTTAAATTAAAGTTTTTTTATTTAATTATTTGGTTAAATTCTTCTAAAAATAGAATAAAATAAATATATAGATTGCAATCTTTATTTTTAAATTTTGATTTCGAATCAAAAATAAAAGAATCAATGTTGAATTGGTATAAAATCAAATCTTATTGATGTAAGAAAAGGTATAAGATTGTTATACCTGAAAGAACAAGACGAAGCAAACCCATTGATAATAAGTGTAATATTTCCTTGCTCCAGTCTCATCGAAATCATTAGATACACCAGGATGAGCGACTTCCAGTCCAACCTGTGGGCAAAATTAGAGAATAGTCAGCTAGAGGATAGTGGGTTTGAGATAACAAATTTAATTATGATCCAAGAATAATTGCTACGATAGAACCTGTTGGAGATTCACCAACGTGATAAGGCTCGAAGCTACAGAATTTGCAATAACCGATTTAGTTAAGCTTGCTTGAAAAGACACGCGTCGATTCTAATTTGAAGATCTAGCAATTTTCAAGCTGATCCATAAAATAATAATAATCTAGCTAGATAAGAATATTTTAATTGCCAATTCCCACACCTTGAAGTTTAATTATTTTTCTTCTTACATTTATATATCACGTAAGTAAAATAGAATTATAGCAATGTCTTTTCCTTTGTTCTTTATATCCTTCAAAACAAAATTGCTTCCTTACATCCAAAGACGTTTGAGTTGAACGTATATAAAACGAATTTCTTTACACATAAAAAATCGTAATAAAAAGTTGTCAAAGACTGATAAAAAAACGCCGGCGTGCAAATATGCGGGATTGAATTGTTAGAATATCTAAAACACCTGTAGAATAAAATCGATCAATAAAGAGTTGACGAAATCTGTTGAATTTTATTCACCTGACGGCTGAAAGCGTCGGGCATGGTAAAGGTGGAGGTGATCCAGCAGTAGGTGTTGACGGCGCCCTTTGGTAGACTCTTGCCGACGATACATTCTATTGGGTTACCGACGTACTGGGTGGCCGTGATGATTAGCGAACACGTGAGTAACAACACTGTTGTGAAGATATTGTGCATTCGAAAGACCATGGAATCTGTTTTGATGTCTTGCCATTTTAAATACTCAGCGAGACCACTTAATAACTTGAACATCTTGTCAATTGAAAGTCTTTTCTTGTTTTATCTTAAAAGTAATTACTTGAAAATATGTTCAGCACATGGAATAATAATATACTATATATTATTCAAGTATTCATTAGCTTTGTCATTCGGCACAGAGAAACAGACCGGACGGTCTACTCAGCAGGACCAGCTGTCTACGCAACAATATTTCTCCCTCCTCTACTATCTCTTCACTGCAATAAACTTTATCCCCCTATTTCGGTATCCTTCTCTGTTCAAGCTATCTCCCCAGTCAATCATGCGACACCATTCGTGCCAGTCCCAGCGACAATTTACTCAGTAATCAACTTTGGCTCGTATTAAGCCCAATGTGTTATTGATGTCTTTGAATCACACTTGTTATTGCTAATTATTTAGCTCTGCTTCAATGTCAAAGATTTAAAGGTATACACGTGTAAATCATTCAAATCTAAACAGTATTGAATGTAGCTGATAATATATGTTATCAAGTATCACATATCAAAGTCAATCATTGTAGATATCGGTAACTTTTTCTTACGAAAAAGCCACTAAGAGAGATCCGAGTATCCAGAAATCGGTGGTAGACACTACTCACACTCTCGTGAGTGTATGATAATAGTATTGAGAACCCCCGTGTGATAACACACCCGTAGTTTTATCCAGTTGGAGTGTAGTATTACTCCCTCTCTTTCTCACGTGTTATTCACATAAAAAGGACAAATATTATATTGTTTAGCAGCGTTCGCTACCGAATGTCGTCGAACGTCAACAGCACATACGTACGAGTCTCTTGGTCGTCGACTGACGAGAAGTGCCAGTGGATTTGTTGTAGCGGGGGGAAATGCTTCTAGGGGTAGGAGACCAGGAGAGTGAGAGGAGGGGCCTGTTTTTCTCTCTTGTTTCTTCAAAGGGGGACCAGCATGTACCCGACCGTCCCCTCTCTTTTGCTATCTTTCTCTCTGTTACTGTTCACTCTACAGTTTGGTAATGGTGTACAGTAAACGCTCTTGGCATCTCTCTCACTTCCTAGCCTACCCGGAGCTGCCGACCGTTAACTTTTGCCCCATCTGGGCCACTCAGAGCCGCTCTACATGGAAAATCTTCGTTGGATAATGTCTCTCCAGTCAAGGAAATACTTCTAAATTATCTGAAGGTGTTTTACGATGCAATTTGCTGCAAAAATGGTCATGGTTTTGCGTCATCTTCTTGCACCATGTTTAGTTATTTTCTTTCACATCGACAGTATTTTTTAAATAAATTGAATAATAATCAAGTTTTTGCAGAAAGTAATTAATAGAGAACTTGATCGTTATTCTCCTGTCTTATTTTTTAATTTAATAAATTAAAATGTCCATGAGTTGATAGGATTGATTAAACAATTCTATGATTAGACTTCTTAATTAAAGATTTTATTGCTCATCAAAAGAGCAAGCCTATGGAATTTTATTTATTTTCTATTTAACGTAAATGTCATGGGATTAATTGCAAAGGCTTGATGATGACTTAACAAATAGAGAAAAAATTCATCAATGATTATGATAAAAATAACCAAAGAAATTTCAGATATTTGTTTATGTAATAGTAATGCGAGATAAAAAATAAATAGGTGAATGAAAAAACTATGAAGAAATTATCGCAATTAAAAATTATTAACATGATAATTATACAAATAATGTTTTTTTCCAACCTTCATTTAAATCATTGATGACTATCATACTGAGTATAACTACTTATCTATTGAAGCAAAAATTTATAAAAATATCACTGCATACACATTCATTGTAGTATAGCCTTATTTTTATCATCCTTTCTGTCATTCAAGCTAACAATTAAATGTTGCTCAGCGGTCATTTTAAACGAGTATTTAATTATACATAATCTAGAGAAACACAGATATAAAATGGAAAAAAAATAATATACATACAAATTATGAAGCTCCAAAACTTTCAAGGTCCTTAAATATATGATTACTACTTCAAAAATTCGCCAGGCTTTTCTTTGTAACTTCTAACAGTTAAATATATAGTCCTTGGAAGTTTTGTAGCAGCTAAAATACAACCAACAGCAGCAGGAAGAGCCAATCAACTTCGCGATCTTTTAGTACTCACCGCTCCAGTTTTTATCACCTCAGGGTTTAGGGTCCCAACTTGTTATCTTTGATTTCTCTTTGCCTCCGTAGAAGAGTATTTCTTTTGAATCCTTCGACGGCAGAATCAAAAATTTATTTATGAATGTGTTCATCAAACTTTTATAAAGACTATGCCGACGTACGTCGGATGAATTTGAAAAGAGCCACGGCCTTGAAATTCATATATCCTTGTAGTTTGATTTCACGTGTGATGTTCATTAATTAATTTTCTTAAAATCATACTATACTTGTCACGACATGTCTTATTACGATCCATACGGCATGTTATAATCTTTTTAATGTGATGTTTATATAATTTAAAGAAATATTAACGCTAAAGATAAGCTTATCTTCTACGAATAAAATAAATTCTATCTATTCAAAATATTTATAAAATTGTTTAGAAACGAGGTTCCTAGACCTAAATGGGCTTAAAAATTCCTTTAAAATTGAGGTCAATTTAGGATACATAAATGAGTATTCTAAAAAAAATTTTTTTAAATTGGCCATTTTTTTTTGTTGCGAAATAAAGATAAATATTAGATGATTTATTATTTTGACAGTGAAATAAATTTCATCGACATCGAACTCCCAATGGCATTTTTAAAGCCGTGAAAAAAAGAAAGAAATGAACTCTTTCAGACACGTGATAAGATGTTAAATAAGACTAAAAAACTGAGGTCAAAACGTTTTCTGCAATTGTAATTTTAAAAAAAATTTATCACTCACGTTGCATCAGGCTCTACCGTTACGTGGATAAAATAAATATACACTCGGATGTTAATTTGGCAGAATGTTCACAGCCGTATGATTATTGCGTCAGTATTTTAAGAGTCCGTCATTTTGGGGAGGTCCAGGTGAAGCTGTAATATGAGAATAATGCACTTCCTTTCACTGGGCTTATATAAATACACATCGACGCCAGTGGAATAGACAAAAAAAAATACTATAGACGAAAATGGCGTATGTATTCTGTTCCGCAAGAACACGCGACCGGAAAGGGGTGAGACAAGAAAGAAATCCATTCATGGTAATTTCGGTGGTTGCACTTCCATTGGCGTATCAGCGGATCGTTATTTAGCCAAATGTATTTTTGTTATTCATTTTGATATCATTGTACTCAATACATTTATGCAAGTATGTAAGAGGAGATGATGATGAAGCAATAATTAATAATTTATGTTTATTTATACACTAGAGATTGTTCTTCTCTATTCTGCATTCAATTTTTTTTCATCATTACCAGTTTTTTATACTATGTACACACTTGGTGTCCAGATGCACAACGTGTTACAGCGTTTGTAGTTGCTTATTGTAAACGTAGAAAATCTTAGTGTTAATTTATTTCATTGAATTGCACGCATAAATTGATAACATTATGATGTATAAAGTAAAAGACCGGATTGTTCTAAGCTAATATTTTCCATGCAAATCTTTTGAGTTATTAATAAAATGAAGATAAATGATACAATGTTGTAAATTATCTTTATATAAGAATGTAGGGTACTCATCAAGAAAGCTTAAGCATTCATAATATTTATTTATTGAGTTGAAAATTATTTGATTTGCACTCAAGTATGAACAGATAATTTGATGTAAATTGTTCTAATTTTATCTCGGAATGAAATAATGAAAAATTTGTGCTAATTGCAATCTCAATTGATATTAATAATTAATATTATTCTTGTTTTATACTTAAATCATAAACTCTTAAAAATAAAAACACAAGTCAGAAGCAATTACAAACAATCTAATTTTATTGAATTCATTAACATGACAATTGTTTAACTTTCACTGTGATGTGCAATTATTTAAATGTCGCATCATTCAATGCATTCAACTTAACATGATGTTTTTGCTATTAAAATGCCTGAATTATTGATCATTCATTTGCATATTTTTTAATGAAAAACCATTAACAAAATTTGGTTCTTTTTTTTTGAATTATTACAACTTTCTAGATTATGTAATATTTTTTATTAATGTGATTAATTATTAATACTATTGAATAATTTATTTTTTGATAAATTTTTACAATATTTTTAATTTAGGCAGAATTAAATTTTTATTAATATTGACTAATCAGTAACTTTAAAAATCTGGTGTTATAATATTTATTATTAATATTTTTATAAAGTAATATTTTCTAATACTCTGTTATTAATTTAAAAATAGCGTTTTTCAAAAACCTATTAATTTTTTTCATTTAAAAACCATAACATCCTCCTCTTTTTCATCATATTCCTAATGAATCACTAATGATGATTTTATCCTGGTCATCTTACTAACATAATTACAATTTCTATTTTATTTTCCTGACTTATCATGATTTAACTACAATAAATGACGCATAGTATAAAAAATTGAGCATCCTAGAATAAATCCGGTATGATTTTTTTGCAGGGAAAAAATTAAATCAAAAATAACGATTATTTCAAAACTACTTAAGACAATATTTTTCATTTGCCGTACTTATGCATATACTTAAATGAAGTGTAGAATTAATTTACTATCCAACTAATTCGAGAGGAAAACAAATGTTTATTCTGTACAATTCAAGTCAAAAGAAAATAGAACAATTACCTCATTTTCTTTACATCATAACAAGTTTTACTAAAAATAAATAATCATGAGAGTTTTGCAATTTTGTATTAATTAATTTCTCTCTTTTTTGCATCATTTATCAACCAGTTAATTTTTTTCTTCAACTCAACTTCAACACTTTGCATTTACTCATGTTTCTCTGAAATTTAAACAATTAATAGACACTTAAATATCTAAATGGTCTACAACAAGGCTTCTTTAAACAACATTATTTTAATTTATTGAATAAGAAGCAAGAAACATAAACATTATATCACACTTAAGTAGAGCTAAAGGGGAGATTGAATACGATAATTAATATTTATTGCTGACTTAATTGTATTATTTCATAATTAATATTAATAATATCAATGATGAATAAATCAAATCACCATAAAAACATTATTCTTTTGCTGATATTTCATTTTCATTTGCAAATTTTTAAAAATTTCCACAATTACACTGTTGAATGATTCTATCAATTTGAAACTTTATGATAAGTCATAAAATCTATCAACTCAGCAATAAAATTTCGTAAAATATAAAAAGCAGTAAAAGGCAAAATAGTTATTATATCACAGCAAAGTTGAAAAAAAAACAGTCATTTATTTTTGTCCTGTTAATTGTTTCCCCTTCCACTGCACGATGAGTTTGCTTCCTTTCTCTTTTGCTGTTGAACTATCAGAGTTCAAGGTTAATAAAGGTAAAAATGACGATAAATCAATCCATCTTGTGTCTAAGAAATTTAGACATGGTTGAGGGGTTTAGATAAATTTTCATGGGCTACGTTATTGCAGGACTTTACAAAAAATGTTTTTTTTTTTGAAAACTCTCACATTCCTTTGAGAAGTAACAAAGGGGAGTGGCCCTTGACGTCAGGGCCTCCGTGACTTCTGCCACGTAAGACGGTTCTTTGGTTTAAAGTGTAGTTTGAACAAAAAAACTTAAGGTGTGATGCAACAGTCAAATTTCTTTCTTTATCCATTTCGATACATATATATTCACATATGTTTTTAGTAAGTGTTCAAACATCTAATGCCCTTGATATAATCCATACGAGTATGGAATAAAATAATTTATGATCTTTACCTTATTTTTTGTTTGCAACAAAGTAGGTTGAGAAGCACTGTTGGTCAATCGCGTCAATTATAATAAATGTATGTCGTTCTTTTCTCTTCCTTTCTCCCTATCTTCTCATAAACCAGCTTTGTCCTATGTGGGGAATATAAATGTGCGAAAGAAACAAAAAGTACATGACCAGATTCTTGAATAATTAAATTTACATGAAGTCAATGTTGAAATCATCTACAGTCTCTTCAAATGTGTATTCTCCTTGTGGGCTGAGAACAAAGGGTAATGTGAAGATATTTCGGAGAACTAATCCGAGGTATGGCATACGAAATCATAAATCAAAAAATTTCAAGTCCGCAACAATGATCAAAGTATATTCCATGTCGTATATGAATATTATATGTATTATAAATAATTACTTAAGATGTCTAGATATCGATAACCTGATCAGTGTGTTTGATAGTTTAAAAAACTTTATCAAAACCTGATAAGACATCATATGTCTGAATGTATTCATTTTGTCTACATATTTACTTCGCTAACTTTTATACTAATGTCAATATCGACTCTGGTACTTGATCGTTTGAATTTATAAAATGATAAGAAAAATAATATTTATTCAATGCTGCCCTTTTGAGAAGTAACAGGTGTTGATATTATATTATATTATTTCAAGCTAATAATCTAAAAATGGCCACATCTCTTGCAAGTATTCAAGGGAATTGTAGGAATTGCTTGAAGGCCATGAATATCTTTCAGACAATCTTACAGGCATTTATAGTCCCGTGCATTTCTCGACGTCTGGTCTATACTTATTTACGAAGAAAGGGAATGCTATCTTAGAGCCAGCTGCTACCCAGATTTTCCCTCTTTAGGACAAAAAGTCATCACTGAAATTAGATTTCCAACTGCTGACTCTTGGTGTAGACCCTTCTATTCGTGACTTCTGTCACGTCGTGCGTCTGGTATCTTACATCTTCTTTCACCCTTTTCTCTCATTTCCGACGTTAATTGCAGTCGGAAGTGTTGGAAAAAGATCTAAAAAGAATTTGATGATACAATGTCAGTGAGATAGGATGAGATAGCTCATAAATTGTCATTTTAGTCTGTCACAAAGAAGGGAATTGCTTTATGAACAATTTTCCCCTGTTTACGAAACGTGTGTCAAATAGATTTTTCTATGGATTTCACATTTTAATACATTTTTTATCAATAAGATATACAATTTTGAAAAATGAACAACAAATACGTAAATAATGAGCTTTTCTTCACAAAGAAAAATTTTCTTTGTCCAATACATGCTTGTGCTTATTTATTTACATATATTTTTTTTAACTTACATTTGTAGTTTATTTTTAAAATGAATGTACAACTTGAAAATATTTATTATCAAATTATTCGTTTAAAAAAATTGGAGCAATGTTAAATTAAAAAGTTGCTCCAAAACATTTAGATTAGCCTAGTAATTATTAATGATTGTCATAATAACAGCAGCATATGCTGTAATAAAGTACTTATCCACTTATTCAATGACTTCAGGATGTACTATTAATATTAACATAGTTACTACCAAATCCTAATTTGTATGTCTGATGAATTATTAAGTATTTTTCTTTGTTAAAAGTACTCCGTTCATGATGTTACGTTTGTCTGTTTGAATGAATCTTATTAAATGCGAAAAAAATAGTAAATAAGAACATTCATCGATGAGAATTTTTAGAAATTTATTCGAAGCATGTTTCATGTGAAATAGTATGGTAGAGATATTATCTATCAAGTCAGATTTATTACCTTAATTCTTTGTTATTGTTTCGAAGTTGCTTTTTTGTCTAGTGGTCTATATAAATTCGCGGAAAATTTTCAACACAAAATTTTTGATGCTTCACCATTGTTTCGACTTGAAAGTTTTTTTTTCTATTTCGTGGCCTAGATAAATTCGTGGAAAATACTCCATTCAGAATCCTTTTGAATTTTGTTTCTACTTCTCTTTTCAATGTTTTTACTTTCGTTGCCTTTAAATTCTTCTAAATCAAAACCATTTATACATAAATTTTTTTTTCACTTTTTTCTTGTTTTGATTTATTTAAAAATATATTTAAGCAATATCAGAGATAAAAAATATCATGTTTACATTGATTCATTATAAATAAATATTGCATAATTTAAACATTGATAATTGCTTAATCAATCTTTGAAAATGTGGATTTGAGAAAAAAATTAATACAATTTAAAATTAATTAATTATCGTCACTTTCAAGACTCTAATATGCTTTTATATTATATCTCCAGCCTTACATGTTTTTTATTCCCTCATAAATTGAATGATCTAATAAGATAATTGAACAAATTTGTAACAGAAGGTCTAAAATGATGTAAAAAGTTATCACAAATGATAAAAGAGCGGGAACAACTCGAGATGTCCTCCATATACCCTCTCAAATCCAAACCAAAGTATAATTGAATGCCATTAAGCAATATTGTATCGCCCTAAAAAAAAATTGAATTGAATTATTGACATCATTTCATTTGAAGAAATTATTCTATTCTGTTCCCAAATAACTTTTATTCTCATGAAAGTAATTTATTACAACACTACATAATTCAAATGTTTATACTGCTTTACTTGAAGTCATCTACTCTATTACTCTTTCAATATAAAATTAGCAATGATAGTCAGTGAATAGTCACTGATTTCTAGTAATTTGTACTCATTTATTTTTAGAAACTTTCTATTTTGATTCTTTCTTTAGATATTTTTATCAAGATATTCATTATCAGTTTCATATATTAACTATTAGAAAATCACAGATCTGATCATAATTGTAATAGGATACAAATAGTTAATCACCTTTTGATAAAACACTGCATTTCAATATAATATCTATAGGAAGACTGAATCAACGTTCAATTATAGTTTAAATTTTAAATTTATAAGGAAATTTAATTCAAAGCTAATTTTTAAATTATTCATTTTTTTAACTATGCTAATAGTACACTTAGTTTAATTTACTATTATGTTTACATTTTTTATTTGAATTTTAATAAAAAATTATGCAAGAAAAGTTTCCTGAAGGAAATCATATTATCATATTTATCATAAACGTCAATAATTGTTGGGTTAACCTTGTTGTACCGGAAAAATATTATAAATATTTTTGTTTATAAAAATAATTGCTAGATTTTATATCCTTTTTTTAATCAATAAATAAATACACATAGTATGAACAATTAATTATTATTTATATTAAATAGAAGAAATAGAAAAAGCAAAGCTTCTTCAACTTAACAATTCTTAAACTCATTTTTCAAACTAATAATTCAACATTTTTCTGATCATTTGAATAAGAAAAAAGAAAATACCAAAAATCAATGTTAATTTAAATCTTTTTTAACAAAGAAGAATTTTTTTTGAAAGCTCATCATTCAAAAAAAAAATGTCTTGGTTGATTCTATAATCTTTCTTCACCTTAAATTCCTTCATTTCCATCATATTTCAAAATCCTGACCACTGTTAAACCAATCAGGTATCTTACTCAATATTTATTTCTAATCAATGCATCAAAACACAAAATTTCCATAAAAGATGAAACTGTCTCTTTCACAGGCATGATCACTTTCCATGATAAAAAATACTCCATAACCGCACAAAATCATGATAAAGGATTTCCTTGTAACCACACAACAAAAAAACCTGGGAAAAAATCCAAAGACAAGAAAATAAAGGTGGCATTCACTAAAGTAAATTATTTAGCATTTCTTACTTAATCCTCAGTCACGTCATTTCCCGTAACTCTAAAATTGTATTATAGTAGTTTCAACAGACAATTTCGATTCGCTCCAGCGCCCAGTTCTAGGTAAACTAGAGAATACAGTACGAGGTCGTTATTAAAACCGGGTGGCAAGTAATCAGCAGAGGCGTTGTGTTCATAATAATGACTACTGAAGATGTCAACTCAAAGATGAGGGAGGGAAAGGAAAATTATATAAAGTGGTCATGCAATAGATTTGAACCGACAACTTCAGAGCACTTTATCCCGTCCATCATCATATCCCTAGTACAGATCTCAAGACTGCTTGCTTACATACATTGACGTCCATTAAATAATAAACAATGTATAATAGGAGAAAAGTAGTACAAGTAGCACATGTAAAGTTCTACTAAAACTGTTTATTTATTGAATTCCTACAACGACATCTGCTTTGACTTTAGTTCCTATCACTAATGTCATTTTGAAAGGGTGGTACCCACATGTGTCCTAATTTCATAACAAACTGTGTTTTATAAAATTTAGGGCTACGTAAATTGTTGGTTAGGTGTAGCAGTCCGTGTAAGATATGTTCTTCTTATCACATAATATCATACACCACACATCTGTACGCACATGGTAATGACACAATGAGAAACTTCCTAGAGGTCTACAAAGACACTAATGATTTTAACTGCTGCCTGTTATGTCTTGTAAGGGGTCCAACTTGATCATACTAACGGCTTGAATCTTTCACTACAATCATTCATGCATTACAACAAAGAACTCGCATTTGGTTACATCGTTTAATCTAAAGAAAACTGGATCCTTTACGCAATCAACATGCATGGGAGGTACTTCACACATATATGTAACACTGTAGATTTACTTGGTATCGTAAGACTCGTGCCAATACTCGGATTACACGCATATCATCAACTGATTTATTCATGCAAAACGAATGATACTTAATACTTTGTGATATGATTTTATTCATTTCATTTTTTCTGATTAAAACTCTTATGTAATTTTTCTTTCTTTCTTATTTTCTTTTTACTCTGTGTAGAATATTGGATTGATGGTAACCATTGGAAGACTGTTATAGGAAGTTGTTTAAGATAAATGATAGACAAGATAATAAATTGCAATTTTCCATTCAGGGCTTTTTACACTAGTGTTACGCTTTAGTATTATTTCGAATTGAAAGGAATGTTTTATTCATGGTAAATGTCTTTGTCATTGAGAAAAACAAATTAATTTTAATCAGGAAAATATTTTTTTTGACTAAAGTGAAGAATATTTAAATTGAAAATACCTTGAATAGAATGACGTATTTGTCAAGTCTTCATGCATGTAAACTTTTCGGAGTATTTGAAATTATTATTTAAAAATTGAATAAATAAAATAAAAGTAAAATAAAATTTATATTTTTGAATAAAATATAATAAAAATGATCAAAATTTAATGTACTTCTTTCGACATACTTCTTAACTTTTAGAGTATTCAAGCTTTTTATAAAAATTCATTGTTTTTCTCAGTAAATTCAATAATTTGTAAAGAAATGGTAATTTTAAATATTATCTCTTTTAAAGTCGTGATGTTTCATTTGTAAACATCCAAAAACAAAAAATTATTTAAATACAATCTATGCAAATATTAAATACTCATTGTTAAACATTCTCTCATCAAGCCAATATTTACGATAAACTGCATTGTAAAATCAATAAAATCAATCCATAACCAGTACTTGCATAATACAACACTTTCAAATATTATGATAAAAAGTGCAAATATTTACATTTAAGATAAAAATAAATGTATAATTCATCTTACGAAATGCAATATCCGTAGAGTATTCAAGTAAAATGCATTTATCTTCCTTTGTCAGTCATTTCCCGAGATGTAACGCATTATTCAGCATACGCAGTGTTTCCGGTTGCGTATACCACGTCATACGAGAGAGAGAGAGAAAATTCCATACGAGTCATGGATACTTTTATCAAGTTTGTAATCCGTATAGTGACAATTCGCTGAGTCGACACTTAACTTGTATTGTAGTTCAATTTCATTATAATGGAAATTTCAATATTAACGTACACTTTTGATAAGACTAGAAAGTTCAGCATGTACATGATAACGTATTATCGCTTGAAACATATCATTTAAGAGCACAATTTAAAATAAGATGCAATGAATCACTTCAAGCTTTTTTCAAGGGCTCCTGCTCTTGAAGTGTGGGAATGTTAAATTGCTTGAAACGAGCCGCTCTACGGTCTTCTAAGTCATGTGCCAACTGTTCCAGTAGCTCTTTGAACACGTAGTTATCTAGATTCTTAGCAATGTAGTAAAGGAACAACCAGTCTCCAAAGTGATATTCATGAGTGAGTTTTAAAACATTCCATGGATTGTATTTTCCTGGACAAGCCAAGGAAAAAATGTATCTATTAAATGCTTTGCTCCTGGAAAAAGAAAAGTAGCATTGTAGAAAATTTAAATATCAGTAGCTTCCCATGACCTATTAAATCTAGACAAGATTATTTATTTCCTCTTCAACTTCTTCACTCATAGTATAATACAAGCGGACTACTTTATTTTAAAAAATGAGATAAATAAAATTTATTATTATTTTTATGAAAAGTAACCCATCAAGACTTGAAGTGATTTGAAAAAAGTTGATAAATCTAATAGGAAAAATAAGTAGAAATTTGGAGATAGAAACTAAATTAGTGAAACTGAAAAAATAAAAATTCAAATGAGATAAACGATTTTCCAGCTTTTAAATGAAAGACATTTTGGTGGACAAAAAAGATTTGCTGAAAGAGATATACTTTCAATATAGATTGAATTTGGATGTTGGGAACTTTTTTGTTCCTGTCAGTTCATTCAATCTCAAATATCCATTTATTGGTTTGTTTACTTCACTTTGCATTTATGGGAAAAATTTTTTGTAAAAAAGTTGTACGAGTTGCGAAATTTAAATTATTTAAACGAATGGATAGAAAATAGGAATTTTCTTTGACGATACTATTGAGGTCGACATTAAAAACTGTATTGAAAGAATTTTTGATATCCACTAGAAAGTTCATTGTTCAGTCTATAAAAAACAGTTAGTTGTTAACTATTTTGAACTAGTTTTTTACTGTTTGGAATAAATTAACGCTGCTTACAAGTATCGATTTGGCTCAGAACATTATGTAGAATAGCTTAGATGTTAATGTTCTCGATCACCAAATTTATTTCTGTACATATATATTCAGTATGATGATGTACTTTTTGGTTTTTCAGATGTTTTAGAAATAGTACGTTGGAGTAAATTGTCATAGACAGGAGCAAGTTTACTTTATTTGTCACTGTTTGTGTTTGTTTTCAGACTGAACAAATAGATTCTTCAAGATACCAAGCATGCTTTCAATGTTATATTGCTTTTCAACAAAATGATATAACATTAATAGAAAATTTTTTTCAACCTGAACTTTTCAATTTAATTTCATGAATCTATACTGATAGAATCAAAAACCTTTGTATCTCAAAATGAAAGATATTTCAGTTTTAAAAAACTCTTTCTTCAATAAATATGATAGTAGGCATCATCAGGTTAATTTAATTCCAAAATTTAATATATTTAAAAATAAAAAAATCACTGATTTTTCTTTATTTATTCAAAACCATTAAGAAATAAAACTTTAGTGAAATCTTGTTGCTCTACCACTCTGCACTTAATGGATTTATATCTCAACCTAGCAATATATAACTCAAGTATATCATTTATAAAGATGAATAAAAATTAATTATTCACTTGTCTAAATATTTAATAGGTCATTGAGCAATTAAAATTTCCATTTAAAATTATTCAGAATTTTTTAACTTACCTTGCATGTAGAACCATGGTAAGAATTCTCCAAACAAGCCCAAGGCCAGAGATAATTGCCAGGATAATAAACCAAAACCATAAAAATGAATAAATCTTTTCATTGACAATATTAAGAGCCATGATACATAATGCATCATGAGTCTGGATCGTACCCGAGGGTCCATACTTGTGGAACATGCACTTAGTAACCTTGGGAAATATGATATCTAAAGGAGACATCTTATGACCGTATTCAGATTCAGTAAGAGTGATGCCCAAGCCTAGAAATGCACCACCCAAGAACAGATCTGTGAGGTAGATCTGCACCATGACGTTCATGAAATTGAGAACCTCACAGAAACTTAAATAATAAGCCCAAGGCCTATTGACATGCAATCTATTGAGAAAAGCTGTTCTGATCTGACGAATTTTTTCATCTCTATCGAACCTAGATGGAATAGTTTTTCCACCTTCAATTTGCATCTGTTCATCACGTAGAGCCAATGAAGCTAAATGAAGACCTGATACCAACATTTTTAGACGTCCACCTGTTGACAAAAGACGTTGAGTCATTTCTTATCTTGAAAAAGCTGCTATGTCTACGTTTTACCTTCAGCATTTCTCCAGAGGTAATGAGGAATATAAAAGAGCAGTGCTTGGAAAAAGAGAACAAAAGGTACCCATTGATAATAAGTATGATGGGTGATTTCATCATCTTTAGTTGCACATCCAACACCTGGATGTGGTACATGTCCCAGTTCAACCATCGATGAATTCATATGCTTTTTCTGATAAAATCAAAATATTTATATTCACATCTCTCATATTTATTACTTGGTTTTCATTTTATCAGTGTTGAAATGTTATCACTTACCACTGTGTATGTCGATGTGAAGAAACAGAATGTATCTACCACATGTGCAGGAAGTGAACTGTCTACGATACATCTTTAATAATCCAATCAATTAATCAATTGATCTATCCATGTATTGTTAATGAATCATTTATAATCATAATAAAATCATTGGATTGGAATTTTTTTTCAATTGAACTAATTGTGCTATTTTCATCAGGTGAATAGGAGATTTATTGTCCTGATTCACTCTGTGCATATTTTGAATTAATTTTATTTAATTAATGTTTACAATTTCACACTTGGTATGATTAATTGATGTAATTGATGATCAACAATAATTGCTGTGGTATTTTCATTAGAAATTACTGTATTTTGATGAATCAGGACTCATTTACAAGCCAATTTTTTCTTGTTTATACAAAAAGCTTGAGATATTTTTAACTCATTTCTATCTTTTCATAATAAATTAATAAATTACAGAAATAAAATTTCTTGATTTTTTTGAAAACTTGGAAAGTTTTTTGGAGTAAAAAATTTTTTTCTGTCAAAAGATTTAAATAACATATTCTAAAGCTCAATTTTTTACTGTTACAATTTGTTGGAGATATCTATCTACAATCATTTTTTATTTAGTTATGAACTTTCAGAGCAAAAAACTTCTGACTTAAAATTACTATAACTTTTAAAGTAACGATAACATAGTAATCGTTATGGGATAATTTAAGAACTTCAAGTATTTTTATAAAAGTGTTACTACTGAGGTTTCATGAAAAAAAAAAACTCCCAGAGTTCTTGATCTCAATTTAGAGTTACCTTAAAAAACAGTTTTTTGCGTGGGCTTTCAAACTGGTTGCCATTTTAAAAGACATTACATAACAATATAAGTCGTGGGACTTAACTTTTTATCATGCCCTGAATCATCAAAAATCAGAAAAAAATTTCTCTTTCATTTTGAACTGAATTAAGAATGATACCACCAGTGTTTCTTTAAACTTCAATCCAGATTTCATTTACAAATGATAAGAATTAAATGATTTCCTTAATCTTATTGATTTGAAGTAATTTTTGACCAACTTACTTAATATGATCTCCAATAAATTGTCGAGCAGAAACAAGAATAGAGCCAGCAACAAGTGCGAGAAAAGTCAAACGGTAGTGAAGCCTGAAAACTATTTTACAAGAGATTGAGTTACATATTATTCCCACGACATTGGAATTAATGTTAATCATGCCGGTCAATTGGAAGAATAAATTTTTATTTTTTAAAATTAATTAAAAATTAATTGCATAAAGTAGGTTGCTAAATCCCTATCACGTGATCATATTGCGTAAATTTATCGGCGGGGAATTCAACGGTCGATCATGTAGTGCTCAGAATATTTTAAACTACATATAATACATATGTAAAGCGACACAATTGGTCATTGTTTGCAAATAAAATTTTCACCAATATTATCGATGACTGCCCGGTCCTCTGTTACTTTCAATTTTACGTGGTCCTTGAGCACCGAAAATGTCGCGAGAACTGTTGAAGTTGACATGTTTTTGTATCCTCAGATTATCAACTTTCGTCTTGAAAAAAATTAGACTTAGTAAAATAACTAATCTCGACACTTGGAAAATCATAGACACCAAAAAAACATTGACTCTTTGTCACTGTACGATCAGATCTTCACTGAGTATCACGACAGTATTTGGTAAATTAGTGATACTCTTATCAGCAGTGTATAACTGTATTATATCTACTCACAGAGAATCTTGAGGAAGCAGGGGAAATGATACAAATCGAGGAGGGATTGTATTATGAAGGTTTTGTTAGATAGCATTGATGATAACATCGATAAACAAGTAAAATAGAATATCATAATTAAAAAAACCTAAATAGATACAAATTTATCAAAATCAATGATTCGTTATGAAAAAATATCATATTAATTATAGTTGATATCATAATATGATTTTAATGTCTTGATAGAATTCAAAAATAATTATTCCTTGAAAATATATCAAATGATATGCATATTTTTAAATTCTTATCTACAAGGTATTGTCCTCTTCACAGGTTGATGAACGTCATCTTGGGATTAGAGGATTCCTTATCATCTTACGTGCCAGTGTAGATAGTCTGAAAAATATGAGACTTCTAAAGAAATTGATAGATTTTTCAGTTTCGGACTTATTTTTTAGTCAATATATGATAAATGTTATTGATTTAACGCCTTGAAATTAATCAAGTTATTCTAAGAAACTCAATGTTTGATTTGCTATATCTTTTAATCTCAATATTCCAAGCTTTAGAAATCATTGACAGGAGATAGTGGTTCTTGAACAACTGGTTCTAGATCAGTGTTGACTCAAAACACCTGGAAATTCTATTGATTTTATCCTGGTTGGAAAAAGTTCTTCAATTTAATTATACTAAGTCGGTAATCCTTCAGGAAGTCATTTGTGAAGTTGACTTTCTTTTCACAGAAGAAAGCTTTTATGTAATTCAAGAATACCAGTATTTTTCTTCAATTCATCAAGAAAAACTATTTATTTTTTTATTTTAACTTTATTTTCAATGCAGTGAAGAAAATCTAAAAAATTTGCTAGCTCATCTGACAGAAAAAACTTATTCTTTGAATGTCATGATAAAAAAATTCTTTCTAATACTTTGAATAGGTTCAGCACCAACAGATATCATTTACTAAGATGATTCTTCAGTTGGTTAGTTAATATTTAAACATGATAAAAATTTTGATGTGTCGATTATGAATTTTTGAATAATAAACATTTATATTTTTGGAAGAATTTCATTAAAGATGAATCCAAGCACAAGATTGAATATTCAATGATGATTTTGTAAACGTGTTGGTATTATTTTAGGCTGTTGCAATATTATTAAGGTATATGATTTTCTTCTGTAAATCATAGTGATTCACTTTCTAGGTATCTAACAACGATATGGTGTTGAGACAAAATAGTAATTATGTAATGTTGATATCTAATCATTCTATTTTACATTTTCTACAAGAAAAATAAATAATTACAGACAAAGTTTGTCAATAAAAATTTCTTACATACATACCTTTTACAAAAAAATAAACTTATGATTGATATTCTTAGAAGTGTTGAATTTAAATCTAAAATTAAATATTTCTAAATATTTTGATGAATAAAATAAGTCTTCTCTAATATTTAGAATTATTTTAACTGTAGTAAAAATAATAATACTGATTCAGCATCAAATTATCGTAGTGAAAAAATTTTAATACTCCAACATATCCTTGAGAACTTTAGAGAGTTAGATTCTAAGCTATAATTTTTGTAAAACATTATAATTTTTTTTTATCTATACTAATCCAAGTTAAATTATTTTTTTAAAAGATCGTAAGTTCTGAATTGCTATGTTAATATAAAACTTCATTAAAAATCAACTTAAAAGTCATAAAATGATTTTAAAGAATTTATTATCATATTCTATTTTAAAATAACATTGTTTTAGATGTAAATTCTTCAGCATTTTATTAGTGTAATGATTGATAAAAATGATATTAACTCTTCCCATGGCCTTAACTACCTGAAATAATCTTTTTTCAAGAATATCTTCTAAAGACCAATTAATTAGAAGCTTCATTTTAGCACTTCTGTAAGAAGTCAATTTCTTCAAGATCTCTGACCACAACCAGATGATCCACGATAAACTGCCCAATTCTATAAATAGCTTGATTGGCTAATCAATCACAGAAAAACCGATTCTAGTTTAATATCACATTCCCACAGATTTGATTAAAGTAAATAAATATTAAAATTCTAGAAACATGTAAAAGAGTTACATGAATTTTGAAAAGGAATAAAAACGAAAACTCTGAATAGAAGTCATTGAATAATTTAATTTTTTATTCCCACCAAGAAAACCCCTCATCGAAGTCTCCAGAGCTGAAAGAAAAAGAGATGGTAAACGATCACTCGTCTTGACTTCATCGTAACCCGTACAACAAGGACTTTGACCGGGCATTGCCCTCACCGTCGTGCAACCACGCGGACATTCTTGTTTCGAAGGGTCTCTTCATCCTCCTCTTCATCTACCGCTTCGCCTACACTTTCTTGGTATACCTGACTGATCTTGTATTATGTACAAGTATGTCGCCTTCAAGCTATACCATAAGCACAATGAAAACTTGATCACTCTCTCCAATATATAAAAAGTCTACTTGCCAACATTTGCATCATCATCAACTTCAATATTATATGAAGAGTTCTTCTTTAATCGATGTATATTCTACTAAATATAGAGAGGAAAATTGCTTGTTGGGGTAGAAGTTAAATTGAATAAAATACCAGGTAGCTGAATATGCGATCAGTGGACTTGAAAATCAACTCGGTCGGTACACTCATCTTTCTCACGTGTTGGACAAGCACGTCGACGTTGCCTTTATGCTGAGGTCTTTCCTCGATTATTACTTCTGGTCTCACGCTCACTGACAATTTGAAAGTTGTGATTATTCCATGGAATTGATGAAACATTAATGGAAAAATGATATTAAACTTATTTTATCTATTTCCTATAAAAAGATTTCATGTTTTTTCAATACCAACATCTCAATAACGTGTCTATCTTGGAATAAATTAATAATGTTCAATAGAGGTAGTCACGTTTAGGACCCCTCGACCTAGTGATTGAGGCATGATTGAAGGTTAATGATTGGCCCTTGCACGACTGCAACGTGTTTAACGTGCAGCCATTATCAAAACTTCATACTCTTTACATACAACTGGAGAATAGGATGTCTAGAAAAATAAATAAAAATCACTCATTACAGGCATTTTGTTTATTTGATTTCTTATTAGATTTTTTGACCAACTTTCTTTCTCCTTAAACACTTTCTGTACAATTCGTATTTCTTTATTAACATTCGTAAATATTAAAAAAATTGTAATGTAATAGTTACATTATTATTATTATTATTATTATTATTATATGGTATCAAATAGTTATTAATTTTTTGTTTCATTAATATTATTGGCACTTGTAAATTTAATACATGCACAAATTGTTTATTTTAAAACAAATAGATATCTTTATAAAATTGTATTTGTAAAGAATACAGTAAAAGCTCTAATACAATTTATAGGCTCATAAAATATAATAATTCGGAAAAATTTATATCTAAATAATCTAGAAAAAAACACTTTTTTTTTGTTTATTTTAATTAAACTTTTTTCTTTATTTTTTATATCATTCTACTTTCTTATTATAAGATTATGATTACAAAAAGACAATTGTCGTTGACTCTATCACATAAGATTTGCTCGAGAACGGATTTATTCTCGCAATCTGATCGCGGCTTATCACTACAGTTATCAGAAAATAGTTACGGCATTTTTTCTTTTTTGTTTAACATTTTAATTAGTATCTTTGAATGATATGCTTACTATTGATCCCCACAGAACAGGTCTCTTTGTTTTCTTTTTCTTTATCATGGCATTTGTGGCCTTTTAACAGGAAATCTTTTATTTAAAAAAAAAAGAAACTCTTAGTTAATACAAAACCAACATTTTTACATTTTTTTTTAATTTATTTTTATTGACAAACGAACAATTAAAAAATGGAATGAAAATACTTGAGATACAAACAATGATCTACTGGCAGTCTTATTTTGAGCGAAGATTTTAAATTTTGCTCATTCAATTCTAATGATCAGTAAAGATACAGTTAATGAAAGAAATAAAATGTAATAAAGTGAAAAAAAAGAAAGAAAAAAAAAAGATTAACATTATCTCGACATTGATTGCCGCTAATATTATTGTCTTTTCTTACTAAGTCTTAATGTTTTTTCGATCTTCAGATAATTGTCTGGCATAGATTGTAGCTTACAAATATATATATTTATAGTAAATTAACGGCCGACAATTATTCATCCAATTAAATTTATCAATGACACTTTTTTTTTTTAATGAATAAAAAGGCATCGGCTACCGATAATTAACGAGAGTCTGTTGCAATTCTTTCAATAATTCACATTAATAATTTCTAGTGACCCGGAAGAATTGTCAACTGAGTCAACGTTTAGGACGTGAACGGCAGTATCATATTAATACGAGGCATACAATAGGCATTATAACACCTTAAAAAATATCAAAAATACTTAGTGCTAATGCACATTTGCCTCATCCATCCTGGAATGGATACAATTTTTCATTTAAAAAATGTATTATATCTACAAAAATTCTTGTATAATAATTAATAATAATATATAGCTTTCTATCTTCTATACCCTAGGAAAAAGTTACTACAGCTACGTGTGATAGCGAACAAAGAAATAGTAGGTAAAGAATATGGAAGTAATGCTATTGGGAGGACGGCGTCGGTTAGTTATTTTGTGCGTTTTCACATTTTCTATTTTCTTTTCATTGATTTTTTGGCCAATGCCTGACTAAACCCTCAGGTCTGTCTAACAAAGCCATTGATGTTTTGTGAAATGATTCTCATTGTCTCCTGTCTATACCCTTGAACTTTCTCTATTGTTCCTTATCCACAAGTCTCACATGACTAAATCTCAATAAACGAATTGTAGTTTATTAACAAAAATACATTTCAACTTGTCACAGAATTTTGATTATTTTATTTATTTTAATTGTCATGAAGCAACGTTGAGATAAAGAAAATATAGAGAATGAGATTTTTGATAGTCTTTAAAGTACTTCATACAAAGGTTAGTTATTTCCTTTCTTGTAGTAATGGCGTAGTGATAGTAGTAGTAATTGTAGTAGTAGAGGCAGTAGTAGTAGTGGTGGTGGTGGTTGATGATGCAACGTGTAAGAGATTGATTGAAATACATTGAAAGGAGTAATATTATTAAAAAAAAAGAATCTAGAAAAAAAAATAGACGCCGTCCGCCGTTTATCACAATTAGAGTCTACCAAAGCTTTCGTCGTCCCACGACCCAGATAATTATTTATCAGAAATTGTCAAGCTGTACTGATATAATCTTTCAAGTATGTACGTATGGAAAATTATGATTTCTATTATGAAAAGTACTGAAGAGATAATTATTATTAAAAAAAAAAAAAGAAAATTAAATTGGGTCGTAGATTACGGAGAACTGACTCCAATTAGAAAAGAATGGATTTAGTTCGTTTATCGAGCTGTAAAATGTAACTTGAGTGTTTGATGTTGGATTGAGTATCGACAATTTTGATGCACACATTGGATAAAGTGTAATTGCAATACGAGCTTCTATTCGTATGGTGTCTAGTCGGAGTAAAAGAAGATATGTGACTCAAACAAGAAAGAAAAAAAAACACCGACAGCTCAAGGGTTATCTCAGCCACCAAGTGGAAATAAATCTCGATTGGTTCGCTAACTTTTTATAAATATCCTTCGTTAATTTTTTATCTTTCTGCGACATCAGAGAACGAGAGAGTATCTTCTCTTTTTCTCCATCAGATACAGGTTTAGGTTAGACGTTTTCTTTCCCCTCTAATCTCAATGCTAAATCATGGACTAACTGCTTGTAGACAAGTGGATCGATGTTTTTGCCAAGTTGATAAAGGACGAACCAGTCGCCAATTTGGAACTTCTGTGCAATAACTTGTACTTGACTTTGTGGTGAAAGACGAGAGCGTGCACGAAGAAGGATCAGACGTAGTTTCGGTCCAGCAACAACGGCGGCGCGGTAGAGCAAACTTAATCCACTGAGGATTGAAAGAATGATGAACCAGAACCAAAGGAATACGTAGATTTTTTCGTTTACAATATTCAACGGAAGTACACACAGACCATCAAACTTTTGTACTGAACCGGAAGCACCATATTTGTGGAAGGTGCACTTTGTAACTTTTGGAAAAACTCTAGACATTGGATCGTTTCTTTCTTCAGGTTCCATTTCAGTGAATCGGACTACATCTGCTCCATATGTTGAAAATTCGCCGTCCAGGAAGAAGTCCATGAAGTAAATTTGTCCCACGACGTTGATAAAGTTGAGCACTTCACAAAAGAAGAATCGATAGGCGTAGAAATTTTGAGAATATAAATTTGATCGAAAATATTCAACAAGTAGTTTGCTACGTTCGACCTTGTTAGGATCAGTGACAACAGGTCCATTGAGATCAAGCATAAGCATCTTGATTCTACCACCTTCCCAAGTCTTCCAGAGATATCGTGGAATGTAGAAGAGTATGGCTTGGAAGAATAGTGTAAAGCACACCCACTGGTAGTACTTATGGTACTTAACCTCATCAGCCCCCTCGACGTGAGATGCGACGCCAGGTTGCACCACGTCTTGACCGATCCGGCCAACACGATCAGGAATCGTAAAAGTAGAGTAAATCCAGCAGTAAGTGTCCATTACATTGAGAGGTATTTCATCGACAATACAGTCGATGGGATCTCCAATGTACTGTCTAGATGTAACTAGAAGCGAGAAGGCTATCAGGATAATCACAGTAGCTTTATAATGTAATCGAAATACATTATTATCAATGCACACAGCATCGAGCTTGAGCAAGCCCCGAACTGAGCCAAAAACATCAAACATGGCTGCCGATTTTTTGTTTTGACTTTAAAAAATTCGAGTATAATCCACAAAAAATGTTGTACACTCACGAAGATGCACACACTACGAGTTCCGGCTCGTCACTGGTGGCTTCAGTTATCACGAGAGTTCCCAAAATGTCTTGTAATTGATCACTTTATTTCCACGTTAGTTAATTTGTACATCCGATTTACTAATCCAAACTCACGTGCTTTTTTTCCTCACACTTGTTTTTATCTCTCTCTCCCACTGCTTGCTGTCTTCTGTCGATCACACTCGAGATCTGCGGTCACCCACCGATGTTGTACTAAACACAAGCAGCGCGCAATGGCTGAGTGACGCGCTCTGCCTCCTGTATCCACGCTCGGTGAGTTCGGCGTTCGGTAAAACTACTCTTTTGCCTCTTTCTCCTACGCTCGCTGTCTACGGGCGTTGGGGACTGAACGGCTGTCGAGCGATGGTACCCTCTCCCTTCCCCGTCGTATTTCCCCCCCGTCGTTGCCCCCATCAGTGTCCCCACTGCGATCCGCTTCGTGCCCTCGTGGAACCCCGCTTAATTCCACGCCTAAGCTTCCCCCTTACCACATTGCGATCTTCACTCGTCTACCAGGAGATCGCACACTCGGCATTCATCGCCCGCACTCGGCTACTTTCGACCCAACCTGATTGATGTCTGCGCATGCGCACATATGCCAGATTCCTGTTGCTATGGAAACCGATGCCACAGGTCGTCCCAACGTCTCAAGTCCTACGCGGCGCCCTGTTGAACTCAAGCCCTCTACTCGTAAAGGAAATGTTAAGGAATTCTCACTGCTTACGAGATGAATCATATGTTAGACAAGGACAGCAACAACCCCCAAAAGTCATTCAAAATCTTAATGACACCAGGTGAAAAGATTCCTCTCTAGAATTTCTTGGAACAATTTGCGTATTTTTTCTTCCTTATTCTTTCTAAGCTAAAATCTCCAACTCAAATTTCATGAGATCCTGCCATGCTACGTAGATGCTTGTGGACTTGGCATCTCTCTGGGTGAAAGCACGTCCGACCGCACACGAACTAAGCGTCGATGAACGTACCCTATCAACAGGAATTATCATACTGTCCATATAGGTCATAAATGCAGGCCATTGCAAGAAAGATAATTATGCACTGCTCTCAGAAGAACGATTGTGAACGGTGAATGCAAGCTTAAGAAATTCTTCAGCGTCCTTACCATTAGGTGTGTACGTTTTTGTGGTTGCGAAACTTGTATCTATCATAAAGATCATGCACCTCCCCAGGCTATCAAAATTACTCATACGGTAGATAAATTACTGAGTTAATAAAATGGTTTGAGTTTATCTCAAGAAAATCTATCACTTGTAATGAGAGACTTACACCTTATTTTCGTCATTCGATACTTTGCATAGAGAACTTAATTAAATATTTTATTTACTAATTGATTCTCATCTAGAACATTTTAAACTTTTCTCTTATCTTTAGAAAAATATTCATGATATCATTTCGTATTATTAATATCAACTTGTCATTTGTTGGAGAACTTTCCTTTTCTCTTTTACAAATTGTCCTATTCTTTTAGTCAATACATATTCAAGGAATATATGTCTCACTTAGACATCCTGCAAAATTAAATGCTGAAAAAAATTATTCGATTGAGAGCCTTCTAGATAAATTAAAGAAGATTAGTTTTAATAATTATAAAAAAAAAAATATGCACTGCACGTGGAAATCATCTAGATTAAATCAACTCATCGATGAATAAATTTCTTATGAGTTGTAGTTTTTTTTATATCACCAAAACTAGTGATATTCTTTTTCCTACTTCAGTCACGTTATTTTTTCCATGTATTAACATTTTTTTACTTAAATTCTTTTATTTCATTCATATCAGCGCGCACACGCGCAGTCATAGCTGACACGTGCATTACAATCATTACAACCCATGAGCATTGACGCGATAGAGAGTGTAGGTTGTATTTTGCGGTGTCGTACGTATTATTCCTGTGATAATGAAATGAGTAATTGTTTCAAGATAACAATAGATTCCTATTTTCCTAATTAAATTTTTCACTACCAAGGAGTTTTTCCATTTTTTTTTGTTATTTCTATAGAAAATTGTCTATATGTACAATACCTAAATTAGGTTAGAGCAACATGTGATATCACTACGTAACAACTATATAATCATCTATTTAATGATATTTATAAAAAATATCACCATCAATTACGAGTTCTCGAAAGTAATTATGACGATAAATTATAAATATATATTCTATCTTTATTAAATTAATTAATTCATTTTTTTCTCTTTATGCTTTCCTAGAATTCACCAGAATTATGTAAAAAAGATGAAACAAACTCTGTTCTCAGCTGCATCGTAATTTTTTCGGAGGTTGGTTGTAAATCTTTTGAAGATTTAGTAACAGAAAAGGATGTTTCCCTTTCAGGGATCTATTGTAAAGTTTTCAAAATCATTGTTATATTGACTAATCGTTTTTTCTGGGATTACTATTCACATTCCTTGGATACAATTGTTTATTTATTCTTTATATTGTATTATTTTTTTCATTCATCACTTAGTCTCTTATTACTAGAAATAAAATCAGCAATTACTTGAAGGAAAATCCTTTTAATTTATTCACAATATTTTCAAGATTTATCTTATGATTGCTATTCTTCATTCACATTAATTTTTTTGATTATTTATTTCTAAAATAGAATGTGTAATTATAAGACATAAAAAAAAATTTCATTTACATGTATTTACCAAGGTATGTTCCTTTCTAATATGAATATTCCTATCTTTCATGGTGATCTTTAATTATTTATATTTTTATTTTTTAATAGTTTATGCAATTATTTTTAACAGAGTTTATCATTTAAACTGATTTATTTATTTTTCAAAAGTTGAATTTTATTTCAGGTGATTTTATTCTTTCATTAAAATGAAAGCTTCAATCTTCGTTGTACCTCAATCAATTCTTTTTTGTAGAAACTGATCATAAATAATGTTAAAAAGGCTTGAAAATGTCAAGATTTAATATAAAGTAATGTTTTTATCCAAACTCAGTCAGTGTTTCCCTAATATGAATTTATCCAGGAGAAATATTACAGAACTCAATTCAGAATGAGTTTTTTTGATTATAAATTTCACCTCTAATCAAGGCTTCAACAAGCTCGACTGTAATATCCTTCTACAGTATAGCATTATTTCTTGAAGTAACCTATTCGCCGTTTTTATGAAACTGGTGTAACGGGTTTCCAGTCTAGAAGCCATCAGCACAAGCATCACGTCGCGACATTCGGTCGCACAAGCAATTATCAAACTTATATACCTCACATATATCCACACATGAGTATAAATAAATACAAAAAATCATGCGTGTGAAAAGTACTGCTTCAAAATAATTTCAACGTAATCAGCATCATTAATTCATCATATCATGATGACGTTTCAACCGCTATCAATTAAAGTAGGTGCAACATAGAGGAATCAATTTGATTAATCATCAGTAATTGACCCAGCCCATCCATCACCAATCATGAATCTCTCGTAAACACTTTTAATAACAATGCCCAGCTTAATCTGAATTCTAGAGTCATCAATATACGAATCATCAAGTACCAAGTTCAAAAAATGTGATGAAAAAAAATCCAACTTCTCACGCTTAATCTATTCAAAGTATTCTTAAGAAGCTCGAAGATTACATGACCAAGATACGATTATAGTATGGAAGTTAAAAGGAAGCTGCTAATTATCTTAATTGATTAATTGGTTACTGGAGCTGGCGTCAAGAAGAAGGTTGAGATGAGTATTTAGTATACCACAATGATCTATACGTGGTTCTGAATTAACCTCAGGAACTTGATACTGAGCTGGACCTGAAACCACCTAACAGATAACACTGATGAATAAATTTATTGTTCAGCAAAAAAAATAATAAAGCTTTCGTTTCAACTACAGATCAGATGATTCCAAGTTTGCATCCTAGCAGGATGGAAAGGTTCTTTTTGCTCCTTATCACAGAGATTTTTTTTACTTGTATATCTTTCTTCAGACAAAGGAGTGCCTAGACGTCATCGCTTACTCATGTTACCTTATTTTAGCTCGCCAGTGATATTCTACGAACAAAGTTTAAAATGACTGCCTTATTTGTGTATCTATTTTACTGTGTACTAAGTTTCTTTTCATTATATTAGCACTTTTTTGCTGACTAAAATCAGCTGCTTGTAAAATGAGCTGGGTATATCATAAGTGTGGGCTGTGATAGAGGAGTAGGTGAAGGAGTTGTAGAGAAGAGTAATAATAAAGGGAAGAACGACAAAAAAGAGACCTAATTGAGAACAAACTCAGAGTCTCGTGGTGTTGGGTCAAATAAATTAACCCGTTCGGATCGAGTACCTCCAGGCACACGGATGCGGAATGAGAGCCAAGTGAAACGTTGCAGTGACGAAATGTCCCCAACTATATAAGCTATTTTTATCTCAGACACGTGTTGGATGATTATCACGATTAGAATATAACTCTCGGTTAATTCTTATGACAGATATGAATGACCTTGACCTACGCAATCATCAATAGGGTGATCATATTGGCATAATGAAACTATTTTTGTTCTTCATTGTGCTGAAAATTTTTTTTACAAGAAAAATTATTTAAAAACAACATTTAATAATAATTGTTATAAAAATGAACTTAAATAAGCTCAAGTAGATTTTTAAGTTTTGAAAACTAAAGCTTGAAGGTTTAGAATATCAAGATAAAAATATTCTGACATTAATGAACACGTTGAAATGGACGAAATAGCTAGGCAATTCTCTCACGAATATACCATTGAATGGATCTTCAGCTCTTGGATTATTCACACATCAGAAACTCGCAATTTACTAGAGTCAATAAATTATGCTGAATGTTAATGACGATACCATCGATCAACCTTGTATCATGTATTCCGAGAACAATTGTTAAGTTATTGTCAGGTTCTCAAGAATTTCTGAGGGTCAACCCAGATGTTAGTCACCTGCGAGTAATCGTGAGTCGTCGCGACAGCACCAAGTTGGCGTCTTGTTCTTCCATGCTTGGTAAGAAACCTGAGTCCCAGGGGGGCGAGGAAGTGAGTAGGAAAAGAAGGTAGAAAGAAAGAAATACGTGAAGAGCAAGCAGGAGCAACGGTGAGAGACTGCAGACTCTTGGTTATACTTGAAGGTGGGGGAGTAGAAGAGGGCCGGTTTTTCTGGTTTGACTCCGGTCTCTTGGCCTGTCCCGGACCCCTTTGGTATTCCAGGCTACCATTTACTCAGCCACAGGTTCTCATGTCGAGCTTCCTCGTCGTTTTTGTATGAAAACGACAGACTCGTTTATCACTCAATACTCTATAGTGTAAAAGAGTTTTTTATAAAATAATCAAACGCTTTAATTTTATCAATTTTTAATCGATCCAATCATTTTACATCATAATTCCATTTCTCCATCTTGCCTTTCACCTTCACTGAAGTAACTCGGAAGCTGCTGGAAGATACAAATCTTTGGAATGCAGTTCTGTTGTCATTAAAATGCGTTTTCCTTGCACAGAAGCAACGAGCAAGAGAGCTTCTGCCGTGAAGATGACCATAAATCAAAGTCTACTATAGTAGAATCATGAATGAAGTTGACTAGACAGTTTACCTCAAATTAAAAGGTATCCTCGAGAACTTTTTCAACGCCCTCAAGGCACTCTGTAATTTTTACTTGAGATTCAGCGGTGTTTCGACGCCTCTCATTGACTCTAAAGTTCACGGGTAATCATGAGGGCAGTGTTTTTTTTTTCTTTTTTTAGTTCGAACGAGTTAGATAAGCATCGAGGTCATTAGGTGTGTTCGAATAATTGTGATCGGTTGGATTAATCACTAACAATCACTAGATAATAAGAATTGAGTTTCGAGGCATCTGCTGCAATACAGTAGCCGGAACATAATGGTACTCGTTAATTTATAAACTAGACAAGTTCTGAATGGACATCATGCAAACAGTGCTTTATCTCTTCTGCAGATACAATTTTATGCGCTCGTCCTTGAGCTAGAAAATAACGCTTCGAAATCACTCGTCGAGTACTCGTTGGACAAACTATCGTTTAACGTTGTTTCAAAAACATCCGACAAATTAACGATTCAGGAACAGCCATTAAATGAGATTTGCTAGATTGGAGGAATAATAAAACATTCAATAGTTAATCTCTGCAATAACTTTTCGTATATTTTAGTACAAGTTGCAAGAATTTTCAGTAGTTTTGATCTCTCGCACAAAATGATTTCACATTATTTTTTTTTGGTATTTATGTCTCACAATTTGACTTTCACACTTATATACATTCGTTACAATGAAGCTAAAACAAATTTTATTGTTTCTTATTACGATGTAGCGTCTGTATAAATAAATCATCCGAATACGAATGTGACTGCTTATAAAAAATTTAAAGCATCAAATGGATTTCATGTAACATTCATAGAGTTTGATAATCATTGGTTACATTAGTTGAATATCCTTTCCATTCATTACTAGTTGATTACGAATATTAATCAAGTTCCACTTAAATATTTTAGTCAAATGTTTTACTGATATAGAAACAGTGTGTGTGTTTTACAATAAATAGAAAAAATTCATTTAGAAAAATATCATGACAATAGCAAATAACATATGAAAATGAATATAACAAAATACACATATACTTCCTTACACATTTGTTTTTTTTTTGTTACAATTTTTTCATTGCAAATTTACTACTATAGGGCATATCTCATGTATTACATTAATATCACTCAGTCACCAATGATATGCTTTTATGAACTGTCGGTCAGGTATTTTGAATATAATATTTCTATTAATTTATTTTATTCATTCATTTAATCATTTTTTTTTGTTATTTTATTTTAGTGTGAAAACGATTTCAAAGTGCCATATAAATTTTGATTTTATTTTCGATCATCGTTAAATTATTTTTAAACGAATTTCTCTGACAGATACAGTTCGTTAACAGGCTTATAAACTGTTGAATAATTTTCTACCTGTTTATTTTAGCTAGCAATGAGATTATGGATATGTATGTTTGTTGACTTTAATAATTTTATGATTTTGTCTTCACTCTGATGCAAGTTTATTATTTTACTAGAAATTCATCAGAGTACTGACATATGGGTTTTAATACTTACCACTGAATCTATAGATATATTGTTTAATTACACACATATTTCGAAAAGTATGGTAACACATTGAGTAATTTTTTTGTTCTTGTTTGTTAGTACATTTATACCTAGCTGTTCTGTATTTTATTTTTTATTATTTGAATATTTATTATCTATTTTAGTTTAATATCTGCATGTTTCTTATTAAATCTGATTTCGGCGAGTTTCATTTGATTTGTATAATCGTATTTGTTTACATAATATCCATAAAAAAACTCAAAACTATCATAACTAAATTTGGATTGTTATTGAGTACTAATTTTTTAGTATTGTGTAAACAAATAGTGTATTTTGTTTGATATTTATTTTATTTTTTATCTATTGATAATCCTCGCCTTTGAATTAAGATTCACTCAAATTCATTATGGACCTCTATTTTGTAATTTTCAGTATTAAGTCTGATGATTAGATTTTTCATTTTTGTTTTATTACTGATAACTTTCTTATTTATCAGTAATATTTTAAAGCTGCAACATTCAGCGATAAAAGATATAAAAACACCAAAGTATGTCATATGACTTTTTCTACAGCACATGTTATTTTTGATACAAATTGAACCAAAACCACATATAATGTACTTTTAATGACTTCAAGTATTATCTATCTAATTAATAAAATTTGAGTCTAATTGTTTCGTTGCATTTAATCAATTTATTATCTCACTCTTAATGATCATTTTTTAAATCACTTATTAATTTAAATTGTTTGACTAACTTTTAATTATTAATTGTCTACTAATCACTTAGCCTTATTTCGAAAAAAATGTGTAACACTGATAGCATATTACCTAGGTATGTAATTTTGAAAGTGAAAAAGCTTTTGATAAATATAGATTAAAGTGTTACGATTGATAGCTCTGGGCGGATTTAGAGAAACAATTTAGAGATAAAATTAAACCATAAATCATGAATAATTACAAAGCACCAATAGTTACTATTTATAGATATTTTAAAATAGATTTTAATTGTTACAGGTGTGGTTTGATAACAAAACTTTCAAGGAAAATTTTAGTTTGAAAAATCAGTATAATTTATAGTCAATAAATTTTACAACAAAATAAAAGTATTGACAAAAAAAAATAATATTAATATATTTTTTTAATAAAAAGTTAAAATAAAATACGAATAAAAGTCAATGAAATTATTTACCTATCTTTTAACATTCTGTTAAATAAAATCAATATGTATATTATATGTATATATAAAGATTTTAGTTACACGTTTATACTAATATAATATGGCATCACAATAATTGCATTGAACTTAAAATTATGGCCTCGATGTTATGTGTAAAATTAATTTATCATTGTAAGCCTCACGCATTTACAATGTTCTTCTTTTTCTTTTGTTTTATTTTTCATTATTACCGAGAATTAATAAAGTAAATAATTGTAATTTTGTTAGATTATCTGCTGTAGACGTTGATAAGTCCTTGTATTTTAATAATATTGTTTTAACAACGATTACAATTATTTACATTATGATTTTTAGAATAAGAAACAGTTGATACAATTAAAGTATTTACAACATTCATAAAACTTCTTAAATATTATATTTATATTTATATATATTAGATATTTCAGTATACGCATTCAACCTAACAAAAATGTGAAAAAATTATTCAATGCTGTTATCAGCACAAGTGAAACATTCTCTTAAAAAACTCCAAAAAGATGCAAAATTGCGAACCATATTCCATTTCGGACGTCTTTAAAATTCTTTTTTTAGATTAACTGAAAAGATATTGCTATTTTCATAGAACAGTCAATTATAAATTTTATGCAATGGCGCAATGTGTCCAATGTATTAAATCAAATTGGTATTAATTACTCTATTTTACTTTTGTTTATAGAAGTTGTAAAAATTGTCTTAGTGAATTATTACTGGTATTACTATTGACGGCCTCTACTTTTCGTTACAGAGTTGGTGTTCTAATTGTTTATTATTACTTTTTTAACGGATTCTATTACTTGTACAAGGCAAATCACTATTGAAAGCCTACGTTACTTGAAAAGCGATTAGATTTCTTTAATTGCATTGATGTTTTTGTCTTGCTCTTATCTCGATGTTTGAATTTTTTTGTTTAATTTACAATAATTTTTCAGTTAATATTTTGTGATATTTGGATTAAAATGAGCTTGTAATAATTTTACTATTGTGGGGTTTAGTATGGACGTGTTCGCTTAGGCCTCGCATCATTCTTATTACTCATATTCAAAATTCACATTCACATTCCTACAATTTCACGCACATTTACATTGGATGATTTACAGTGATACTATTCTTATGATTTCTTTTTTTGCTCATAAATTAGGTGTCCTTCTCTTTATCTTATTTTTGTCTCTAATAGCAATTTATATTAGAATTGAATGTCATTTATTAATACTATGGGCTAAAAAATGTCAGGCTTTTTTTTATTACACAGTAAAAAAAATTTTTCGTTGATAATAACTCTATCTTTTCTATTTGAAAAATTACTTGGTTTTTATTAATGAAGTCGACTTCGAACATAAAGTGAACAAATTGTGCTTTCAAATAAAATTTATGAACATGCTGAAGTAAAAAGTTTTATGGCTGTTGTAAAAAACAATTTCAAATAAAACTTTTTTACTGTGTAAATGTAAATAATAATTGAGTTATTGCTATTATTATTCAGTGAATGTTCAAAAGTAACAATATTTCCAGTAATTGGAATGTATTGTAAAAGAAAAGTGCAAAAATTTTCATTATTTATCAATCAAAATCACGTCACTCTCGAAATTGGTTACCTAATAGCATAAAGAGAATAGAGGACTTGACTCAAAGCTAAAAGCTTGATTAACTAGCAGCAAGTCACCAACAAAAGATTTTTTCTATAATCATATACAATAGTATATGTAACAGTTGGTCTCAGTCAGGCCATTTGTCTTAGTGTTGTGTGCTAAGAAGACCGACACGACTTAAGACTTGATGGCTCTTTACATCAATCAACGTAATTGGTGTTCTTCCTTGTGTAATCAACAGCATCCCGTTGACTATAAAAATGTTTCTAACTACGTAAACTATATGTAAATGGACGTGGCTATACGTTAAACCAAATAAAACGTTGGAAAAACGTAAATACATTATATCTAATTAATTTACATACATGTACAATCCGGATGAACTCATAAATAATAAAAATTTATACTTAAAATTATGTAATGATGCTGTGATTTTTTTCGTGTCAGCATACACGTGTTTTTTTTTCTTTTTTAATTTCATGAATTGCTTTGTCCAAAGCAAGTATATTATTATATTATTTTTACAATAAATTTATTCTTCTCTTTTAAGCAATTTGGCATTATACTTTGCTGACGGACAATGTCAATCAATCCATTTAATTCACAAATTAATTCTATACTTTTGTTTAAAGTTAATAAAATTATTGATATAAACTGTTCACCTCACAGAGGCTGAAAAATTTCGTCTAATGACTTAATAACATTACTAATATGTAATTCAAGGATACTGACTCTTTTACTATTTTTAATAATAAGCTAAAAATGTCGTGTCTGTGTGTGTGTGTGAATATATATTAGTATTTAAGATTCAACTTTTATGAATCTTGTCTGTTTTCACATTGTTTGCAATTAAAGAATTCCTTACAACCTAATTTAGTTCTGTTGTGGTTTCTTTCCACCACGTGGTTTGATGCTTTCTGAAATCTGCCACATAGCTTCTTCACAGAGAAAATCACTGAAGTTGTTGAAGAATGTAATAATACGTTCATTTTTCTTGAATGAATATGTTCTGAAAGAGAGAAATAATTAGAGTTATTGAATCAGTTGGGTGATTTAATAATTAGTATAATTATTTGGGAGTTGATGGAGAGTCTCATTATCAACATTAGCTATTATTCACAGGATGACTCCATAAATAAATATATGGAATTGACCTAACAATACTAATTTAATAATTAATCCCAGTAATTTTAACAGTACTTTTCTATAAATATTTATAAGACGATTTCATAAGTGTTTAATAATTTCATAATACCACATTGTTAAAATGAAAACAAGATATTGAGTCAAATGATCTAAAATAATTGAACTTAATTAAGGAAATTAAAAATAAATAATTATCTATAGTTAATTACTTTCATCGACATTTAATTGATCCCAATGATAAATTTTTGAAATTGGTGATATCTATGTTAAGATAAAATCTAAGTATTATTCATTTATTAGTTTCTAATTATAAAAACCTAATTTACGTAAATTAAATATGTAATTGAAAAAAGATAAATATTATCATAATATTATGAAAGAAAATTAGAAATAGACTAATAATTTATGAACTACTTTGAAACTAAAATCAGTTTAAAGAGAAATACTTACCCTTTTTTAAACCTCTTCATATTTTCAACAATATTAAATTGTTGCCAACGTTTCGAGAAGTTTATTGTACCATCAGGCAATAAATCGCTATTTCCGATATGCACGAAAGTCAGATCTTGAAGAACTAATCCTCTGTAACATTAAATGATCATCAGTATACACGAATAATCCTTTGTATAGTACCTAAATATGAAGATACATACATGTATGGAATACAAGGCGGTTGTGTTTCAGCTAAAGCTTGTCTGTATGCTCGAAAACTGCTAGAACTATCGATTAATGCACAATATTCCTTCAATCCTTCAGTAATATGTTTCTGCCATTCGAGCCTCCTAATTGGAGCACTATCTAATGCGGACAATAAAGCTAAATAACTGTTAAAGTTATTTATTTTTCTTAAATGTTTCATTATTTTAATGAATTTCACAACATATTTCTCTCTGTCTTTTGCTTCATTTTCCATACGATGTTCTAGAATTCTCGAACGAGCCCAATAAGACATTTTATTAAAATGCTCTGTGAATCTCGTTAAATTCGGGCTTCTCTCTTCATTCTGTTCTTGTGCCCAAATTAGAACTTCTGGAATCTCGATTTTCATAAAAAGTTCAGCATCCAAAAGTGTCATTTGCTCTGCAATCTGTTCGCTCTTGAAATCAAGCAGTGATGCTTGTTTCGTTGACACACTGAGTGATGATAAAATTGGTTGAGCTGTTTGCAATTGTTTGAGGGCATGTTTTTCTAATATTTTAACTCTTAAAGCTTTAGCCATCGTTAAATCTCCACTGCATACCAATTGTTGAACGAATTCCATTAAAGTTTGAAGCAGTACGTCATCAAGATCTGACATTCTGAGGATTAAAAAATTATCTTAGAATATCTATGAAGTATTTTTATTTATTATTCAAAGCTGATAATTGGAATAATAATAAATACGTACGTTAAATCACTAACGACTCGAACGAGTAATGAAAAAGCTTCTCGTGCTGCACGTTGCTTTATCATATCTCCAGAGCATGAAAACCTCTGATGTCGTTTGTGTAGCTTTTGTATCAGTTCCAAGGGCGACATAAAAGTCCTATACGTCGTTAAAAATGCTTCCTGATAAAGGAAATCTAAAAACAAAAGCATAAATAATATAATAAAACGAATATTTTTTAGGGAGAGAGGATTAAATTACTTTTTTCAACGTAAAAGAAAAAAATGTAATTACGAACCTGATTCTTTTTCGTCTAATCCAGCATAAAATGAATCAGATAAATCAAGTTAATAAGTCAATATTATAATACATTATTTAAAGAAATTCATTTCACCAGCAATTTTTATTGTATCAACAATTAACAATAAAGCCTATAAAATAAATCGTGAAAAAAAGGTCTCATCGCTACTTCATTGATCGTAAAGTTGAAAGAATAGTATCGAAGGTACAGAGAGGTTGTTTTAGTAATTAAACTTACAAAAAAAACACTGTATCTACTCTAAAAAAGTTTAATAAAACTTTTACTACCGGTTTGTATAAAATTGTAAAACAATAGTAAAAAGTTTCAATTATTGCTGGTAAAATGACCATATAATTACATTGGTTCTAAAAAGAACATCTGTTGAAATTACCATGTTTATTTGCTTTTGTTGCATGGATCAATAAAGCATCAGGATGTCCACCTCGAATATCCGGACCATCTTCCTCTGGTTTTTTAAAGACTAGATATTTGCTGATATCCAATTCTTCAAGGATCCCATCATCTTGATCGATATCTCGTAGCTCTAAAGTATTGTCATCAACGGAAATCGATGAAAGGGCATTACTTCCTGGTCTAGATGATGACCGGGACACGTCCAATGTGACATTGTTGTTATTCAAAGTAAGGACATTAGGAGAAATACGTTCTTTCTTTTCTATTTTTATGATTGGTTCTTCTTTTATTTCCTTTACAGGTGTTGACGTTATAACAGGATCGGGTGTGTGTAAGCTTGGAATACTGACTGCTGGTTTTGGAGAAATGGGTGGAGGAGTGATATTGGACCTGATGGATCGTGATCTCTTTGGAGGTAAGGCTGGTGGTAGACTAGAATTATTTGTCACTTCCCTGGTCGTTGGACTCATGCTGATCGATATGCTGGAAAAAGAAATAATTTAATGTCATGAGTATTTGACATTGACAGGTAATAGGTTTTTTTTTTATCAGATAAATAATTTATGATAATTTTGGAAAAATTTTGCATTTCTTTACTTGAATAAATATATTGAAATTGAACTCAGAATTTATATTATTTTCAATCAAGTTTTAAGTAAACATTCATAAATAAATCTCAAAAATTTTTTTAAAAAGTCTTGCTACTTTTATTTACTATGTTTTTACTTTATTACGAAACACCTTTATATGGTGCATAAAAAACTATGTTATCATATTTTTTTCATAATATATTTCATTAATGAACGTTATTAAATTGCATATTCATAGAATTTGTGATGTCATTTATGAAGAAAAACAAGCATGAATTTTCATATACCAGATTATACGCATAGACGAGACATTTAATATGACGATAGAGAAATTTAAAAAAAAAGAAAGATAAATTACTTTTCAATACCAATTACAAGAAACATAAAATTCAACAACAAACATCATAAATAATTACTCTATTTCTTAGTTAATAACCTAATTATTCATATAAATTCGTAAGAGAGTTCATCATTTAATTTCTTTGGTAATTATTCAAATGTATTTCTCATTATCATATTCAACGAGGCAAATTAATAATTATAGCACAAACATGAACTTTCTTGTAGAGGATTACTGTTGTGCTCAATTATGAATTGAGCATTCGTTCAGAGTTATTACCATGACAATCACAACATTTCTCTCACCTTGTTCCATCATGTAAACTGGTCAAAGTATGAACCATTGAAGAGCAAGACTGAGTAGTTGTAAGTGACATTTCATGCTGCTGCCATTCAGCTTGCATTGAATTATATGCAGCAACTGAGTGTCGCGTGCCAAGTCCGGATATAAAGTCGTTGGTGCTGTGTGAGCAGTTTCCGAACATTTCCATGTACGCCATTACTGCAATTGTCAAAGTTTGTATGTGAAATATTGTATTCAATTTAAACTCTAAGCGTATTGTGTAGCTTGATGCAACATGTGTGACTCGCGTGATGTATAGGATCTTTGCAGACTCGGGATACAACACAGTTGAGGGAATTAGATGAGCAACTAACAATCGCGTTTTTTAAAAAATATTATAAAAACAACTTGAGTCAACACTATAATTACAATCACTTGGATGTTCATTTGAAGATGTGCGTAAACATCTTCTCAATACTGCACAGTGATGCGATATTTATTTTTCTGCGGTTGATTATGTAATTCAACAAGTTATAATTATTTTAATTGAAGTCAAGTTATTTTTTGAAAAACACATATCAGAGTTTTAAATATCTTGATTTACTTTTTATATATTCTTCGGTAAATTTATTTTATTTTATTGACATGACCATCGAATTAATTCATTTTTTAAAATAAATATTTAAAAACATAAAAAAAAAAACAGCAATTATTTTGTAAATGTCTGCAATAAATGCCAAGAATTTATCGTATCAAAATTTTTAACTTAAATATTTCTTAAGGCCAATTAAAGAAGAATAATTAACTGGAGGAATATTCAGTAGAATGAATAAAGTCAAATACGAGGGAGTCTACTGTATTAAATAAAGTGAAGGTGGAAGATCATGCACAAGACGCGAGCGATTCCTAACATCAATAAACTTGCAAATTAATCTTCCACCTAGAGTATTTAATCTCCAAGTCGCAAATTTAAATGTGAGTACTAGCGAGGAAGCTCAAAAATTATGTATTAATGATCAAGCTCAATTCCAAACGCTAGTATATAATTATATTATATCAAATTTGATGGCACAGCGGACAGAGCTTATATTATAACAGTAGGATGATGAAAACACAGTAAAAAAAATTGTGTTGAATTCATTAGTTTCAAAAGTTTATTACAAAATGGATCTGCGTTAAAGTTAGAACTGTATTTAATTAAAATATGAATCTTTGTTTATTAAAAATAAATAAAATGTCTATGAAAAAAAAAGTAAACTCCATTAAAATTGTTTTCAACCTTGGTTCAAATCAATATTGATTAAAGGAATGTTTCAATTTCACATGAAATAAAATTGTTCCAATTAAATTAAAAAATTACAACCAATCACTAACTAACAATATTTTAAATTAATTTTCACCACTGAAATTCAAGACTAAACATGATCTTCATCAACACAAGCTTTTCTACTGCAAAATGGGAAAAATCATGCTTCAACGTAACAAAAAAATGAACATAATAATAAAAAAGCCGTTGTCAATAACGCGTTTGAATGACTGCGATTGAATAAATGACAAAAGGGTATTTTTGACTTAGCGTGAGGATGTTTTGCTGAGGGTGGTTGAGATATAAACGTGGGCGTGATCCCACTTACCGGAATATGCCACTGATTGGAACACTGAGGGATACAAAATATATACGTCAGTTTAAACCTAGCACATAACATGTAGCAATCTGAATTTAGCTAATTCCACTAAAATCTTTATCCAACATAATGACCTGCTGCGTTGCAGATGTAAAATTCCACTCAATTTGACGTTCGATTATATACTAAACTAACTCTTTAAATCATTGTGTATTCAAATCATCTACACCGTCAGCTGGTCATAGTTTTTTCATCAAGCGAATAATTGGCAGCAGTTGAATAACGATATTTTAATAAGCATCAACATATCCTTATTCAAATACTGTCAATATTCTTATCAATTATTGCATCACTTACTGTGCCTCTTTTTCAACGGCAACGGTGGCGGTTTACTCGCGTCTGGACTGTCGCTTGAACTTGTATGTAAGCTACAGGTTGACAAGTGTTCATTTTCTGGTACATTGTCATATTGAGATAACTGTCGCTCTTTTTTACGCTTTGATCTTTTTTCTGGTAGAGCTGGTGGAATCCCATTTGAGTCTTCGTTCATGCTGATTTCCTAAAAAAAAAAAGTATTTACATATGATGAAAAACATTGATTTTTGAAGAAAAAAAATCTATTTATAGCCATCATAAATATTTATAAATAGATGAATTAGAACAAAAACTTGGATTACTGTTAATACTTGAATAGATTAACACAAGTTTCTAGACAGTAGATGAAAATAAGTTTCTGGTTAATACTCACATTGACTAATTTTTCTAAAAGTGATGAGTCTCCATTACCACTTATGTTAGTGGTAGTAATAGTGTTTTTAGAACTCGAAGTCGTTCTATGAGTTACAATCGAGTTCTCATTCTCAGTTGAGACTTTTTGCTGCATAAATGACTGCTGTTGAGAGTTAAAAGTCTGCGAATTATAGCTGACACTACTTTGCTGTGAAGATCTCTTGGATGTTAGACTTGATGTGGTGGTATAACTTTGTGAAGAACTGCGTTGCGAATGCATTGATACAAAGCCCGATTCTTGTGTTTGTGTTGACAGTCTTTCCATTTTTCCATCAATACCTAAAAAAGTCCGATCTCTATGGTATGCTGACTCACGAGAATTAAGATAACCAGTGCAATCGAGTGTAGAATGAACAAAGAATTTTTTCAAATTCCACCAAGGATCGTTGTGGCGTTTCATTATTAACTCAAACTGACATTACAATTTAATGCAAAACCAATAGCCTCGGATACGAGAAAAAGAAAAAAAGAGGTTTGAAAGACTTTAATACAAATCCGTCTTATTATTCTTTCTGTCTAGAAGCATATGGAAGACTGTCCAGGCGCGTAGGCAAAGACTGCACCCACGTCATTGGCCTCAAAAGCTATTTGAAGGTTCTTGCGTAAATTTAGGACGCTTTCATCTTTCTTTTTCCCATTTCCGAGGCAAAAATAACGTCCGGAGCTTGACATAATTTATCAAGATTTAGGCGCGGATGCAGACTAATATTTTAAAAGAAAGTAAACTCACCAGTGAATGGGCTGAGGATCTCTTGTGGTATTTGCTGACCCAGCAGCATTGTGCTTGGAATACTCGTTTCTGAACCATCCCAAGCACTGCAGTTGTTTGTTCCATTCAATTGCAACCCTAATAACAGGAAAAAAATTCCATTTAGCATTGAATAAAAAATTCCTCCAGTATCATTCCTGGTATTATTTATCAAGTGAAGGTAGTCAGAGAGATCTCAAGGTATAATTTGCTGAATTTAATGACGACCAGGTTGTGATTGCATACCCAAACAAATATTCCGTAACTCCATGAAAATAGCATCGAATTTCTCTTTATCCCGACCACTTTTATTCTCCATCATTGACTTTTATTTGTAAACCAGTCGACAACGAACAGGTAATGATTTGAATATGAAGACAAGGCCACAGTTAATCTCACGCTGTTTCACTTTCAACTGCACTAATCCAAACTCAACTGATATGACTGGAAATAACCAACTGGTCGTGTGTGACAAGTTACCCAGCTTTCTGCTGACTAATCACCATTCCCATGTACCATCCTTCGCTTATATACATGTATGGAATCAGTTCACTACGCATCTGACCAGTGCACAACTGTCATCTAGCCCGTATACGCTGACTCCAACGCGTCAAATACCAAGGGGACATTCTCAGATACAATCACACGTCAACACTTCTTTCATTAACACCTTTACAATAGACGTTTTGTCATATTTATAACTAACTCTTGCCCTCGACGTGACAAACATTTTTTCATTTTTCTCTCTGTCAATGTAAATCTTCATCAAAACTTTTTTAAATAATTTTATGGCCTCTAAGAAATTAAGATATTTAACATTTAAAAGAAAGTAAATAACATGTAATATTGATGAAGAAGTAATCAAGTATTGAGAAGGAAAGTTTATACGTTTAGAATTAGGGGAAATTGAAGAGTGATGGCCCCCTGCAGGCTTTCATCAGTTTACGGGAAATTAGTTGCTAAATTCGATCGTATGCGATTTAAGCTTGTCATTCAACTTTATAATCTTAGTACTGCAATGTATTTTTTAAAATTAAATATGTTTAAAACTTCAAAAAAAATTTTATTTAACAATTATTCCCTTTTAATTAATACTTTCATAAATAATCATAATTAAATGTTCATTTTCTGCTTCAAATGACATGAATTTGATTAATGAATAAGATAATAAATCATAGCGAGAACAAAGAGCTTTAAATAGGTAAATTATTTGATGCTCATCAGTTTAAAGAGAATTCAAAAATATTCATATTTATTATCAAACTTTTAAAAGCCAGTTGACAAATATTGGTGTTGATGATTTATGGTGTTTCTCAGTTACAAACTATTATACCCTAAAGGACTGTTTATCTCAATTTCCCCTATTGAAGATATTTAGTTAAGTTGCGAAGTACTTAAATGGAACTGTTAGGAGAAATTACCATGAATAGTAGCCATAAGACTAAGGTCCATGCTATCGTTAAGAGATTCATCATTAGGTCCCATAATAGCACGGATTTCATCTTCGTCCCTTGAGTGGTTTAAAGCAGAGTCTAAACTTCCTGCTGATGCACTGAGGAGTGAAGATGAATCCTCTGGGGATCGACTTCTTAATGAACACCGGTCCAAACTTGAAGCCAGGAAGCCGTCAGATTCGTCTAACAACTGTTGTGCTCGGGTTCGCCTTTTGGGAGGCAAAGGTGGTGGTGTCGAAGAGCTATTCTCCTCGGAGAGACTTAAGTTGGTTCTGCAAGGATGAAAGTAAATTTATATTAGAAAAGAAAAAACAATCTCAAGTACTTGAACAGTAACTCTTTATTAAAAATGTCATATAATTCACCTGTCTGGAAGTGGTGGTTTGGGTGGTGGACTAGAATCCCTTAGGATTGACTCAGAACTATGAGAGCTGCGTACCAATGTACTAGAAGCAGCAGTTTGCTCAAGAATCTGTCTTTCTCGTGGTGTTAGTGGAATGTCAGGTAAAGAATTCCTCTGAGAAGTTAACTCTGTTCCATAACTTGACGTCCTATAAATTGCAAAAGATATAACAATTGGCTTCTTTGTAATTCCAATGAGAAATCATTAAAGCTGAAGTTTACCTGTTGTTCGTGGTGATAGGTGGTGGTTTCTGACGATTTGATATTTTCTCTTGAGCCAAGGTAACTAAATTTTTTACGGCGTCCTCAACTAATCCTATCACGTGGGTCACGTTCTCAGTATCTAGAGCTGGGCATGGCACAGATTGATCGCCGTGCAACAACACGTCGTCGCAAAGTTTTAGAAGTTGTGCCAGAGCTTGGTAAACTTGATTCGTTGCTGAGCCCAGAGTAGAACTGCAAAGATCAATATATGTTGTAATCATATTATATGAAACAGATTTTTTTTTAACTGGTCAAATCGACATTAATATCAATAAAAAAGCATCTGACTCCAACGATATAGAAGTTTTTTAACCACTGTTTTTTTTCATTCTGCTTTGAAAAAAAGTTTCATTCAATAGGGAACAAAAAAAAAAGTGAACAATGCGTCAAACAATTTGACTTTACTTCGACAGATGAAAAACTGTCAAATAAAATTTTCTAAACCACCCGAGTGTTTTTGGATTTGCAAAGAGAAAATTTATATTGGAGTTTGCTTTTCAACTGAAACTACAACAACTTATTAAACTCTTGTTTATTACTTTCTTTTCAACAAAACAAGTCGAATTTATTGATAAAAAAAAATTAATTAAATAAAAATATTTAAGTTAATAAATGTTAATATCAAATGAAAGATTTTTATCGTACGGAAAAAGTGCACGTATGATAGTTTTTTTCAAACGAATAAATTTTCTCAGGTTTCTAGATAGCATCAACATGTAAATGAAGTAAAGTAATTCTGTTGAGTTAAGCACTGAGAGACTTAATTAAAGTAATATTTATTTGATGAAAAAAACTCTAAAGTAAATTTATTTGAATATGCAACGTATTTCTATCTTGTTGTATAAATAAAGAGTATTTACACCCGATTATCCCCGAGTAAATTATTCATCAGAACACATTTTATATAGATTCTATAAACTACCTTATTTGAATAAAACAATACATTAATATATTAATAATAAATAAATGTTTTGTAAAATATTCCATTTTCAGAAATATCCCTTCCTTTAAATGCTTTGATAAAAATGCATTATATTCATATAAATTCACCCAAACTTTCAATGCATTAAATAGTTATTTTTACATCGGATATGCGTATTTCATATGCACACTCTGAAACAAATAAATAAATAATCTCACCTATTATCATACAAGAGGTAGGATTTGAGAACTGTGTGGATTGTGGTAACGGTATCAAGTACAATGGTGCCATTGCCCGGCAGCATTTCAAGTTTTTTCTTCGATACGACATCACGAAAATGTAGTAAAGCAAGTTGAACCTGTCGTACATGAATGTGGAGATCACGTAGGGGATTTTTGTCAAGATTATCGTTAACTACTGGTGGTTTCTCCCTTGGTGTTCTTGGTGATGAGGGCGAAGCAGCACGGGTTGTTACACCACTCCCACCCCCACTGACTCCAGAGTTGACTCCTGGAGAACGCATCTGCGAGAATTTCTCGAGAAAGTCCTCCTTGAAGGAGCGTGCGCGTCGGGCTAATTTGCTACCCCGCGCCTTTCCACTGGATCGCTCTTCGACCTCTGTAACAAAAAAAAATCGGATATTAAGATGCTGTGCAGAATGTTGAGAATTTATCTTACTTTAAAGTAAGTATCATTAATTGGCTAGGATCATGAGATTGTTGACTTTCTTTCTCTAAAATCCAACGTCGTTTCCTACGAATTTCAACCACTTGTATTTTTTAAACCTTTGATGGAAAAGAAAAAATGTCATGAGTTTGAAATCTATTTCTTGATGTATGTGACTGCTGTAGCATCAGAGTTCATGAATGGATGGGCCGATTATGTATAAGGTAAGTTACTCAGCTTGAAAGCTACTTGAATTAGGATGGTTCTTAGTTATGCTTGATGATTGTCACTGAAGTTATTTCATGGTGATCAGTTCGTGAGACAGTTAGCATAGAAATCTTAACTAACAGCACTTGAATACTATGCTTATTGTAGGTGATTGGACTAAAGTTACTTTTTAATTTAAGTTTTAGAAGAAGTCTATCGAAAGTTACATTCTACTCTCGTTAATTTTTTTCAATCATTGAGAAAATACTGTGTTTAAGAAAAAAATTGTAATTGCATCTTTTATTGCTCTATTAAGGATAAAGAGAATAAACAAATGTACAAGTAAGGTACTGGCAGGTAGCAATTTTTTCCTCTGTAAGTACGTATGATATCCTTTGAAATCGGAAAGAAAATTTTTACAAGGTTCTATGAATAATCTCCAGTGGGACTATAGGGAAGATTTGGGGAATCAAATTTTTTTTTTTTTGAAAATTTTTCTTCTCTATTCCAAATGTACCTTAACTGTTTTCTACTTAGAAAAAAAAAAATTTACATAATGAAATTAATGAATTAATGATATATTGGCGAAAAACTGAGAGATATAAAAATAAGCATAACTTCTATACTAATAATGCTACAAAGGTGATTGAGGGCTCATTTGAAAGATTTCGATGAAAGGAAAGAGATCGATATAGTTAAAATCATAATTGTCGCGAAATTCATGCAAAAATTAGAGCAAGTTCCCGTTTTACCCCATTTTAGGAGTGAAATAATGGATTTTTTATAAGTTTGACCCGATTCCGCATTTCTACGCATCAAGACGAAGAAAATGAGTGGTCGATCATCAAAATCGGACAACTTTGATTTTTCGACTCAAAAAAATGGCAAGTGGTACCCCTTTCCATTTTTTTTGGCGAAAAAATAAAAGTACTCCGATTTTCAAGTTTGACCACTCATTCTCTTTGTCTTGAAGCGTAGAAATGCGGAATCCGGGCACCGCCCGGAAAAACTCACTTTAACACCCTCAAACAGGGGTAAAACTGGATACACACTAAAAATCATCATCCCCCTGACTTTAAACCCCTATAACTCATGAACGGACGATCTAATAACTGTTTTTAGGGACGTTTTATAAAGATTAAAATCTAAGCTATCTAACGATATCCATAGATTAATTTTTAAAAAATCCCTTCACCCTTAAAATCGCTAAAATATAAAAAAAATCCCATTTTTTTGGGACTTTGCCAACTATTTTGGCAAATTTAAGGGTGAAATAAATTTTTTATACACTTTTCGTGGATATGGATCTTTAGCTAAGATTCTGAAGTTTCCAAATACCCCTTAAAAATTGTCATTCAGCAATTTGCACAAAAGTTATAGAGGTCCAAAGTCGAAAGTAGATGATTTTTTGACCCTTGCTTTAACTTTGAACCTCTATAACTCTCATACAAGTCATCCAACAATAATTTTTTAGGGGTATTTAGAAACTTCAGAATCTTAGCTAAAGATCCATATCCACGAAAAGTGTATAAAAAATTTATTTCACCCTTAAATTTGCCAAAATAGTTGGCAAAGTCCCAAAAAAATGGGATTTTTTTTATATTTTAGCGATTTTAAGGGTGAAGGGATTTTTTAAAAATTAATCTATGGATATCGTTAGATAGCTTAGATTTTAATCTTTATAAAACGTCCCTAAAAACAGTTATTAGATCGTCCGTTCATGAGTTATAGGGGTTTAAAGTCAGGGGGATGATGATTTTTAGTGTGTATCCAGTTTTACCCCTGTTTGAGGGTGTTAAAGTGAGTTTTTCCGGGCGGTGCCCGGATTCCGCATTTCTACGCTTCAAGACAAAGAGAATGAGTGGTCAAACTTGAAAATCGGAGTACTTTTATTTTTTGGCCAAAAAAAATGGAAAGGGGTACCACTTGCCATTTTTTTGAGTCGAAAAATCAAAGTTGTCCGATTTTGATGATCGACCACTCATTTTCTTCGTCTTGATGCGTAGAAATGCGGAATCGGGTCAAACTTATAAAAAATCCATTATTTCACTCCTAAAATGGGGTAAAACGGGAACTTGCTCTAATTTTTGCATGAATTTCGCGACAATTATGATTTTAACTATATCGATCTCTTTCCTTTCATCGAAATCTTTCAAATGAGCCCTCAATCACCTTTGTAGCATTATTAGTATAGAAGTTATGCTTATTTTTATATCTTTCAGTTTTTCGCCAATATGTCATTAATTCATTAATTTCATTATGTATATTAATTTGCGTGCAGACAATATTTTAAGTACGTTTGCAATAAAGAAAAAAAATTAAAAAAAAAAAATTTTTATTTCCTAAATATTCCCCATAATCCCACTGCAGAACTTTTCTACTAGGGATCATTCAAGGAACCTTTGAGGAACGAAAATTTTTTATACCGGATATTTTGAACAGTTTTTTAATTTTCTCATGAGAAGATTGGATCTTTCAAGCAATATACTTTAATTACTCTCTCGATTACTTGGAAATCAAAAAGTTATTTTCTACGATCGTAAGTGTTACTCAACCATTGCTTAGTTTCATTAATCAAATTGCTAAAAACAATTTTATAAAATAAACAGCAATAAATATTTTTGTAACAAACATAGTCAATAAAAAATTTCATTTGTAAGTCAATATTTTTTTAGTATCAATTATTTTTAAAAAAATCCCAGATTCATTAAGAACCAATTTTCAGGAAGATATTAAACTCTGTACACAAAGAAAAACAAATATTGAGTATTTTCCATTGCAAACAAACCAACATATCATGGATTCTACATTGAATTAATAAATGATGAAATACAACGATTGTTTACTTGCTTCAACTAAGTTCTAACTAATAACAACAGTCTATAACTTCACCTAAATTAATATTAGTTTCACTTATCCAAGTAACTATTATTACTAGTTGAAGAAATTAATTAACTCCAACATGGAATTTCTATAAATACTTCTACATCAATGTATTTTATAGTAATTAAATAAAAATATTTCAATTAGAGTGAAAGAATTTTTTCAACACACCCGAGAAAAATTAAAATGCTATTATTTTCCATCTGAATGCACAATAATTTCTTCTACATCTGTTTTATTCCATTTCTTATTGAAAGATTTAAACTTAACAAAGTTTCCAAATAAAAATTTCATTTAAAATTGAATTTAAATGCCTGCACACACTTGACTTCTGTTATCCCTTCGTTCTCTATCAAATTGAACAAACAAATTCCTGGAAAACTTTTCTCCTCTTAAAAAAGTATAAAAAGCTTTCAACAACATAACGTTACATTTGCAAATATTAAAAGCTTAACATTGTAAACTCTGATAACTATTGATAAGCTAAAATCGATAGTTAAAAATAAAAGAGTGTTTGAATAGGAAAATCAAATAAAGTAGACGCTTGCAACCTAATGTAGGATCATTATCAGTGGAAAGAGTGTATTGTATAGACTGTTTTGGGAATTAGGGAGCAATTTGCGGACACCAGGGATTGAAGGAGTGAGAACATCCCTTGGCAAAGTGCCCGATCACGCACGGCTTTCTTATTCGCCTGCTGGCACTTCTATAGTAACATAAAAAGTGGAACGGGCATTCCAAACGTTGAAAAAACACCGGTGGGATGTGCTAGCACGTGCATACATATTTGTTTTTGCGGAGAAAGAATAGAAGCATCAGTCTATACCAAGATCTTGATGAACGTCATAAATTTTCTTTCGTTTTATTTATTATTTTTAACAAACTTTGATGAGCATCAGGACGATAGAAGAAATACATTGTCCAATTAATAGCATTGGAAATTAACAATGGATTGCTTGAAAGAAAATCATTTACTTGGATCGAAAACTTGAAGAAGCAAAATTGACTACAAAGGCAATACTGTTGAAAATCGCTTTTAATTGCTGGCTCCATAGTCTTTGGTATCAACGTCTATCGTCCTTTATTTACTCCGACGTGGTCTTGAACAGGACAATAAATCGAATAGAAATGAAGTTTCGTGTTTTATCAGCCCCTTGCCTTGAAAAGGATGTTGCTATGGCCGGAAGTTGTTTAATTAAGAATTTTTAATTAACTAAAAAATATCTGTGAGACATTAATTAACTCTTGAACAACATATAAAATGGTTTTATAATTTGTAAGGAAGTTGGTTGTTCAATTTTTTTTTTAAATAAAGTATCTTGTTTTAAATAATGTATTACTTGAGTAAAATGTCATGCAGCTATTTTTAAAAGCATCAATAGTTTATAATTTATTTAAAATTGAAAACGCTTGGGGTGGATTTTACCCTACGTGCTGTTTGAAGTCGAAAATTGTGGGAGGCTATCGTATGAGGGTTAATTTTTAATGGAGATGAAATTTAGGTTTAAAGAATAAAAAAAATCATCTTGAAAATTTTTTACTTTGGTAAAATAGAATTTCTTCATGACTGAATAATTATATTTTGTGAAGAATAGCAGTTACTTTTTAATGATATCCAGGTTTTTTTTTTACACTCATCTTTTAATGAGTTATAAAAGTAAGAAGTTGAGGGAGACTTTTTGCTGTAACAGTCAATAACTTGGTGGAAAAATTATACAATTAAAAAAGGGAATATCTTTAAAAGAAATAATGAGGCTTCAAGAAGATCTACTTAATTTTTTCATACTCATGAGATCTAAATACCATTGCTTTCTCTTTATAACACAAAATTTAATTTTCAAAACAAAAAAAAAAAGAGAGCA